CAAGAGGAAGGTTTATATATAACGTCCCAATACTGTACACGGATCTTTAAACGCGCGATAACCTATATATCTAGGAAAAGCTAGTCTCTAAATAAAAACATTTATAATGTTGTTGACTTTTCACCCAAACACGCATAATTATTTGACATAACTGTACAGTAATGAAAGTCCAACGAGTATAATAACAGAATAGCTACAATTTAGAAATATCTGTATTGTGTAAAATAAAATAAAATTGGATAAAATATCTCTAAACATTAAGGAATATAATTTATATATAATTTGGTAATTTATTTACAATCCACATTGCATACTAGATGATATACACTATATAACACAAGACAAATGTACGTAAAAATAATAATGGTATTTTTATAAACAATAACCCTATTTTAATTTAGAAAAAAGCTACAAAATATACATAGAGTAAAATTGGTTTACATTTTCTTACATTTTTCTCTCAGATAAGCGTTATTTTTTAAAATACTAAAATGTTCTCTTTTTTAATTTTAACAATTAATTGCCATTAGTGTGACGAAATACCATGCTCTTGTGCTTTTCATAGTCCAGCAGGGTAGGTAGGTTTTATTTGTAGCATAACTGTACTTTTGTCTTGGCATGCTAAAATAAATATTATTATTATATATATATATGTATATATATATATTTAACAACAACTTTAAATTAATATTCGTAGAAATAAGTATATATTAGCAAAATTAATTAAATATTACTTAAATTATCAAAATGGTTTAGTCGCTCTATACTAATGTTCACTGACGAATGTCTTATCTTAGCGGTGTTGTAAAAAATGGCATAGGTCCTACCTCGACGAGCGCTAGCGCGCCACTGAGAATTTACTTTTGGCGCAACGGAATTTATACAACTTTAAATTATTATTATTGTTTATTTTTTTCTTAGAAACTTATATATTTTTTTTATATTTCTAATTTACAAGTATATTAACTTTATTATTATGTTTTTTTTTATGCAAAAATTTCGTTGTATTTATGAGAAAATTAGAAATGATTATGGCAAAGTTTTGTTGAAATTTCGGGTTTCATTATGATCAATTTTTTAGATATTTAAGTTGAAAATGAAAAAATGGACGATGCTGTCTCAATTTATAAAGTAATTATCAAGTTTTAGTACAAATATCATATCAATTTATGTTTGTTTATTAATGAATATAACCCCAAACTTCTGTCATTTAGCGTTTTTGAATAAACTATTTTAGAAAAAAGACTATACAAAGAGAAAATTAACATTTCAAAGATGTTGTTTTTAAGATTAGATATCTATCTATATAATTCAGGAATCAAAATGTATATCCGACTCTTAATTTCTTAGAACCAGAACCCCAAAGACACTGCTTTTTAGGCCAAAAAATGTGAAAGGCCTCTTAAGGCGAAGTACTTGTTAAGTTAGTTTTGTATATTATTAATTTTATCGTGCACTGTTGTTATAGAAACCATTCTCACGCGTGTGAAAATTAGAAGAGAGTGTAAAAAAGAAGATATTAATTTGTTTTTTTTTTATTTTTTAAAAGGATGTCACAAGCGTTGTCTAAATATAATAGTTGTTCTGTCATCATCATCATCATCGCAGCCCGGAAGACGTCCACTGCTGGAAATAGGCCTCCCCCAAAGATCTCCAGTTGTTCTGTAAAGACGTTAAATTCTTTTATTCCAATTTTCCTTGTAAAACCCTTCACATAGATCTCAAGCTAAGAGGAGCTTATGTTACGGATACCAAACAACTGATATAAGTATAAAGATACATTCTTTTTTTAAAATGCAAACACAATATGCATAGAAAACACTCAGATACATACAAAATAAATATACTAATGAATACAAATGTTTATACCGTGCTAGTAATTGAACCCGCGACCATCGAAAGTAAGGCGGATCGCTAGACCTATAAGGATGAAATCAACGTGTATTCAAGTTCTAAAAGCCGAGAGTGTAAAATGTAAACTAAATTAAATGTGCACCGGTGTAAATTTAGATTTATCGCGTTTCTAAATGGTAAGTCGACATCAGAGCACTTTCAATTGTATTTTCGTGTTCAATTCGCGTTTCGAAATTTTGTATCAAATACTGTAGCATAAGAGAACACATAGTTGAAATCGAATACTTCAATAATAGTAAGAATATGATTGAAATGGTAAGGTCGGATAATAAAGTCGTAAACGCATTAATTCCTCATGGAAGTGTTATCGGCTGTATTTTGTTTTTAATTTATATAAACGATCTCCCTAAAATTGTATAAAAGCCCTGTATTCTTTTCGCGAATGACGTCTCTCAGCTTGCCAAAGTGGTACAGACTTGGATGCCCAAATTAATTCGATTCTTAATAGAACGTCAAATTGGGCGCGCGACCATAACTTAGATATTAACTATAATAAAACGAAACTAATGACCTTTCACCCATGTCAAAGAAGGCCAATTGAAGTTGAATTCGTGTATAACGGAATGCAATTGGAAGCGTCAATGAATTCACGCTTCTCGGCATATCCATTTACTCACAAATAAATTGGAAATCTCATATCAAGAAAATAAAAAGTAAAGTGTTTAGGTTTGAATATGCATTTCGGGAAGTTAAAAGAACCACCAACTTGCAAACCGCTCTCACCACTTATTATGCATATGCGTACGGAAGTTGAGTTACGGGATTATAATGTGGGGAAACAGTACCAATGTACCTATTGTCTTTACTTTACACAAGAAACTAATTAGAATATTAGTAAATATTGAAAACCGTGACTGGGTCGTTTGCTTGTCCTTACGGACCGCCGGGTACGGGCCTCGAGCTGTGCTCTTCGTTCTCGCACGGGATAACAAAAAGCACAGCTAGAGTAAATTCACCAGTAAATTCGTCCGAAAGTACCCTAACTACGATAAAACACGCGAGGAAAGGTGTGAAAAATATAATTTAAAGCATAGAGCCAGGCTGCTTTTTCCGTCCTCCTCATTAGCCCTACATTCAAGTGGTCCTCAGTCCTCAGTCCTCTGGTGTCATCCATATATATAATTACTTACCACTTTCTTTAAAACAGGAAAAAAATATATAAAAAATTATAAGGAATCTCAAGACATTATTGATTAAAAATGTTATTATACAATTTTAGAATATAAAAAAACGTATTGAATTAAATATTATACATTTTTAACAATTAAATATTACAGTTTCAATTTATTAATTATTACTATTATTTTTATTTTTATTCGTTTTTTTCTCGTTAATTTTGGTATGTACGGGCCTTTTTTTTTTTACTTGGAGAAAAACCCTGATGGAGTCCCGCCGGCCCCGGGGGAAGCCCGCGGGTACTGTGAGACTCACTAAAAACTCCAAGGTATCCCGACGAAGCGCCTATAGCCGGAGTCGCGGGATCGAATGTCTATCCATGGTATGTATGGCCTAGTACATAGCAATGTTATATTTTGAGGTGAATGTTACATGTGTAGTAAATATCGGTCTAATCGGTCTGTAAAAAATTTCTGACAATGCGGCATGTATTTAGAATTACAGCCTTCTGTAGTTGCCAGTATATATTAGGGGGCAAGTTCAGGGTATTTATTGACTGATGTATTATTATTATTATTTACCCAATATTTTTTATATAATTGTATAAAAAATAACTCGTCCTCCTCTCTTCTCTTCCGCTTACTGTGCCCAACAGGTTCCATAATTAACCTACTTTGAAATACCTATCTGTCTATCCATTGTAAAATTATGAAATGCAAATCTATATAATAAATAATATAGGTTATTGTAGTGTATGTGGAAACACTAGCAGTTTATTATCTATCGTCTCGAGCCGAGCGTACACGGACCGCCGTGCGCAAGAGGGAAGGGATTCCCTGCGCAAGCGCCGCGGAGTAAAGACATGGAGCTATGGTTAACGAGCCGATATTACGTCGATAACAACTTACATACAAGAAGACATAAATAACAAATAAGTGAACACTATAGTTATTGTCTACATCTGTACTCTTTCCACTAGAAACTTAATGCGCGTTGTATAATAATAATTGTGTATATTGAGGGTAAACCTGAATAAACAAGTTGCTATAGTTAATTTTAAACTTTCGTGTTTAATATACATTATTTAAATTATTAACCGGGTCTTAACACGAATAATTTTATGGCAAATAAAGGTATTTGTTCCTGCGTTCAGTAGATGATCGGCAATCGCGATTTGTGTGGTTGACGATTTTTAACCGCTGCGATGTGCTCTCGGCTATTGATCGTTTTGTTTGTCTATAGTGTACTTCTGAAACATTGATTGGATGCAGGCTATTTTCTGTACCAAGGTGAATACTACCTTCAAATAGATGGCGTTGCAAAGTTCAGTAGCATCAATAGTCAATAAGTGTACGGATACCGTGAGTGCTGTGTGTCGCGAACTTTTGTTAAACAATCTAGTGACGGTAGATGAAGAAAAAACTGCTGTCACCTATCTACATTGACATCGCTGTTACTCCAGTCAGCTCGTGACCACGGCTAGTGCAACCTAGTCGAAACGTCGAGAGAGGTAAATACCTTTATTTGCCATAAAATTATTCGTGTTAAGACCCGGTTAATAATTTAAACAGTTTGCTTCTGATCTCAACATAATTATATTCTTTATTTATTGTTTTATAAAAAAGTACATCTACAATGACATTATATTAAACAATTCAGACGATTGTCTAAAAATTCACATGTAATAATTAAGAAAATTGCGATTAAATTTCAGTAAGTAGTGTTAATTGATAATAGTTACATACTCTAAATGTCTAAATATATATGCCTTATTTGAGCCGATTTTCAAAAAATATCAAAATAGGATAATTTTTTTCAAATTTATTCGATAGTTTAGTGAAATTACAAAATTTAATCTCGTCACACTGCCCACTATCAATCTCGCGTCATGTATCTAATGACATGTTGCTTTATTTCAGTCTAACGACATTGATAGTTGATAATGTTATTTAGTTTCTGAATGTCTCTGTAGTCATATGTCTGATCTGTATTCAATTTATAAATAAATAATGTTCAGTGTTCAAAACAGAAAAAGAACCATAAGCTTTTACATGTAACAAATTGTATATTTCAAATTAATTAATATTGAGTCTTTCTGATTTGTTCTTATTGTTAGCATGACTTCTAAGGGAACGTTTGAGAACCACTATGATGATTATAATAAGGATGTAAATAATATTCTTAATGTATCTAAAGATGGAGTAAGTTTTTATTTTCTGTATAAATATTAATTAAGAGCAAACTAAAATATTTATAATTAATATAATGCTGTCTGTTGTACCACGAACTTCCTTTCAAATTAAGTAACTTTTTAAAATCTAATTGAAATCTGTAAATACATTTACTCTTTCTGTCAAATGTTTGTTTTAAAATAACGGAGCAAAATATTTTTGTAATTTCAAGAAAACAATAAATGGAAATTTAAACACAGTTACTTCTTGTGTGTGGAATCATCTTATATTCTAATATATAAAATCCAGCGTCAGCTTCCATTCTTTTCCTAAAAGAACCGATTTTGATTAATTTTTATATTTATATTTGGTAGATCTGAGAATAAGTAATGTATTTCTATAATCCCAACATGATATGGGTAGGCCCACACCAACATGTTTTATATTTATGTATGTGTTGGCGAATATATATATTGTTTTAAAAATACATACAACCCTAAATTTTTTTTTTATGGATGATTATGGAATGGTGCACCCGTCTGCGCTAACGGTTTACGCTGGCGGAGCACCAGTGTAGGATGATAAGATGAACATGAAGTCAGGTCAGTAAGCCTATTGTGACAATTTAACCAGGCATTTATCACAATGGTTTCCAGGGGGAACCGCGTGGAGGTCAACCTGTCATGGTACATTGCTAGTAATGGGGTCATGAGTACACATTATTAACAATCCCCTTCCCCCTGACCCTAAATTATTACTCCTCTATGATCAACTCTTATTTTTTTTATAATGCTACTATTAGTACAATATTTATATGGTAAGACAAGATTTGCAGGGTCAGTAAGTATTTATATATAAAGTAACAATATTTTCTTTATTGTCTAGTTGTCTGAAAAGTTCCTGGGAAAATTGCAAAACTTTAAGTCCTGTAAATTACATATATTGACAACAAAAATGGAGAGTGATATTTTCTACGATGGAACAATATACACTGGATCAGCAGGGCTGGCTTTATATCATTTTATGTGTGCAATGGGGAAAAATGACAACAGTTATGAGGGTTTAAAGGTATGTTCTCTAACTAATACAGTTATATTTGTTGACACCTGCTTTAATTTTTAATACACATTCTCAGGTTGAAATATAACAATAGATAGTTGCACTATTTATGACTTAAGAACTAATTTTTTCTTTCTTTCTTTCTTTCTAATTAGACTGATTTTTATGATACTTATTTGTTAAATTTACTTTAGCTCTAGCTAGTAAAATAACTATAATAATATAAATACTAAATAAATAACTTTGAAAGATGGTTTGGTTTTAGCTAGTATAATTAAAATCAAAATATAATATAAAGGATATTAAGTTGTGGGCTATATTTTAGCTTAGTAATATTTAAAGTACTTAATTTATTATTACTTCTTGTTTTCACAGACTGTATTGGAATATATCAACATAGAAAACTTGAAAGGTCGCAGAATAAGTTTTCTTTGTGGAGATGCAGGACCATTAGCTTTAGCTACTGTTATATCATATAAAATTGGTACAACACGTCCAAATAATTTTCCCGATTATAAAACTTTAGCCCAAAGGTATATTGATATATATGTTGGAATCTGTAGAGATAGAAATAATACATAACATTAGTTTCAATTAAACATGACATATTTTTTAAAATTTTAGACTCATGTCTCTTATATCTTTATTGAATGATTCACCTGATGAACTTTTATATGGAAAATCTGGATATCTTTATGCATTACTTTTTGTGAATAAACATATTACAGGGAAAGAAGTTATTCCTGCAAGTCATATAGAAAAGGTAACTTTGATAGTAGATTCTTTATCTTTTTCCTTATAATTAATGAAATAAAATATAATGTAAATTCATAAACGGTAATAAGATTATGTCCCAGGCACTACTATTCTATTAATTAAAAATTTGGTACAGATAAACAATTTCTGTACAAAACTTTTAGTGCTTTTTTAGTACTATACAGAATGTCTCTTAACAACAATATGTAGAAAGTTGTATACATTTTATGGCTTAATGTAATGATTCTATTAATTACAGGTCATCCTTGCCATTTTGAAATCTGGTAAACATTTTTCTACACAAATGAAGTCAGATAGTCCTCTTTTGTGGCAATGGCATGATAAAATATATTTGGGGGCTGCTCATGGAATGGCTGGGATTTTATATATGCTATTACAGGTGATTTTTATTTGGTCTATTTTACTAGATTTAAGAAAAAATGTCTGCCAAAAGTGCAAATATTTTAATAAAATATAAACCCTAATATCATATGGGTAGCATAACACAGTAAGAGTATAAGGATGAGTGGCCGGCCACATTGGAAGCTATTAATATATGTATTATATGGGCCGAATATGGATCCAGTTGGTCCAACTAGATATGAAATGACTACTGGCCCAGTCTGCCCTGCAACAACGGTGCAGATTTTTCTATTAGCTAAATATGTTCTGATCCGTTAATTAGTTAGTCCTTTAATACCAGTTCGGATATCGCCTGTAAAAATACATCATGATATACATACATATGATGATACCAATGTATCAAATGCATTTTTGTAATCTGTAAAATCTACAATTATTTGTATTCCATTACTTAAACTATCATTAACGTTATCCGCAAATCCTGTAAGCGTGGAAACTGTGCTACGACCTAAACCCTTGACAACTATCAGACAACAATATATTCAGCTCCAAATATGTGCTCGTTTGCCTGAAAGATAATATTATGTATATGTCTTTTTATTTCAGGCTCGAGAATATATTAATGTTACTGAACTACGTAGTTTTATAAAACCGACCATAGATTGGCTATTGAATCAGCGGTTTCCGAATGGAAATTTTCCATCATCTTTAAATAGCAGCTCTGGTGATAGACTAGTGCAGTGGTGTCATGGAGCGCCTGGATTTGTTCCCTTGTGGCTATTGGCTCATCAGGTTTGTTAAAGCAATATGTTGATGGTGAACTTCTTAACATATCCAGCATGCATATATCAATTTATTGTGAACTACTATAGAAATATCTTCAATTATTTAAAAATATCAGCGATGTCATTTTAACATCTTTGGATATTAGCAATATATGGTTATACTGATAGTGTATACGTAACATGGTATTTTTGTCCACTATAACAATTATTCAAAACCATTCAATGTTAATAGACCACAAATTAATTATTTACTTACACCATGGCACTTGCTTTTGCACACGGGAGACAGGGGAGACAGATTCATAAACAAAATTATACAAAAAGTATCTTCTCTATTTAACGGCTTTTCTGATGGTCTGGGTGTTTCCTATGTTTCTTATGTATGTGTTAATTAAACTTGTTTCAGCATTATGACATGTTGTGTCAATAAAAACACGATCAGCAATATATATTACTATAGCTAGATAATATTAAAATCATATCTAAATATTTATTTATTCCAGGCAACTAGACCCATATTATAAATACCTTATAGACTAACATACATATAATATAATATTTAAAATCTAATATAATGATATTGTCTGTGTGATCACGGCACTGAAGACGGCAATCTGCCACGGTAGCGCTGATATACCACACCTTTCGACCAGTAGTCCTCTTTCATGAAGGTGGGCAGCAAGTCGGTGTGTGTGGACAAGGGCGCTTTGAAATTCGCGTTGTGACTCGACTTCAGCTGCGTCACCCTCAATGTCAGGTTACTCTTGGTACGAATATAATCGACAATGTCCTGCTCCTTAGTGGCGTAATGTAGACGGGACAGGTACATTGTCGTGGTCGGTGTAGCAGCACGCAGCAGAAAATTGGGCCCAGTGAGTGCAGTGCCACAATGGTTCCTATTGACCCTGTTTGTGGGCCTCTTCTTTTGTACCACGACGAAACCATCATCGTCGCGGTTACCAGTGGCAGCACACGTAGGGTCAATGTTCAGTGCCTATATATTTATACCACGTAGGTGGCAAACAGGCCTACTGCCCATCTGATGATAAACGATTATCGTAGCCTATGGACGCCTGAAACACCAGGGTGGTCACATACCCGTTGCCGACCCTTAAGAAACCCTTCTTGAAAAACCCCATGCTGTAGTCTCGTGAGAAAACCTCGGCAAGTACTTCATTCCACAATCTGAGTGTACGCGGGAGGAAGCTCCTTTGAAACCGCACTATCCGGGGCCACTTAGGTTCCAGCGTGTGGGGATAAATTCCCTGTCGATGGCGAGCGGTGCGATTGTAAAAGGTTGCTGTGGGCATCCTGTTAAACTATTCTTCAGAACACGGTCCGTTGTATATTCGGTAGCAGCACACTGACCTTTTTTTCGAGGTGACTACGGAACTCAACTGTGCTAGAGACATCGACTCCGAGAATCCCAATACTCTTAGAGATGGTAATGAGCAAAAGGAGTTTTCTTAGCGGTGAACGCGCAGGCTTGTGTCTTGGTAGGATTAATTGAACTAAATTCAGACGCCCCCAATCGGAGACTCGGTGAGAGTACTCTTAATTTCAGACACAAGCTGTTCGCGGTTTGACTCCACAATGGAAAGAGGAATGTTAGCACGGCCCGTGTAAAACACGGCCCCAGTACTGTCGCCTGCATAACAATGAATGTTAACTGTGGTTAACAGATCATTTATATACAGCAAAAACAGTGTCGGGGAGAGAACGGAGCCTTTCGACCCGTCGACCACAGTTTTGATGTATCTTCCATGACGACGGAATTTGCCCAAATGAGTACGAAAGTGCGAAGAGGCGCGTGAGTACAAAACACAACTCAGGAGCTTCTTTAACACCAATGCCGGTATGCCGTCTGCCGTCTGCCGTCTGCCGTCTGGCCCGTTCGACTTGTTGACATCGAGAGATAGTAAAAAAAGTAAAGTCCCCCGCGTCTAGAGTCGAATTTGAGGCAAAAAGAGCGCACAACAAATCGGCCTCTGTTGCACTATGTGCCAAGTTATCATCCGGATTCCGTAAAGGTGGTAAGGACGACTGACTAAAGTTAATTTCGGCAGCTTTGGCAAGCGACCAAAAGGCACGACTACCAGTACGATGTCAGGCAAGTCGCTGACGGCTTGCTGACGCTGCCGAATTTGGCTCTAGTAATTATTAACATTTATCTTCTATAATACTGGCAGACCCCGCAAATGTTGCTTTGCCATATAAATAAAATTCGCTATTAAAAAATTGGGGTTCATGCTAGAAACGTGAAAATTTAGGTTTTTATGTATTTTTTAATCCTAAATAATAATAAAATATTATATCGAAAAAATAATATTTAGGGGTGGATATCCCTTACCACTTAGGGGTATGAAAAAATAGATAGTAGCCGATTCTCAGACCTACTGAATATGCATATAAAATTTTATAAAAATAGATCAAGCCGTTTGGGAGGAGTGTGGTAACTAACATTGTGACACGAGAATTTTATATATAAGATATATTTATATTCATAATTATTATCTCAGCTGGGGTAATAGGTATTGCCAATTGCATATCGGCGTATAGAATTTTTAGGAATGGAACCTAGTGACCATATCTAACAATGTACCATGTAAAATCGAATTCATAGTTCTATTTACAAAGCGATTTTAGTTGTCATTTGTTAATTTTATATTGATCTTCATTAATTTTAACATATCTTTACTGTTGCTGCATAACCACATCGCTGTTATGTTAATCTTGAGACCACCCCGTTTTCGTACTAGGTATTTGAAGAAGACAAGTACTTCAAAATTGCTTTACGATGTGGCGACATTATATGGCACAGAGGATTATCAACCAAAGGATACAGTTTGTGTCATGGAGTCAGCGGTAATGCCTACTCGTTTATACAGCTGTATCAAGTTACAAAAGTAAGTATAATTGATGGATATGAAAAATCTTTTAACATTAAGAATATTTTGAATTGATTTCCAAAGAAAACACTTATTGCAAATCTGTCATTAAGTAATAAAAGAGCAACGTAATAAAACGGAATTTTTAATTAATACATATTAATAATGCAATAAAAAAATTGGGTGTATTAGGAACTCTAAATGCGACAGAACATTGGCGAAATCGTATTTCATACTGAACTGAAAGCGTCTCAAAATAGAATACAACAAAAGATTATAATTTATGTATTACCATATTGGTACCATGGCATATCTGCCTTTGTAATCAGTAAGAATGAAGACTCATTTGTATTGTATCATAAACTTTTTATAGGGTTTTACATCATATTTTTTTTTCTGGATTTAAGATCGACTTATTTTTCGTTCAGCATTGTAGTTTCAAGCGTATTTTCATGCATGGTTTTATATTTTACCCATACAAATATACGAACATGTTTTTTAAACTCACTTTGGCATTGCCTGTATTTAAAGCAAGTGATATACTTTACTGGTCATTTTGTTGTAGCACCATGTATTTGATATAATGCTGTGTTTCTCAACGTAGGGCCCGCGCTCCACAGGGGGGCAATTCGATAATGAACATATGAAATGTGAATTTCAATTTTTCATTATGTTTTAAAAATCTACTTATTGTGTCATTAACAATTTCCTAGTCATTTCTTCCTAAAACCTATTATTTAAGTTTCTTAAGTGAACAAATCTATTTTGTAATTTTATAAATTATGTATGTTGCATAAGAGTTCTAGAAAGGCTAAGATGGAGTATAGCACTTAAAAAGTTGGGAAAAGCTGATCTAATGTAATAATTTTACAGGAACCCCTGCACTTGTATCGTGCTTGCTGCTTCATGGAGTGGTGCGCAGTAGAGCGCTCCGGTACAGAATTGCACCGGCCGGACAGACCAGCCTCTCTCTTTGAAGGCCTAGTTGGGCGACTCTATTTAGCTGAAGACATTACTCACATATCAGATGCCAAATTTCCTGCATTGTGTTTGTAATTTTTTAATTCATGATGACGAAACTTTTACCAAGTTAATTGCAAAAGTATCCAACATATACAATGTTTATTGTATGTCATTTGCAGAGTGAATTTTATGTAACTCTTCGTTTCATTTATAACGTAGCTCACTTCTTGAATATAACTTCGTCTCGTAACAATTTAATTCGCGTATTTTTTTTAACCTAGGCTTAGGTCTCTTTAACTAATTTTTTATTTCTTGTTTACTATGAACTAAAAACAGTATACCGGAGATATTGTATCTTAACTAGAACTAATTAAGCGATCATATTTATGTATAATATTTCGCAGTGATGTTGAACTTAACATCGTTAGAATTTTAAAATAATTTTAAAGTGTTTATTCCTAGGTATACTTATGGAACAGGGTTATAATATAACATGGTAATTTTGAGTAAAATATTAAGCGTTAGTGTAATGTAATAAATAAAATAACAATAATATAAATTAGGTATATAATAGAAATTTCTGTAAATATAATATAGGTACACTGAAATATAAAAAGTTAAACCATTTATATTGATTGGTCGTTATTATCTTTAAATATTCTTACAGGAAGAACTTAATAGGTAGTATATATTAACATAAGCATGAAGACAACACAAGTAGAAAATAATGTACAAACTACAGACATTCGAGATCTTTTTTTTTTTATTAACTAGAATGTTATACAAGTTGATGGCCCACCTGATGGTAAGTGTTATGACTATTGAAAACCACTATTGAATCACAATTCATTATTTCCATGAGACTTGTGAGTAACTGTACAATATGTGAAATGTGCTTATATGAAAAATTTATGTGTTAACATATGACTTAAACATTTAATTTTCCAGATATAAATTTGGATTCTATAATAAAATTTTATATATATTCTAACAATAAAATAATTCAATAATTTCATTCTTCATAGCTAAATTATAATATTATTATTAAATTTTGTCTATGGATAAATCTATAAATCGATGATTTCGTTTTCCAGACATAAATTCGGATATAATTATAAACCTGAAAGAACGTATTACGACATTTATTCTAGAGCCTAGAGTTAACCAAATGTATCTAATTCAGAAACATACCACGACATTGAAAATATAGTAGAGCTCCAGAGTTGTAAGTTTTGTGGAAATGATTAAATGTGTATAAGCGGTATTATAATCTAGAAAAATGTGTTGTAAAACATATATGGATAGATAAAATGGAATTACTATTTACAAGTGAGTAAATAAGTATATAGAATGTCTATACGGGCACTAAATAAGAAAATTTCGAAGTTGGTACGACGTGATCTCCGATCCTCGAATACACTTTTCATTGAAAAAGCTATTGAGCAGAATCGGGGATCAAAAGTGTTCGTCCAACAAGTAGAAAGACGCCACTTGTCAAAGGTAACCACATCGACAGGTACTGTTACCGCTTCTAAGCCAGAGATTCTCTCGGAAGTCGAGGACTTCTTCGGCGAACTGTATGTCTCACACGTATGTCGGCCTGAATCACTTGCAGGAAATCCCAGGGCTCCTTTGACTCGCCATTACACTGAGGAGATGCCCGAAATTAGGCGTGACGAGATCGTGATGGCTCTTAAACAGCTCAAAAATGGAAAAGCCCCAGGTGAAGATGGGATAACCACTGAGCTCCTGTAGGCTGGAGGTACTCCTGTACTTGCAGTACTTCAGGAACTCTTCAACTCGGTTCTCTTCACTGGGTGAACTCCACAGGCATGGAGTAGGGCCACTGTTATTCTGTTCTTCAAAAAGGGAGACAAAACCCTACTCAAGAACTATCGGCCCATCTCATTGCTAAGCCATATATACAAGCTGTTTTCAAGAGTCATCACGAATCAACTTGCGCGAAGTCTTGACGAGTTTCAACCCCCAGAACAGGCCGGGTTTCGAAGTGGTTATGGCTCCATAGATCACATTCACACAGTTAGGCAGATTATACAGAAAACCGGAGAGTATAATCAACCTCTGTATCTAGCCTTTGTTGACTATGAGAAGGCCTTTGACTCTATCGAGACTTGGTCTGTTCTGGAGTCTCTGCAGCGATGCCAAGTCGACTGGCGATACATCGAAGTGCTGAGATGTCTCTATAACGCTGCAACAATGACCGTCCAAGTACAAAACTAGCAAACTAAGCATATCCACCTGAGACGTGGAGTAAGACAGGGGGATGTTATATCCCCTAAGTTGTTTACAACTGCGTTGGAGGATATGTTTAGAATGCTGGACTGGAAAAATTACGGCATTAATGTTAACGGCGAGAACATCTCTCACTTATGATTTGCTGACGACATTGTCATCATGGCTGAATCGCTGCAGGACTTACAGCAGATGCTGCGGCCTGGCTGAGTCATCTCAACGCATCGGTCTTCGGATGAATTTGGACAAAACCAAGATCATGTTCAATGATCGCATTCGTCCGGAACCGGTTGCCATTAATGGAGTTCCTCTCAAAGTCGTTCAGGGGTATATTTATCTAGGGCAAACGCTCCAACTAGGTAAAAATAACTTTGAGAGGGAGGCCAAGAGGCGAATACGGCTAGGCTGGGCGGCTTTTGGGAAACTTCGTCAGGTCTTCTCGTCGTCGCTACCACAAAGCCTTAAGACCAACGTTTATAATCAGTGCATCCTACCCGTTATGACATACGGTGCCGAAACGTAGACACTGACGATACGACTGGTCCACCAACTCAAAGTAGCTCAACGAGCTATGGAAAGGGCTATGCTTGGAGTTTCTCTGAGGGATCAAATCCGTAACGAAGTAATTCGCCAGAGAACTAGGATCACCGACATAGCTCTTCGTATTTGCAAGTTGAAGTGGCAGTGGGCTGGTCATATTTGTCGTAGAACCGATGCTCGCTGGAGTAGGCGTGTTCTATAGTGGAGACCGCGAATTGGCAAACGTAATGTAGGACGCTACGCAGTTAGGTGGAGCGACGACATACGTAGGGTTGCGGGTAAAAAATGGAGAGAGGGCTGAAGATCGTGCCCAGTGGCGTGCCTTGGGAGAGGCCTATGTCCAGCAGTGGACTGCAGTGGGCTGATGATGATGATGAATGATGAATGATGATGTCTATACAAAAGTCTACTCTGAAGAACATTAAGTAACACTAGTTCTAGGCCGCGGCGCTACTCGTGTAGAATAGGTTTTTTTTAAATCGGTGCAATATTCTTTATTAGAAACAACTGAACAAATAAAAAATAATACGTTATAATAATAATATTACTAACATTGCATTAACAAAGATAGTAGCCATGTGTTGGTAGTTTTATTTTTTATTAATATCATGCAAAACCAACTCTAACGTATCTAAACTGTATAGTTTAATTTTGTTTATGAAAAAAAATAAGCTAACGGCCCATCTGATGGTAAGTGGTAACCATCGTCTATATGAGCTGCACTTTCATTTGTTCGAACTAAGCTATTACGTCTACTAAATGTGTGTTTACCCAACATGTTATGGTTATAACCAACATCCCGACATATTTTGAATTTTGAATGTGTCTGTACTAAATCAATTCATCGGTGTCCCTGGAGAGTAAAAAGCAAAAACTGAACTTAACAGGAATAAATACCGTCTTAAACTTAAACATTTCTAATATAAGTATTTCTAATATAAACATTATTTTCAAACTTTCATATTGCAGTAAACTTTCTGTTCAATTGAATCAATTAAAATTAAATATTCAGAAATTAGTTATATTCCCATTACGTTGTACGGGCAAAAAACATTACAATACTAGGAACTTACGTAAAACCAGTTACAATACATTAAAATACAAATGAAATTACCAATTAATTAAAAAAATACAATTTTATAATATATAATGTATTAAAACAAAAAGATTAAGTTTAAAGGCATATCATTAAGACTATTATTTATTCTCTGGGAGTGCAATACTAGATACTAAGTTATGTGTAGTTATGTATTATATACTAACACCAAGTTTCCACCACTATACATTATATTATGTTTGAATAATAGTTGAATATGCTAATATATAATGTATCAATTATAGTGTATAGATATTTTATTAATCCATTTATAATTTTTTTATGATAAAATATTAAATATGAACGATATATATTTGATGGAAACGAGGGGTTATATAAATCCAAATATAAAAATCAGTCTGTTATTTTTTTTCTGGACAGTGTCTACAAGTGACTTCTTAACAAAAAAAAAAACAATTTATATAGATATCGCTTCTTGATCATAATAGATTCAATTAACATCAACTAGCGTAGATTATACGTATACGTGAGTATTGACACATTATGTTCGACAAAATATAACTAACATCATCGATTCTCGTTCACTGATTTATATACAAGTACGATAGTCACTACATTAACACACTTCTCTATATAAACCTATGACGTATTAACACATTCAATATACCTTAAGAGGAATATAATAATATATTTATCACATGTACTTGTATATAAATATGTATATACAAAGTGGATTTTTGAGATGAGGATGGATTGACATTTACATTCACAGAATTAAAAAAATGTATTTTCATCTATAAAATGGAGTATGGATTTCATGAATATATTATATTCTTACTCTCTCTTCTATTGCTTACTCTTCTACAATAAAATAAAAAAAATTAAATAATTATCATTGATCAGATCCGAATGAACTCCCCATATCAATAAACTGTTAACTTCATGCTTTGAGATATCATTAGAACTTTCTTCCTTTCAGAACTAAAAATTCAGGCTTAATCTCCTTTTGATCTAAATTATGCTATTATATTTCATGATAGATAAAGTAAAGAAAGATTGTGTAATTTATCTATTTTCTTGTTGGTTTTTCTTTAAAATCTATAAATGCTTGTGAAAATATTTCTAAATGTTATGAAAAATTCCGTATGCATTAAAGTATTATATTAACCTCGCCTCAAAAATTTACTTTATATATTACGAAATTAACATTTGTATTGTTTGTATAGCCTCTGTATTTTCTATTATATTTCTCATTACGAAAACTAGATTTACTAAGGAAAATTAGCAGGGCATATTCAGGGTAATCATAGCTATTCTATTTCTTTCTACATTTTTAAAATGAGGTTACTTTATTCTACTTAATAGCTGATTTGTTACAGCAGGTAATTAACTTATTCCTTATTTATGATGTATATAAGTTTGTATTTATTTATATTAGTTGTGTAGTACCATAACGCAAGCCCTGCTAAGCTTGGGACTAGAAGGCGCTGTGTTCGTCCTGTTATTATTATTATATTATTTGTACGTTTGTAACAAATGACTGGTATCATATGCATCCCAGTCGTCGGTATAACTGTAATAGGTGATGATATATCAAACATTTGTCAGAGTAACGCCGCGCCAGCTTCTGCACGAGAGTGCGGCAATGGGGGCCCGGTCTGCCATAAATCCTCCCGCGGGTCATATATCTCGACCGAGGCGAGCATAGTGCGGGCGCGGTAGAAGGCTCTCTCTCCACCGCTCTCGCTGTCTCCACCCGCTACAACTAGCATACCCTCTGCTGCACCTGCGGCGCAACCAGCTCTTGCTTCCTTTAGACTTGACACTTCCTCCCACGCATCCTAAAAAATTACGACAAAAAATTTATCCTTTAAAAATTATAATAATACACTACTTAATTATACTATGAACTACATAAGAAGCAGAGATGTATCAATTATGTTTAAGTAATTAAATCATAACGGAGTTTACTATCTCTGTGAAATATTTTAGTACTAAAAGTTACTTAATAAATTAATATTTAATTATTAATTTATTAAGTATTATCAAAGGAGTACACAGTGAATATTCGGACGGTGCTTAAAAAAGTGAGCTGGTATTAAGTAAAGTATAGAGTATACTGCATTACATATGATAAAAACTAACATTAATACTTACATCATCGAAACTGTATCTTTCCACTGATGTAAGGACAGTTCGCCTCGGAGCATTGCCACCTATAACGTAGAGATAGTTTCCGAGAACAACCGCGGCCGCTTGACTTCTAGGATGTCGCATAGAAGTTAGTGTGTGCCACTTACGCGAAGAGGGGTGATAGCATAGTAAGTCACGGGTATGCCTCCAAGTATGCGTACATCCACCCACAACGTATATAAGACCTGAAATAAGGTTCAGTTTTCAAAATCAACACGAGCAGTCCATATCTCTCGTAGTATAGCATTATAAGAGTACATGTACATTGAGAATTAAAGTTACAAGGATTCATTATACTAATAATTAGAAATGCAACAATGAGTTTGTTAGATTATATAGCATTATTGTTTAACACGATGAAATTGGCCATAATAAGCCATATACGCAGAATTCGAGATTACGACTTACATAGACTTCTTTTTTACCTTCAAAATTGACAACGCCCATTCCAAACCTAGGTTCAGGCATGCGGCCTGTCGACGTCCACTCGTCTGTTACAGGGTCATAGACTTCTACAGATGCTCCCATATCCGACCCCACCCAACCGCCAAAAGCATACAAATTTCCATTCCACCCAGTAAGACCAAATTCACAACGTGCTTCCTTCATCGGTGATATGTTAGACCATTTATCAGTCTAAAACAAAAGAATTTTGATACTTTTATTTAATCCATATTAATTGTATGTAACCCAATTCTAAAAAATATAATTAATATATTTTACAAATAGGCATGTAGAGAATATTTTTTTTGCCTAGGCCCTTATTGTTATAATAATCTCACTTATGCTTACCTTTATTATATTATTATAAAATTATCGGTGTGACAAAAAAAATTACTAGAAAAATCTTGTAATAAAGTACGTAGGTAGGTAAAAGACTATTTTACGCGTATTCACATCTGACTTCGTTAGTGTTGGTAGTATGCAGTCTAGCATCTGTTATATTAGTACATAGTCAGTGTGTAGCTAATTATAGGGTTTCCGATTCTTTGTAAAATAAATAAAAAGAAATATATATTTATCTTTATTAAAAAAAATCAGTTTTAATACTACGTGTGATCAATTAGTAGATATAATTAGTAATATTTCCGACCAACCCTGTATACAACAATAATACATATAATTCAGAGGATTGCTTCACTTACCTGGGGGTCATATACTTCTCCATTCGCAAGTATTTGGCTACCTTGCTCCCCTCCGACTGCGTAAACACGACCACCTAATGTAGCCACTCCAGGTTGGATTCGGGCTATACCCATTGGCGATAGATCCTCCCATTCTCTATATAGAAGAGTAATACGAAAGTTTGTATTATCTTTTACCAAAAAATACAGGAAGAGTAATACAGCGCGAGTGAGACTTAACTACCGCGGTTTCCGAACCGTAATGGAATAAAGCCTTAGTTTAAATCAATATTACAATAAAATGGAATCGCATGTCTTATATTATGTCTGTATGGAGAATTCGAAAGAAGGTTCGGAAGGGCAACCTACGGCCATTTTTACATTTTCCACATGCAGTCAAAAACTGCGCTGACTGAACAGTAATGAAAAAATGTTGTAATACATAAAACAATCCCTTTCCTATAATTCACTTAGGTAGTACTAATATTATGTTAAATTTTTTTAAAATATTATATATCATTCTATTTAATCATTTCCAAAATCTTCACAAGAATTTTATATTTCCACGATGACTCTACATATCCATTTCACATCTTAATTTCAGAGGTTATGGATGATATTGTTTTTAAATTTGGAATATTTTTTAATACTGGAGGAACAGTTAACATTTAAAAACAATGTCATGATATGTAGGCCTAATTGAAAAGGACAACGTTTTGGTTCGGACCACTAAAACATACTTCTATTTTTCACCTTTTGAGCAAGTCGAACTTTAGAACTGAGGATAGTATGTTGTCGGTGGAGAGCGGCGGGTGCTTGGCGTGATCATGACAGGAGCCACCTGCTACCACCAACAGGCGGCGAGCGCGCGCGCGGGGCTCAGCCGCCAGCGACACTAACGCGCCGCGACCAGTTTTCTGAAAATATATAACTTTAGTATTAACAGTGGCAATCCGTGAGGAAGTAGCCATTATTATTGCTAAAAGTTGCATATAGATGGCGTGATTGGTATCGATGGAATTCTTCATAGTTTTGCAAACGTTTTAAAAAACAAAACTGTGTTTACAAAAATGTTTAATCAATTTTTAAAAAGTTATATATACATGTTAAAATGAAATAATGCGTTTAGAAAAGTAATTTTCATATATTTACTCATTTTGTTATTTTCCAGTACTTAATTAATTTAATCAGTGCTAATACGGGGCTCAATGTTTTCAAAATGCTTTCATAGATGGCATTGTTGTCATTTGTATCGGCCTAATTAAATGTCTTTTTTATATTTTCCAATAATAAGCACTTAATATATCATTATTGTAAATTAAACATATAAAAAATTTTTAAGTAAATTAAAAATAGCCGAACAAGCAAGTAATACTATTTCCAATAATACTTATGTATGAAATGTTGTCATATTAAAAATAAATACATGTATTATCGATTTTTTTGAATAATCGATAACAGGATTTTATTACAGCACATTATTCGATGATGCTTTTAATGAGTCGTTGTGAACAGTAAATTTTCATTATTTTGTATTATAGCAGTGTTCCGTTTCAAAGAACGGAATATAGTAGTACATTATTAGTGTCGTTGGTTATTTACATTTGTACTAAAAATCGATTACATAATAATTTAAAATATCGAGTACGAATCGTAGTTGTCTTCGAATACTGGCAAGATTAAAATAGTATTAAAAAAAAAGAGAGAAATCGACCCTAATTCGAATACCATAAAGTTGATTTTCCTTTCTCATTAATATCATAGCAGTTTGTTTTTAACTTGCGTATGACTCTGGTATGATGTTTAACGTGTATTGTTATTGTACATTACAAAAATTATATTTTAATGTAGGTACATACATTTCTTTCATACATTTCATACATGTCAAAAATTATCTTTTAATGTAGGTACATACATTTCTTTCATACATCTCATACATTTCAAAAATTATATTTTAATGTAGGTACATACATTTCATACATGTCAAAAATTATCTTTTAATGTAGGTACATTCATTTCTTTCATACATTTAAAAAATGAACTTTTTATGTAGGTACATAGTACATACATTTCTTTCATACATTTCATACATTTAAAAAATGAACTTTTTATGTAGGTACATACATTTCTTTCATACATCTCATACATTTCAAAAATTATATTTTAATGTATGTACCTACATTTCATACATGTCAAAAATTATCTTTTAATGTAGGTACATACATTTCTTTCATACATCAAAGATATTATTATTGTAGATATTGAAAGTTATGTATACAAGTAATTCTGAATATTATCAAGTTCAAAATAAGCACACATTACTGGCTTAGATAATAGAGTAATATTACTTGTAATAAAAACATTTGTGACACCCATATGTATACATATTACATAGTAAGTACTTACGCCCGTGCCGTGAGACTCATCTAAGCGTACAGCGCATGCGCGTCGTGCGGTAACCGCACCGACGGACCAATAGGAGCGCGCCTCTCGCGCATCCAGAAAGTTCGCGACTAATGGACGGTATAGTAGTAAAGCAATGAGTGTTCCAGTGACATCATTATAATATTTTCTCGTTAAGTTTTATTGTAATATACATAATTTCGTACTAAGTAACGTGTTCCCCCGTTACACATTTCTAACGTGTAACACACATACTGGGCGTGAAAGCGAGACAAACAGACAGAGTTACTTTAGCATTTATAATATTTGTAAGAATATAGCTATTAAAAATAGGGGTTGGTGAAAGACGGGCCAAAATTTAGGCGTGTATGTAACATTATAAATAAATAAAAAATTGTCCATAATACAAAAAAAAAAATTCAGGGTAGGCCACCCCTATGACTTAGGGGTATAAAAAATAGATAACCACCCTACCTCAGACCTAGCAAGTATACATATCAAATTTCATCAAAATGTGGGAGAAATATGGCAACTAACACTGTGATACGAAGTTTATATATAAGATATAGCGGAATTCTCATTAGGGAAAAGAGGGGTACATCGTAGAATACATGAGGTATATACCAGTAAATTCATTGTAGCTAAAACCAGTCTCTTACACATAACGATTGAAATAAAAAATCATATAGCCCGATGTTGATACGTACGAGTATAAACGTATCAAAATCGGGCTATACGATTTTTTATTTCAATCGTTATATGTATAGCGCAGACGCGTTACAACATATCAAAAAAAATAGGCATGGAATGTAAAATAAACCATAACATAATATATACATTGGCACATAAGCCATATCTGCAGGGTATCGGCTAACGATATATTATACCTACACATTTACATTGAATCTTGAATCGTCCCTAATGAGGTACACGATACAGTTACCTACATATCTTGTATATATCTATCTTTGCAAAACAGATGTCATGTAGACTGAATTGACTGCCATCTATTTTCGTGCTTTGTTACTAAGCACCCACTAGTAATCCGAACTGCTTCATATCTAGAGACATCTAGCGGCTACGGCGTCACAATAAAATAGCCCGAAGAATAGCCCGAGTTAGGAAGGAACCATTTTCTTGTATGGGATGGGGTATCTGTATGTAATATTATGTTATCTGTGGTATTAAGAAAGTAAAATTGATCAAATTATTTATGACATTTAAAAATATTTCTACATGACAGTCGTGACGCCACTTTTTCCAATATAGTCAAAAGATAGTACGCTGATACTATATGAAATTCAATATAGAGAATAATCGTAATTATAAAAAGACCCAAGAACAAGAACTAATATAGAACTCAGTTTAAAATTAACGTTCAAAATTTAGAATCTCTTAGGTATGTAGTCCCTTCTAACTGATTACCAAGTCCATTAGCAATATAATAAGAATAACCCTACACCATTTACACAGCGCCACCTAGGCCCAAGCTAAGTGCAGCTTGCATTATGGGTATTAGACAACTGATATAAACACACAGTTTTTGTTTTGTAAATACATTACAAACATAGAAAACATCCAGGCTGATACAAACAATCATACTCATGAATACAAATATTTGCACGATGCGAAGAATCGAATCGGTGACCATCGGAAGTAATGCGATGTGCTAAACCGCTAGAACATCAGTATATCAATAACAACAGTGGTCAAATGTATTTAGTTATATTGTAAATTAAAAATGTTACTTTCTTTGCAAGAGGGTCCGAATTAATTCGTAATTTTCGACTTCCTATTTCTATTTAATGTCCGCAATTTTTAATTTATGATATAATTATTTTAGACATAAAAAATATTAATTATGAGATAATTGTTCGGACCCTCGATGTGATAGATCAATTCGCACTTTATAGATCTTTCTTTTATTTAAGCAAAATTTATTATTAGCATGATTAAATACTAACCATATCTACGCGAACAGTTTTCAAAGCCACTGCGATTGACGGATCTTGTACATTTTTAATGGCTTCATCTAAAATTTGTGGTGAAATTAGTGGCAGTCGTATATGACTCAATACCTCGAAACAGTGACGTCTACGACATGAGGGATCATGCTCTAGCCACCGTAATGCTGGATACAAAACCTATAATAAAATAAGAGTTAATTAATATTAATTCTGTACAAAATATTCCGTGCGTTTCACGAGAAAAAAATGAGAAATACTCTTGAGAACAAAAATCGCATTTCATACACATTGCGGCGGAGTAGAATAAATATATTTTGATATAAGATTTGTCATAATTAAAGTTCTCAATGAAGGAGATAAAGCCGTCTGTACCTGTTCTTTCATATCTATTAGAATATTGTTTGTATTATAAATCCAGATTTATATCGATTAGATTAAAAAACACTCCATTTTACCTCTGCTTCACTGTCTACTTTTAGCTGTTCTGATGATAATAAGGTTATTAATTGTGCCAACGGTAGTTCTAGTAGTTCATCTCCATTGGCAACTATATTCCAATTAGCCTGAGCGTGGCCTAAAGCTTCCTCGGCTAATTCTCTACAGTTATGTGCTTCCGCAAATCTGGAAAGTTCAAAATGTCTATGTCTAAGTTTGCTATTAATGAGAGTTAATGGCCTCATTACTAGCAATATACTAGGTCGGCCACCACGCGGTCGATCTCGCTCTAGAAAACATTGTGATTAAGTTCGTGTGAATTTTCCACAGTGATTTTACTGGCCCAGCCCAGCTGAAGGATTATAGGATGAACCTATAATCCTTCATTGGTGTGCTCGCCAGTATATACAGTTTGCGCAAAGAGGACCTCTTTCACACATGTCTACTTTTATATTTATAGTGTAAGTTAAGGGCTGAAGTATTTGGTATAACATCCGTTTCTAAATTTTTGGTTTGCCGATTGGAATTAAACAAATACTAAGTTTTCAGAAGCTTAATCACATTAATGAAAACCGCACCTAAATAGCGCGCACAAACACACAGACAAACAAACAAATATTTCAACAATTATTGTTTTAGGTTCGTACGTTATTAAATTCCCTGAATAACAGTTTTTCTCATATGTTAATATATGTATTCATATATATTTTTACAATACATGTACATATGATATATGCACAATTTAATTTGAAAAGTGCTAGAGCTGAATTTCTTATTAACTCTTGACTCAAGCAAGTCAAGAGTTTGATATAATTTATTCCGATTTAATATATGGGACTGTAGTCTATAGATTTATTGAATGTTTGCACCATGTGAGTAATCAAATCCCCGGTCATCGAAAGTAAAGCGCTGTGCTAAACCGCTAGGTCACTGAGGCCATGTACAAATCACTAATTTGCAAGTTGTAATCCTACTAATAATAAAGTTAGAAATATAATTTACCGACCTGAAAATACCTAGAGCATTTGAAGGGTGCAGTTCTCTTCTCAAATATTCTCCACAACCTGTGACAAGTTCTCGGAGTTGCAGCATATCGGCAGCAATTAATAAATGCTGCACTGTGGCTTTGTCAATAATAACTTCACCTTTAAACAAGTTGCAGTTTATATGACACTAATATAATATAGTATAAATGTATATACTAAACTGGCATACTGACTGAAAATAAATAGACCATTATAGGGCACATGTTCCTACAAAAATAGTACATGCCCCTACTAGGATATTTTGTTGGTTGATGCATGGTGTGATGTCAGGGTCATGACAATTCCACTATTTGGAAAACAAACTATTATACAAAGTAAAGATTAATATAATCTAATAAACAACAACATACTTCTCTGAAAGTTTGTTACATATTTGCATGTATTGCAAGCTTGACTGAGTGATGCTATAAACCCCGAGCCAGACCTCATCAATAATTTCCTCTGCTTAAGATAAAAAAAAATGTTATGCTGTTCCTCCACCTATCTACAAAACCGCAAGTGACATTCAGTATGTTCTCTATTACATTTATGTACAAATTAAATTTGACAATAGAATTATTTTCTGGCTTCTAGGCAACAAATAGAATACCTTTTACCAATGTTGTCTCTGAAGGGTAGTAGCATATGCCTTAAAAGATTAATTTTATTTGTTATCAATGTTTCCATTACCAGAGAGGAACACAGAAATTTGTAGACATAGGAAGTTTATTTTCTCAATTAATCTATATTAATTTTATATGCTAAAGAAAATGGATTTTGTTATGAAAAAATAATCTATGGAACTGTTTGAAAGGTATATTATTACAGAGTGACATATTAACAAGGTGTAAAATTATGAGCACATTCAGAATTTTGCCCACTATTTAGTATGGGTACTTTCAAATATTTGGCACATACTTAGTCAGGGGTCAATGCATATAGACAATGTATACCTGTATAAATGAAGTCAATTATCATAGGTAATATATCTGGAGGTACACTAGGAAGTGCAACATGATTCTTTTGACTTTCTTCCAAGCCCACACTGAACATTGCATCGAAGTATGCACAGCTTGCAGCTAAAACCACCCGATGCGCCTACAAGAAAATAAATTTAAAGTACAATGTCTTGGTGAGTCACATCTTTGACAATAATTAGGATAACAATAAATTTTCAAGTGCTAAGCTGCAATCCATAAATTTTATTCAGATTAGTTTTAAATGGATAACCCAATGGATTGTGCATCAATATGCACAATCCATAACCAACAATAGATTTGAATAATACAGTATTTAATAAGAGTCTAGTTTTAAATGGCAAATGGTAATTCATTATATCAAATTTTGCAAAAACTGCAGGCATTTTGCTTTATATTAATTCAATATAAGGGGCCCATGTGAAATTACTATCAATAAGTATGCTAGGGCAAGTCAATGTTTGGCCATTTAGAATTGCATTTAGTAAAGACAGAATGCAAGCATGAGTATGGGCTATTAAATTTGGAATGAAGATACATTTAATATAAGACAATTTTAGTTTTCTTACTATTTGATATCACTTCTATGTTGTGACACCACATATTTAGACTGTTTAAATGTTTTTACAATGATTGATTGATTTTATTGAAATCATTACACGCAATAAGTAGACAAGTGTCAGCAGCAAACTGATAGGAAATGCATTAAGCTATGTATATTTTATTATAAATTCAGTCAAGTTTATCTTTACCAATTTTTTATATAAAGTTGTCATAATAATATATGATGTACACGTTACCTTTATAATTGTTTTCCCTGATATAAGGTCTATATCACAAAACCTTCCGTCTCTTTTAAAATGTTGCAAATTTAATGATATTTTTGTTGCATAGTCTCGACACTTGTATGGTCGCGCTCCATCCTTATTTGAACATTTATCATAAATATTTGCCGTCATAGTGTTATTAATATAATTTAAAAATGTAGCAGTAAGTGAATTTTTGTAAACAGAAGAAATAAGACTATTATAATAACATAAGGAAAGAAAATAAACTAAGAATAAAAATTATGGTGTCAGACTGTCAGATCATTATAAATGTCATCGTTATCTTGATGATTGCTGTCAGTATCACGGTGACAATATTTGCGACTATAATACATAATTAACTAATTATAAATTACTTATGTTACATTTAAAAAAAGTTATAAATCTGTCCTAACAAGTTTTCTACTTTATATTTGGCTAATGTACTTAGTGCCGATTTGCCGAGATACATTTAAAAACTGTGACGGACTGCGGAATCATAGCACAGAGTATATTAGATATTGTCATAACATGTCTGTTCTGTGCAGAGTACATTTCATTTCATTGTGTTCACGAACTTGTTTGTGTACATGGAAATGTATGCTATATATTCTTTCTTAAATTCTAAAAAATCATGACTCTAAACAAAGTGTTACTGTCCACTGATGTTGCATTAGTATGTGTACAACATGCATTATCAACTGAAAAGGAAGAAATAATGGGACTACTCATAGGAGAAGTATGTGTTAAGCAATTGATTACCCCTGAGCAATCATCTAGTATACTCCGTATCTATAGGTTTTAGATAAAACGTAAATGAAAGGATTATTGATTGATTTTGTTTACCTAAGCTAATAATTACTGTGTTATAGTTTAGAAGGTTTGAAATCATTGAAGACTATTCTACAGATTTGAACGCAGCTATCTTTAAAAACAAATCATTTTTGATATTATTATAGGTCCACAACAATGGTAATACGGTATCAATTGTGTCTTCTGTCATCTTAAGACGATTAGATAAAAAACCAGACAGAGTGGAAATATCAGAGGAACAGTTGGTGCAAGCAACTTTTAAAGCAGAGGCATTAGCAGCTGAAGTAGGACGACCACTGAGAGTTGTGGGCTGGTATCATTCTCATCCACACATAACAGTTTGGCCATCACATGTTGGTAAGAAATAGTAATGTCCAGTGAGCCAGGAACAGATTCTAATGCTGAATGTAGTCTCAGTAACTTATAAAATGGTAAAGATAGACATATTATGAATCCTAAAGAATGTCAGCTGCTATTCTGATGGTTACTTGAGTAGCACCCTAGCAGACATGTAAAAGAACAGTCAAGACAAAGACAGTCAATTCCCAATTCAAATTATAGTTGAACCTATATTTAGAGTAAAAAACATAGTCAATTGGTTGAAATGTGATGAATTATCTGCTAGCTGATAGTAAATGTACAAAAAATCTGTTATTTTTTCACACTAGAAAATATGTCAGATGTTACTACTATTACTATTTGATACATTATTTTAGAAAAATGAAATGGTTAGCTGGCTGTAGCATGGTCGACAGATAGTCAGCTGGTTTGAAGTTCTATAAAGACAGTGGTGTTTCATAATATGCTCACAAGATGGTATATCAAAGATATGTTAACAATTTTAGGACTATAATGAGAAAGTAAATTCATCAACATTCTTACATCATCTTGTACCTACATAATTAAAATCATTTTTATATTTATTGTATAAGTAGTTGAGCTGTGGACAAAATTGTAACGGCAGCTAAATAGAATTTATAAAAATAATCATGATAATTTTTCCATTCTTTAATATTAGTTACTATAATATGTGAACATTAAACAAATAATTATTAATGATTTAAGTAAATTACCTAAATATGTCATGTTTATTTTCACAGATCTTGCTACACAATCAATGTACCAGAGGATGGATTCCAGTTTTGTTGGCATAATATTTGCAGTATTTCTTACAGAACAGTCATCAAAAGCACCATCGGTAACAAACACTAATAAATTTGCAAGTCAGGCATACAAGGTACATACTTGACATCCTCTTTTCTAAGGAAAACAGGCATTAAAAACAGAAAAATGGAGTTATTTCAGTATGTTGCTTCGAAAAATGGATGTTATGGCTGTGCTCTGTTTGCACGACCTGATTATGGCTAGGTTTATAAATAATATGTTTATTCCTAAAATTATTATAAGTACATGTAACTACATATTTTATTATTTCTCCAGGTACAAATTACATGCTTCCAGTCTCATAATGAAGGTTCAACTCAAAGTAGAAGAGAAATTGAAATGAAAATAATAAATGACAATGATTCTTTATTATTAAATAACTTCGAAGTAAGTACCTACGGAAGTAGTAATTTTATTAAAACATTGACACATATAATTGTAAAATTAGGTGTAATTAATTTAATTTTTTTTATAAGACACTAACTCAACTGCCGGCAATCTTGAAAGAAGAAGAAGATGAAGCCTATAATAATGAAGTTGGTCAAAGTGAAACAGACGATATTATTAACAAACAACATAATGCCGCCGTAAGAACTATTGCAATAGGACATATAGTTGAAAAGGTACCTATATTATTTCGATAGTCAAAATTACATGAAATCCATACATAGTGTTTATAAATTAAATAAAAAAATATGGGTTCACTCAGTTTGTAGAAATATTTTTTTTATCATAATATGATACTGTTGAAATCCTAACACGCCCTTTTTACGCCTAGATAGTGTATGTGAGTCAGCAAACTGTGATTTAGGTAGAGGAGGAGATACCTAATAACGTATTTAAGACTTATTTATTATTATTGAACGTTTTACAGTTTGTTTGAAATTGAAATGGCTTTTGCATTACACTCAGCTATGAGTGATGTGCAATACCTCGCATCCGTTGTTGTAATTTGGTTAGACATGAGCAAAAAAAACAATAACAAAAAAACATCTTAATGAACTTAATCCTCAGGAATGGTAACGGAGGAACTTATATATCAGCCAAATAGATGTCTTGTATATTGATAATGTTATCTGTGCTTCTATTGACTTCAAATGCTTATGGCTTTCACATAATCAGCTTTAGTAAATAGCTACCACCATTCTTACTTTCTTATACCTGATATGATGTGGCAATGTATACATTGTTATTGATCATACCTACAAGACATTAACATATTAAACCTTAGAAACAATAATATCATACTCATACTCAATTTATGAAATTATTCTTGTTGATGATTGGAAGTTACAACTTTACATTATATGTGCCATCAACACCAATATCAATTTAATACATACCTTACTAAATGTGTTGTGATATTTATAATATTACTCAATCTAATTGAAAAAACAAACTTAATTAAATACATAGGTTTAACATACAAATATTAAATATATATTTTTCAGTTCGAGATTTGTTATTCTTGTGTTTAACTTATTAAAATCATTTTTAAATTCAATTATAAATGGTATATAGCATTTTAATTCTTTGGAATGCTTTAACAATTTGCCTATATTCTGCCAAACTAGTTGTCCTTTTTGAACTAGCAAATTGTTTATGTAAGGCATAAATCTAATATGTTTGTTATTGGTGTCTTGTTTACATACCAGGCCACATTTTGAGTGCCTTTATTCTTAATCTTGATTAATGATTTTAATCATTGTTTCAGATGTCTCGACCAATGTTAGAGGGTCTTGTTTCACGAAATGAGCTCAATAATGTACGATTACAAGCATTGAAAAAACAACATCAAGAACTAATGTCTAAGTTGGAAAATATGTCCTGTAATAGTTAATACTATGGGTGCCTAAAAAATTAGCTTTGAACCATAATTAAATTAATATGTTACAGTCTCAGACTTGTGGCGACTTCATAAAAAACAATAAAACAAAATTTTTACATCAAATCTGTTTTGTCAATCATTTCAAAACCGTCCGATGAGTCCATACTTGATACACGGTTTCTTTTATTGTCTTCAGTCCTAGAATAAACTATCTTAGTCACTGCTCCAGTAAAATTCCACAGAGCATTATAAGCAGTACTGCTCCATGTATCAGAAGGCTGAATAACTTCTAAAGTTGACTGTAGTTGTCCTTTTTGTTTTTCTAAAATCAACATGAATATGGTATCAATGTGGGTATCTATAACATTGACAAAAAATGTCATATATAAGTTGGGTCTAAATTCCCCAGTTGCAGTGCTGACTTTGGGCTACACATTGAGAGTAAGTCAAGATTCCTTAGTAGGTAGTAAAGATACTAGGTATTTATAGGAATTTTTATAGAATACTTAAAACATGAAATCGATATTTTAAGAAAGCAATTTTTTTCATAAGTTTCTTCAATTGAGAATATATACATAACTTCTTTATATGTAAAAACTAAAAGGACAAGCTTTTATGAGGCCATTTATGCAACACGCTATAATTTTATACTAAATAAATTGAATCTCATTATAGTCAACTGGACTAATTATAAGGGACAGGAAAAGTAACTTATGCTTGATAATTGATTTGATAACTAAAGAAACATGTGTATAGGGTATTAGGTATTTATCTAACTAAATTAGCAGTCTGTCTCCGTACCATTTGGCAAACCAGCACCCTACTCACAGATATGTTGATGGTACGGTATGCGTTATTATTATATTATAATTAATACAGCAGTATAGTTCAACTACTGATTTGTAGCTTTACACCTTGCATTATCGTAAATATGGCTTTATAAGAGGTCATGTCATATATTTGTTGTTTGTGAACATAATCTGCATGTAAATAGACATTTATAACACAGAAGAAATCTAGGCTAGTAGCTGATATAATATCCTAAATAAAAGGTATTACAGGATGGCCTCTTCATGTATAATTAAATACACTATCTGAGAATGAATAGCCCATTATAATCTTTGCTGTAATGTCTTATTACTGTAACAGAGTTTATTTACTATAAGCCTATTATTTTGAGAATGGAAAACAACATTACCTATAGGTATATATTCATCTTCACTAGAGTCTGATGTTTCAACATCTCTATCAAGTGTTTGCATTTTTTCTATTGACAAATTTGTGGCTAGAGAACTACTGTTTTCGGAACTGTCACTGGTTTCATCATTTGATAAATCAACTGGCTTCCAACAATCTGCAAAAATAATTTTTAAATCTTTTTTTATTTTAAAGAAGAAAAGAACCGTAATCGTTTGTGGCGGTATATAATATATAGCGCATCTATACTCTCGTAAAGCATACACATACACAGAATGAACTGGCGAAATTCAATAGTTAGTACAAAAATATGGAACAATTTTCCTCCACAATTACGCCAGATAAATCACTAAAAGGAAAATTATCCTAGAAAGACCGAGAAAAACAACCCCTGGATTGCAGTGACAAAATCTCGATAATATGTAAGTTTTTTGTATAGGTGAAGTATGTATATAATATTACTGTTGGCAATAAATAGACTTTATATTATTAATAAATTAATCCGAAAATGCGATCGAATGGCCAAAGGAACCGCAAGAATGCATTGCTGTACAGGTGGCTTGAAAAGAGAAAAGGTTGGTTCTTTACCGAACTGTACAATATCACATACTCTTGACTCTTATTATTATGATTGTAGTGAAGACACGACGCAGCATACATAGAATACCCAGAGTGAGCCGAAAGTCGCAATCGTCGTCGAAGAGAAACTCTGTCGTTGCTGGTTATAGAAAAATGATCGACACTGAAGTAAATTGTCTTATTGGATTTGGGCAAAGAATATAACAGTATTTTCCGCAAAGAAGAATATGTCGTAACATCTTATTTTGCTCTTTTCCAAGTAGTGTTAGTTTACCATCCATTGCTATGGATTGGTAAACTAACACTACTTGAACTGGAAAGACTAGCTACATAACATACCCAAACTTTGACGTTCATCAGTAACTATAGTACACTCTGGTTCAATTGACAGCAGGTTTATATCAACTTCAGATACTTCTGGAATTAGACCCTCCAACTCTGCTTCTGATTCTATATAAAAAAAATTAAAACATCACTTAGTGCTTTTTAACAGAATTAGATTTAATATTTATTTTGAGACGATTTGATAAATCCATGACACTATTTTGCGATAAAAGTTTCTAGATTATGAAATAGTAAAGGCGTAATTAAGTTATATAGATAGTTGGGTTTAATTTTTAATATCAACACAAATAGACATTACAGGGTGTAGATATGACTATATCAATAGTATAAAACAACTAAGTCACTGTCCACTTAATTTTATTATAAAGAATGCTTGGTTCTCATTAAAAAGAACAATACAGCATATTTTAGTAGGTATATAAATAATTTTGATATTTTGAAAATGTTGCATTTAAAATTATAATAATATATCACTTTCTTTTATCTAAAATGGCCATAGTTGGAAATATTCTCCAGAAGTTAATACAACAAGGAATTTTGTATTAATTAAATATTTACCTGCACTCTGTTGAATCTTTTTCACTAATTTTAGTATCGGCGGTGTCAGTTTTTGAAATAGCAGCAGTAACATACATAATATGTAAATTAAGAGATAGCCACTTATATATTTCCCTAACAGGAAAATTACACTCAAAATTATGTTGACCAGCAGAAATGCCTGAAACACATGAATAAAATAATTACCATGTATTCTATGTACAATCACGATGTTGAAAAGACCAAAAGTGTTATTAGTTTAATGACTAATTACACATCATGTTTGATGCTATTTAGTTAAATTGGTAAACTAACAATTCAATAAAAGACATGCCTAGGGGATAAAAATTACTTCATGAATTCATATTTTTACCCCAGCCTATGATTATAAGGTGATTCTTAGAATCTTTTATGCAGCAGTTCGGATGCACCAACATGATTGTAATTTCATAAAAGTGTCAATATGATGGTTGTGAGGTAAGTGCTGTTCTCTATTTCTGACTAGTCTTCCATTGCCTTTCTCAAAGTTTGGTATTGCAGTGATGACTTCAGCAGCGGAACACATTGCCACTTGTATGTCCAAACCATATGTATATGTGTGCAGCTTTTATATGTGTGGTATTAGAGATTTCACTTAACACATCTAGCAAATTTTCTTGATGTATCACTATAAATTTTAATAGATACAATATTCTCAAATTGTTCACTTATTTCCTTAGTTCAACTCCATACCACTACTGATTGTATATGAAAATATTAGTTCTTTTTTCATTCTATTTTATTTAATTTTAACTATTTATATTGTTGGAGACTAGAGAGATAGGTCTTCCTAAAGAGCTAAAGACCAACTAGATGTGAAGTGCCAAATTATGCCTACACATTTGAAGAGCATCATGGATATTACATTATCCTGTGATCACAGATAGTAACCCTTATGCTTTGTCAGTCCCAAGGACTAAGGTGTCATAGCTCCAAATTCTGTAAGGTTATTTATTATCTTTTTTAATGTGATTTCTTCAAGTTGGCTTTCTGTTAAAATGCATTTCCAGATTTCCTGCGGCTTTTTGTGGTACTGAAGGAAATTTTATCCAAGACAACTGGTGGGTAGTTTTCTTTTTTAAAAGTAAATGTAATTTAAATTGATTATACAATGCTAACTGTAATTTTCAACATATTGAGCCGGGAATTAATTGTATTAGGATGAATACTCACTTGCTATACCTGAGTTTATATTAGCTGTAAATGGAGTTATTTTCTGAATATGTTATTGTTATTTAAGTAGGTAAATCCGCTCTATAAACTGTATACAGTACAAGAATAAGACAGAATAAAATATTAGATCCTTGTAGTATCCTTGGCATAACCATTCCTTAGGATTTTATAAACTCAAATATTGAATGTAGCATGGGCCAAAAACAGATTTTCATCAACTACAGTATCAGTTTTTTGTAATAGGCTGATACTTATTATTTAATCCAAGAAATACTGTAGGTGAAGAATGCTATTAAATAGTATTGTTAATTAGACAATTGCTTTTCATTTCATTTATTTTAGAACTACAGTAGTTCAGCTGTATCATGTCTAAAATATCTTGCAGAGCCACTGGTCATAGTGACCTTACTATTTGAGTGGTAGCTTAAATTTGACCAAAAACTCTTTCTTGTTGGTACTCAATCTTTGATATTGGTATCAGAACCATTGGGTTCCAATACACCCTGTTAGTAATATGCATATATTTCAAATACATAAGATTTATTTGCAGCATTTTAGAGACTTTTTTATATAACTAGATTAAACAATTAGTAGTAGCAAAGTTAAATAATCTTAGTGCAAGTATTACTTTGTTACATTTGAAAACTTATATAATGTCTAGTTGTCATTATCCACACTCTGCTAATATAAATTTTGTATTTATTTATCTGACTTAAATCTTTTATCGCATTAGAACTTAATGAAGAGGAAATTGCAAATTAAAATTTAGATTTGCATCTGCATTGACAAGCTCCTTTTCTAAGCTTATGATGGGTATTTTTATGTGGGTATTCAGTTACCCACAGCTTGTGCATACCATTGGAGAGGTAAGTTATGACTGTTGCTTGGCAATGTTACTTTTTATCCCCCATCTGGAAACATGTAAGGTGGGCCTAGCAGAAGTAACAAGCAATTTACCATCACCATGAACCTTGTCAGATCACAATGCTAATAAATCAGGTCAAAAATAGTAACATTATCTCCATTTAAATTTTTAAAAGAACTACATAGATTTCAACTATATGATAAAATTCATATATGTAGCTATACATTTCTTTTGTAACTGATGTCATTTTGTTGACTTATAATTTAATGTAGTTATTAAACAAGATCATGAAGAATATTTAATAAATATATATATATATATATATATATATATATATATACAGTGGTGGACGCATAATTAGAAACACTACCAACGGTTCTTGACATTATGTAAGATACTTCACCCAATCATTTTTATTTTGAAATAAAACAATAAATAGGACAACAATATTTTCACGATTCATCATTTATTGGAAAAACAATATAAATCCCACTACACTAGAGCAGTTTCAATTTTACGTTACGAACAAACATTTAAATCAGTTTTTAGGTACCAGCAATAGTGGTCAACTAATTAGAAACAACAACAAACAAGTATAAAAAACTATTTTTTTAAAGAATTAGTAGTTAGTATTGTTTTTTACGAAATAGCTACTACCCACAGCCTACCAATAGTTACAATTAATATTTAGTGGCGTATTCCTTATTTTCAATAACAGCACTGCAAGGACATGGCATTGATTCAATCAATTTCATACATTTTTATAGGGGGGTTGAATTCCATGCATCAACTAATGCTTCATGTAGTTCGTTTTGACTAGTGTTACGTTAGTTTAAGACTTTCTTTTTAACAATATATCAAAGATTTTTATCTGGTTTAAATCCTGACCATTTGCTGGCCAGTCTAAAACGGATATACGCTGCACTAAGGAAACATTTGACGCTATTAGCCGTGTGTTTAGGCTTATTCTCATGCTGAAAGATCCAGGTTACAGACAAATGATCGTCCGAGTAGAGAATCATTGTGTACTTTAACATATTTTTGCGTTGACATTGATTATTATATCTTCAATCTTCCGAACGAGTCCAACTCCATATTCGGAAAAACATCCTCAAACTTTAATATTACCGCCACTGTGCTTGACTATTCCCCTTGTGTATTTATAATTAAAAGCATTGTTTACAGGATATCTAACATAGCAATTTCCATCGGAATTTACCATATTTATTATTGTTTCATCTAAAAATAACGAGATGTGAGAAATATCTTGTCAAGACTGATACGCCGAAGATCATCAGGCAAAAAGACTTCATTTTTAATCTGGTTGGAGTCTTTAAATCGATCTTTTTTAGTAACTCGGACGATTAGCATGACTTCTTTGAGAGAGGATTTTTTTGGCTGAGCCTCTCTAAGAACATTTTCAATAGTATCATGATAGCCATGTGTTTTATAATAATCAATTGCATTAAAAACTTTCTTAATAGAACAATTTAAATGCTCAGCTATTCTTCTGTACGCCCATTTATGATCTACATGTAAATTTACAATTATTTGCCTAGTTGACGCATCACTTTTATTTTGCCCATTTAGAACAAAATACAAATCAGATTAAATTTTGAATTGCCGCCAAATTAATAGAAAAAGGCAAGAAAGAAATGTTATTCTTCGATTCCAAAGAAAGAACGATATATTAATGCTTTTTTTTAAATGTTTCCAAGGTGTTTCCTAATGGTTCCCATTAGGTGTCCAAGCAGCAAGTAACAGAAAATGAACTTCTACATACGTAAGACTGATTTTGTAATTGATACTAAAATATGTTTTATATTTTATCTATTTAATGAGTTTTTAATTTGAGTGGCTATATTATTGCATGATTATTAATTATTGAATGTATATATTTTTTCCGATAATTTGTATGTTTAAGTTATACTTTCTTTATTCATAAGAAGTGTTTCTAATTATATGACCACCACTGTATATAGTTTTAGGTTTGCCCTAAAGTTTCCTGTTTACTGCCAAAACAAAAACAGTAACTCAAATTTTACAATTGAACTAGAAGTTCCATCAAACAATAAATGTTATTATGATGCAATAACTAGTATATAAGTAACTAACCTTTGTTGGATTTTTTTCCCTTAGATATATGAAATTGGTCCATTTCTTTTCAAAGAATTTGTTAAACTGATGAAAAGTTGTCCTTATTTTATTTCCATCATTAACTACAAGTTTTTTTAAAAATGTAGTCCTATGTTTATATTTTAACCAGGTTTCCAATGCATCAATTGATATAATAATAATAGAAATGTAAAGAATAAATTCAAAACAATTTATTTGCTGTCGAATACATAATCTGCAATTAAAGAACGGTTTTAGCGAAACTTAATAAAATAAAACGTCAATAAAATATTGTCTTACTATTAAAATCAGCGATCTACTTACAGTAAAATTAAATTATAAAAGAACACAAAAGACAAAGACAACCAAATTTTTTTCCAAAATATCAGATCTTCAAGTACTGCAATAAACAATGAGAAACTATAGGTTGTTTGAATATTCCAACATTCGGAGGTTGCTTTGGAACCCCATTTTAACTTGTTTCTTAAAGTTGCAAACATCGATGACTTGTAAAATCTGATATTGAAATATTACTGTAGTGATCAAGTGAGCAAATAAAATAAACACTAGGTTTTAATAAATATTATTAAAAGTAGTAATGCGTAAAACTAGATGACAGAGGAATGACATTTGACAAAGTTAATGACATTTAGACTTGTAGCCACTAATCACTACTTTCATTATTACTTTTTGTCTATAAAACGTTTTTCGTTGCCATAGAAAAAGTGCAACTTTTCAGTATTTTTATTTACCATAGCTCTACTTTAAACCGAAGTTTTTATTACAAAAGGTCTTGTTACTCTTTCATTTTAATAAATAAAGGATTAATGACTTAACACTCTGTTCTGCCAATTCCGTCTGTATATCGGTGATCTTTTCTATTTTTTAAACTACACAAGAGTCTTGTGACAAGACTAACGCTGTTTTATCGCTCAATTTGGTTCTCAAACTTTTTGAGCTTCCAACTTGTGACAGGGAAAAGCAGGAAATTGGGTCTCATTTTTAGGGCCTGTATAGATTTTTTTAATTTTATACAACGAACTAAGGAGTAAGAATCTGCGTATTAAATCGAGTATGTTGGTGACACTACTCACACGATCGCCGCTTTTATATGAAAAATATATATTGTCAAAAAACTATATTGTACGTTCATAATATTATATTAACAAAATAAACTATTTATTCAAAACAAGTCGTTTTTCTATCAATCAAGCTCAGAGTAGTTCGTCGAACTTTCTTCCGAACTAATTCGTTCATTCTATAGTTCTCGAACTATAAAAAACACTACACTATACATTACTACACAACAACAATTGATTTATGAATTACCACTGAAACTCATATTATCAATTCAAGTCAATTGATTTGACCGTTCGTTCTTGACTTGAACTGTTTTGATAGAATTGAAAAATCGTAATAACTAAAACTACTTATCAACCAGTTTGAATTTGTATAAGTTGTGCGTTATTAATTGAAAATGCTACAGTTGAATAATTGGCTAATGAAAAACACCGTTCCAACTCTAATTTATAAAAGTAAGTATATAATTACTTTCTTATCGTATGTAGCCATCGAAAGCTATTTTTGTGGTATGAATCAACCCATCACATAGGAATTATTATTATTAATATCTTCAGATATTTAAATTCTCAGATACAGCAAACTCGGCAACAATCACACCCAACATTGAACCTAGAATAAACTACAACAATCTATACATCTATACATATAAATAAAATTGGAGTATCTGTTTGTAATATTCAAATAACCGTTTTTTACTACAAGCATATGAATACGGTACATACACACAAAATAACATTTTTTACAATTTTTGTCTGTCTGTCTGCTTGTTCCGGCTAATCTCTGAAATGGCTGGACCTGATGTAATAAGGAGTAACTTAGGCTACTTTTATTTTAGAAAAATAAAGTTTAATTCCATGTAGATGAACTCGCAGGTGCAGCTAGTTATAATATACCTTTTTAATATTTCACAATTTAGATGTAGTCAACTACATCTAAAATGTGAAATATTAAAAAAATAATACAAGTAATGTAATAATTCAAAGATATTGAGAATGAAATAATTCTGGATAATATGATATGATTGAAATCAAATTTACAATATTTAAATTTGGTGTCAATAAAAAATATTATTATAAATTTATAATAATTTTGATTTTTTAATTAATTCCAATGTTAGTGGGTGCTGCTATGTTGACATAGTAAGTTAACCTAAGATACCTTGAGGTGCCAATTTATTGTCTGTTTATTTTTAACAGATTCTACTGATTATTTATTTATTATAAACAACATTTATTGGATTTTCTATAAGAAGAGAATCCAATAAATTTTAAGAATATTTAGAGCTCCAATCCAGTCCATCCATCATCCCTACACTATGTACATACTAATTACAAAAAAAAATCTATTTCTTTAGCTATTTACATACATTTGTATTCAATTAGATTACTTTATTAACAAAAGTTTACCTATAGATTAACTTACTAAGAACATATAATATATCTCCTATGGTTTTATGCAGTATCTGTATTTAATTTACTATGACAGATTTCAGAGCATTGTCTACAACAGTGCCCTGTGAACCCAGCAAACCATCAATTAGAACTTCAGTTCCTGGTCCAAAAACATTACAGCTAACAAAGGATCTCAATTCGTTGCAGGTACACTTATGAAAAAAAAATTCTAATTATTTGTGTATTATAGTATAGTATTCATTATTTATACTATAGTTTTGGTTCACACAACCAAAATATGATAAGTGTTAACTTCATGAAATATTATTCCATTTGAGGTCTATCTTAGTGAGAGCTACATAAATCTGTAGAGTTACACTAAGATAATGAATGGTAGGATTATTTCTATTAAGTAGGTCTAATATAAGGTATGCGACAGAATACATCTATTTTTTATGTGGAAGCCCTTATAGCCAGAAATGTGAACAATTTACTGCACTTTCAAGTTTAATAGATGTGATATTTATTTCTGATACTGTAATATACAATAGCAATATGTAATACACAATACTAAATTAATTCATATGAAAATCGATTTTCATGTAAGGTATGACGATGAGAACAAATACGTCCAAACACGGGGAGCACCCATTTAGTGAATTGACCCATTTAGTAACGTGACATAACAAGGATGTGTTGCCGCCGCACTTTATATATGGACATGACTAATTCATTCTTACAAGGTTAAGGTTACGAGAAGATCATTTACAAAAATATATACATATATATATAAAATATATTATTAAAATGCAATGGTGTGTCTGTCTGTCTATTTGTTTGTTTTCTTTTCTCAACTAAATGACTGTGTTTGTATCACTAGTACAGATAAGACCATGTGAAAATGGGAATGAAAGTTTTAATCACAAGAAATACCTAGTATGAAATAAAAATAATTATTTATATTATATATAATAGTTTAGAGCTCCGGTCAACAACATGCAGGCTGCGGTCCGATTGTGGACTTAATACTTTTCCAAGATGAATTTTTATAAAACAAACAAATGTCATTCATTCGAGATTAACGGACGCCCACTTAGAAGAAACACTTTGAATTTGCTGTTCCTCTCGCGTACCTACCAAACTATCAAGATCGTTCTAGTTTATCATATTAATTTTAGGTCTTGTAAATTTAAACAAAAAAATAAAGATTATTACCTACTTGTTTGTTTCTGGACCTCCTTAAAATTTTCCCACACTATCTGGACCCCACCTAAGAATTTTTCACGACCACTGGTATAGTGTAATATAATTTCAGCAAGCCGGTTCTGTTCAACTCTTTGCTGACTACGATAAAAGTGTCGGAAACTATTTTGTGGATGCTGATGGAAATGAGTACTTGGATGCATTTACACAAATATCGTCAGTACCTATTGGATACAACCACCCCGAGTTACTGACGGCTTTTGAAGATCAGCATAATCTAGTAAGACTTGTCTAAATTATAACGTACAGTAAGATGTTTCGGTTTAGCGCTCCTTTATTTCAACCCGGCGAATCCTCAAAACTCTGCGCTACGTTTCCAAATATGTACATAACGGTAAGACGTCATACCGATAGATTAATATCAATCACCGATAGTTCAAGAGACGAAAGAAAGAGTTACAGATATCTATACTTGTACTTTTTAATAATACAGTAAGACCCCGCATAACGCTGTTTCGTTTATCTAGCTAGCATAGCTATCTAAGAAACGTTGTGTATGTTTCTTAGATGACTAATAAATCTTGAACTGTTAAGAGATTCACTATGTAAGTTTTAAATGTTGCTGAAATGAATATTATGTAGCTATTATAAAGACTAAGTTATTTTAAATTAATATATTTTTGACATATTGCAGAGAGCATTGGTTAATCGACCTGCATTGGGTGTGTTTCCTTCTACAGACTGGCCACATCGATTAAAGAATGTATTGTTATCAGTAGCACCTGAAGGTCTTGACCACATCGCTACCATGATGTGTGGCTCTTGTTCAAATGAGAACGCATATAAAGCTGTTTTCATGTGGTATCGTAAAAAAGAGCGCGGTGGCAAGATCGATTTCACACCCGAAGAAATGAACTCGTGCATGTTGAATCAGTCACCTGGCTCTCCAAATTTATCGATTTTGTCATTTCAGGTACTAAACACCAAATATATCTACTAAAATATATTTTAAAACCTTTTGGATTGGAATTCTTTGTAACATAAATTTAAGTTTAGCAACTGTATTAATGTCGCAATATAAGATTCACAAATACACAAATATTATGTAGTGGCCACAATAATTCTGAGGTTTATTTTAATTGATTTCAATAGTATTGCTGGCGGTATTACACTGTTCATGAATTTTAGGGCAGCTTCCATGGTCGCACCTTTGGCGCTCTTTCCACTACAAGATCAAAACCAATCCATAAGTTGGATTGCCCTGCTTTTGATTGGCCTGTTGCTCCGTTTCCAAGATACAAATATCCCCTAGAGGAGCACCAACGTGAAAATCAGGAAGATGACCAGAAGTATTTACTATTAAACCTCTAAATAGCCTCTTTTCTTTTTTTTTTAACGCTTTATTTTAATATTCTATATTATTTCTTTTTTCAGACATATTTAATCAATTAATGTTATTGAAAAATGAGTCGTTGGCAAGTTTGTATTCGGTGTTATTTTCCACAATTGAGGCACGGTTGGAGTTATTGGGTGCAGTAATACATTTACTTTCTTTGTGTAATATGCACCATACCTACATTTTTATTAATAACTTAATAGTAGTACACAGTTTATTCGCTAATCTAATTAGTGTTACGTTTTAGTTGCTTTTAATTTATACCTAGAGACGTATTAAGAATAATCAAGTAATTTGCAAATAACCTACTTGTTACTGTCACAATTAAATTTAGTTTTCTGTTTTTCTTTAACTGGCATTTTGATATTGAAAAAGATATTTAGTTGTTATCTGAAATACAATCATGTATTTAAAATTCACTAATAACCTATTATATACCACTGTATGCATATATAATTGTTAGGTATTAGAAGCTTTGTGACAATAAAAGCAGCAGCCAAAATACATTTAGTTTTACTATATGATCAGAGTAATAAACAGTTAAATGGTTAACTGTATTAACTTAAAATCTTTATTTACTGAATATGCTATTTAAAGAAAAATAGATACACCAACTTAGTTACTACAGCGCTATTTTTATTAATAGTCTAATTCCAATGTTCTAATACTGTAATCTAATAATAATAACACAGGACGATTCACACAGCGCTATCTAGTCTCACGCTTCGCAGTACTTATTTTAAGTGTATTAAAGAACTGATAGAAATACTTAAATTCATTATTTTGTACATACCTACATATATTATATACATGTAAAACACTCAAATTGATGATGTGAGTTACATATATGTATAGTTTCAGACAATACAAACGGTGAATGTTCGATTTAGATGATTTCAAATATTACTAATATTCACGCAAACTTCACTTTAAATGGTTTAATTTTTTTTCTTTTTCCTCCATAAAATGATACAGTAGGGTTGACAGTTCATGTGGAAATTGTTACTTATTTAGGCTGTTACTTATGTATTATTTTCGGGACCGGGAAACTAACTGTTTCGGTGCAGCAACAACTTGTGCATTATATAATATGTACACCGTTGTTTGTAGATGTCTCGAACAAGTGGCAAATATTATTGATGAGTATAAGAAAAAATCCAATCCAGTAGCGGGAATAATTGTAGAACCGATTCAATCAGAAGGAGGAGACTACGAGGCATCGCCAGAGTTCTTTCAGAATCTTCAAAAAATATGTAAACAGGTAAAATAATATTTTATATGTTTTATGAAGATAAATGGAATAAACAATAATTTCACATGCAATTAGTATAAGGCAATATGCCTGGAGCTATATCTAAAGCGCAGATGCTTAAAAGTCAATTTTAAAACACATTGAAATTTATGGTTTTACATTCAAAAACCCTTAAATTTTACAGTAGCAGTTACATCCGATTTATATGATTCTCAATTGCAAATGTTAAATGTTATTGCACTGTCAAATGTGTAAAATTGTATACTTTTAGAATGAACTATGTTAGTTTATCTATTATTAATTGACACGCACGTAACACCCCAGTGTCTCAAGCGTCCATAGGCAACGGTAACTATTTACCATCAGATGAGCCGTATACTTGTTTGCCACCATCGTACTATAAAAAAATGTATTGAAATCAATTGTGTTTTAAATGAAAGACTGCATATATACATAACTGAAACTCATTGTTTACTTTAAAGGAAATTGTATACAGTACCATTAAGTACAAATATCTTTAATATTATTATAATTTGTAAATTGTCTTGTTTTAAATTATAATTTCACAAAATTATGAAATAGCGCAACAACAGATCAAAACAAAAACATTTAAATAATAACCAAAAGTAATTGTAGCATTATATAAAAATGTAGCAACAGTTACAGTTATATTGCTTGTAAAGCATATTAATGATTATATTATATACCTAATATTTGTTCTTTTGTTGTTAGAAAGGCGTGGCTCTTATTATTGACGAAGTGCAGACAGGGTGTGGACCAACAGGAAAAATGTGGTGTTATGAACATTTCAACCTACCGTCGCCACCAGACGTTCTTACATTCAGTAAAAAAATGTTGACTGGGGGATTTTATTTTAGTAGCGATTTTAAGTATGTATACCACCAGTTCATCTACACATATCATGTCTCATCATACACACACGACCTAAACGAGAAGTTAAATGCGGAGAATAGAATCATCAACAACATTTTATTGATATTATAAACGCGAAAGTTTGTGAGTATGGATGGATCTTTGTTACTCTTTCACTTTCTGCTGAACGGATTTTGATAAAACTTTACAGTAACATCGCTTATATATGAGAATAACATATAGGCTATAAATTTCACGCGGGTGAAATCGCAGGCACAGACAGCTAGTACAATGTTGTTTTAAAATTGCAGATGTAATTAAATTATTTTCTTTCATATTTAGTTCCTTTTTACATGAGTTAAGTCGTGATTTAAAACACTCAGAACACGTCCTTGTGTCTTGTCCACGAGCTTCGGTGTTGTGTAATTGTTATTATTTTTTATTAAATATATAGTAATATACTCAATAGAAAATATCCATAGAAAACCATAATACCAGCGTAATATGGTTTTCTATGGATGAAATTATTAAAATCGGAATTATTAATTTATCCTTTACAAATATTTCGTCCATATCTCAATGTATAATATGTAAGTTAGGTAAATGTATATGAAACTGAATAACATCTTACTCCACATGTTCATAATGTGTTGATTATATAAGAATCAATCGAACATATAATATTTAAGCTTGTATCTGTTAGACGGTGGACCTTAAGTCACTCTATAAGTCTTTCTGCGGGTTTAAAGTGCTGATTGCACTCGCCCATTCTGTAAAACAAGCTGTAAAAGTCAGCTGCGGTCAATTGCAATAGTTCGACAAAAAATCTTTAAAACTTTATAAATGGTTCTATAGAGAATAACTATTTGGTTGGGTTTTCGTAGAGGATAATGATTTACAATTCTATTATAATCAAAAAAGTGTTTTAGGCAGCTTTTTTTCACTAAGTTAGCGAAAAAAAGTTGCCTAAAACACTTGATTTAATAGACAACTACGCAAACCTGAAATCACAATTTGAGAATGCAACGCTATCAACTAATTCTATAAAAAGCGATATTTCAAAGAAGCTCCACAGTCGCTTTTTTTTTATGTTTTTAATGTTTGTCCTGCCTCGAAAAAAATTAAGATCCGGGACTGGTGACTGCTAAGAATTTAGAATTCAATAGGATTTTTTAGCCTTCTTCTTACGACTTGAAATTTCAGACCTGCTCAGTCGTACCGAATATTCAATACTTGGATGGGAGATCCCGGAAAGTTAATACTTCTGGAACGTGTACTACAAGTAATAAAACAAGAAAATCTTCTATTTCTTGTAAACAAGTCCGGGAAAGTATTAAAAGACGGCCTTCACCAAATTGAGAAGGAATTTCCAACTTTAATAAACAGTGTACGAGGCCGTGGGACATTCCTTTCATTCAATTCTTGCAACACCGAAGTGAGAGATAAAATCAATAATAACATGAGAAATAACGGTAAGTAATAATAGCAATAATTAAAGTTATTAGTACATACTAAATGAACTTCATGGCTAGGTTATGTGAGAAGATGGTGGTCAATAAATAAATAAATGCTTGTTATTGTATGGTTCTGATGCAATCACTACCAACTGTCTAAGGCGACATTTGAACGTACGTCACATTGTTAATAACCGTTGGCTTGATTTCTTAGGGACACTGCGTCACTTTCCTTTGTTTGTTTCATAAAAATATTTTGAACCATTTCAAATTCCCAACTTTTTAGAAATTACTTATTTTTTCTCTCATGTCATCCATTTCCATATAACTGACGATCTTATTACGTCCAGTTTCTGTGCAGCTTTAGGGTAAAAAAAGGAAAACGTATTGTTAAGTGTCATACGCTTATGTAACGTGTAATCAATGCGGCCGACAACATAAAATTGAATAATACACTACATTTGCTATTACTAGCTGATTCAATTAGGTTTTGAAATTACTTTCATGTAGGTACTCTATTCACTGACAAAGCCACGCTAGTTGCATTAACATATCGCGGTAGTATTTTATATGATCACAAGTTGCGTAATTTTCATTCTTGGCCTTAGAAATAGGATATTTACCATGATAATATTATAAGGATTCAAATTCCTTTTTCTTTTGTCTCTGTTTTTATAAACACTGTTGTTAAGAGACATAAATAATATTATCATGGTAAATATCCTATTTCTATAACGTGGACTTTCTTAAATGTATCCAAAATACTGGAGGTTGAAGTTTAATTGTTTATGTTCTTTATTTATAGGAGTAATCGGGGGCGTATGTGGAGAAATTGCAATCCGTTTGAGACCTGCTCTAGTGTTTCAACCAAAGCATGCGGAGATTTATTTGGATACACTAAGAAGATCATTGAAAGAGATATAAAATTTAAAATATTAATATTACCTGTTATTGCATTTTATTTTTTTAAACTTTATGTAAATTTGCGTTTATATTGACGGTAATGTAATATCAGCATTAATAATTTAAAATTATTGTTATGAGTTTTTATTTATATAAATGTTCAAGTGTCATATAATCTTGTTAGCATTTTGGTATTATGATTTATAGAATTATTTTAAAGTAATGTTTTATTTTTACATAATATGGATTTATTCTGAAAATATACTAGTAGATTAATAATTATTATTATTTTCGTAAATATAAATATCAAACATAAATAGTAATTAGTCAATTAGTGTTATAAGTAAAATTGTACTCTTCGATGTCTTCCAATTATATAACTATCTGCAATATATTATACGAGTTTATATATTCCAAAATGTCAAAAAATATTACCCAAGATTTATCAATATTAGAATATGTTTTTATAAATTACAACCTTGTCTAATAATTAATACTCTTTAATACTCCATTTTACATGAAATTCAATTTTATACGATTATCGCCGTTGTGATGAAGGGCCGAATACAATACATTTTGCCGAAGACATTAAAATCCGACTATTTTTATGGATGTAATGGAATGGTACACCCACCTGCGCTAACTGTTTACGCTGGCGGGGCACCAGTGGAGGATGATAAGATGAGTACGAGCTCAGGTCAGTTAGCCCATCGTGACAAATTCACCATGAATTTTTCATGATGGTTTCCAGGGGGAATCTCGTGGAGGTCAACCAGACATGGTACATTGCCAGCAATAAGATCTTCAGTCCACATTACTAACAATCCCCTTTCCCCCAAATATGGGAGTAAGATGCTCGGATTAATTCTATTTAAGTGGTTGTTGTCTATTAACGAATATTCACTATATTCTAGCTAAGAATAAGAGTATTCGACAGAACTATTGTAGAAAATACGAGTTCCCAATAATAGTATAGCACTTAGAAAGTAAAAGCAAAGAAACTGTCACCTTCATTACATAAAATATAGTGTTGCCTACATGACAGTAGTGGACTTGAGATGCCATTATTCATCTAAGTAGTAACGTTTTTTAAAGTTATATATACTCAGTGCCTACGTAACCTGGCAGTAACGCACCGCGGCGCCCACCTCCCTTCAAGTACTCCATAGTAGAAGCATATTTGGAGGGAGAGTTGGCAAATCGTTAAACATTTGACCGTAGGTAGGTACAGTACCGAAATAAGTACTGTCAAATGAAACAATAATAACAGAATTAATTCCCGTAAAGATCAATTATAGAGTTATTATTATAGATTTCATCTACTGTGTAGACTGCAGCGTTTAGTTCAACGGATACAAAACCCTTGTCGTAGATACATTCCACTTTCGTTCAACATTCCACCACATAGTCATTTTTCACCATACATAAACAAAACATTGAAACAGTGACGGAGGCAGTTAGTTACATTTTGCAAGTTTTAACTATTTCGCAATCGTATCAGCTACTGATTATAACTGAAAATCAGTCTGCTAGTATATTCAGAAATAATCAGTAACGTACTCGCAATGTATGTCATTTGCAGCGTAGGTATTCCTATTTTTAATTATGTTACCGTTTTGTTACTTAACATCTATCATCTTCATTATCTTACCTATTAATTATATATGTAATTATTAATATGTTGGTATCTACTATTGTGTAGGTAGGTACCTATATTTTCAGATGATAGTTTGCTAATTCCTATTGAAACCGAAATATTAATTATTTCCTGTGATTAACCGAAAGCGAAACTTGATCGATACTATAGTTGAGATTTGAAACGTCCTAAGATATATAAGTATAGTCAAGTTAGTAATTACCTATACCTACCTACCAAATGACCAATTACCTACCTGTACCGGATAGTCGTGTTGCTCGGCACACATCGCTCTGTACGTAATGCCTATTGCGATTTCCGACTTTCTGTTATTAGGTAAAAGTAAGTGATGTGAAGAGTGCTTAATAGAATTGCTTATTTCATCAAGCTAAATAGCGTTTCACTGGCCTCAATCATGCATCGTGGAGCGTGTTGATGCCAAATTATACAAATTGAATTGTCAATTTCACTTTTACTATTTATTTTTATTGTAATCATGTAATTTGAATTTCATTAAAAAATAATCAAAATATAACATTTTTCTCTTTTTAGATTTTACAAGGTTTTCGATTATGTTATTTATTAGATACCTATGTACCTAATTATTAGAAATATCTGCGCCCGTACTAACGGAACGTGGTAAACGTAACATACGTTTAACACGACCGGACCCCATTGGAGGATAAGATATCAGTGCAGAATGATGAAGTTAGGATTAGGTCATAGTGACGAATTAACCAGGAGTTAAGTTAGAAGATTTAGAAACTGATATTCTATTGGACACAGATCTCGTTTGATAACAATCATAAAGCTTACAGTTATGACCACGTAAGATAAATAAACCAAATCAGACATCCAACCCACTTACCCACCGGGGATAGTAGGTTTATATAGGATTTGGTTTACTAAACACACTATTGTGTTTTGTCCCTTATTCGCCTCTTAGAACATCCTGGAAATGAAAGGAGTAATGACACATATTGTAGATTTTTACTCCGTCACCGCATGGGATTAATTTATTTTATATACCTACATATTATTATGAAAATACAAAATAAGAAGCATTCCGTAATGCCATAATAGAGCCGAAGCTATTTTTAAGCTATTCCTTTACTACTTGCGTGTATTTTGTCTACTTCTCTAATTATAACTATCCACCTACTCCGACACGTACAAAAATAGCTCTCTTACCTACAAGAAATCTTGCAATTTATTTATGTAATAGTTTCCTTCAGTTAAATGCTACGTTAGATAAATCTATGTGTATTATGTAACGTATTATATACGTTATGTATTAAGTGCATCACAACACGATTTAAATTGCTCGCATGTAGGTATGTCTGAAAATCCATCAAAAATTTATATATTCTCTTTATCGCTAATATTTCAGATAATCTTTGGGTAGAGAAAGTAAAGATAGGAAAAAAGATAAAATGTAGATGACACCAGGACCGTCTTTCACCTATTAGAGGCCCTGGGCACAGGATAAGGGGGCCCCTATAACCATAGCTGGTAATAAAGTACTATTTTCTAAGAATAGACAAAGAACGTAAATGTGCGAAGTTTTAGTTTTATTTTTAATTCTTTACAGTTACATTAGATATACAAATATATTTGGATGTCCTACCTTCAAACAAACCAGGAAAAATAACTTTAAAAAGTCTGTGAAGGGATCAGGGATTTTGCAAGATATTTATAAAAAAAATTAAAAAAACGAACAAATTGGCCATAGTCGGTAAGCATTTGTTAGATTGATTTTCAGGCGAGAGTAGAGAAGCTATCGGTTATCGTTTGGTTATGGAGTAGGGACTAGACTAGACTAGGGAGCTCCAATCCATCGCGGGGCATTTGGGCACGTAATAAATTAATAATAAACAAAATTGAAGTGTCTGTATTTTCAAATTACTTACTTACTAAACGTATATTGGCCTATAATACTTAGCCACTAAAGGTATATGGACGTATATAAGGTACTTACATAAAAATAGTAATTAAAAAAAAAACTATTGTTTTTCTTGCTAATCTCTGAAACGGCTGGGCCGGACTATGAAGGGAATATTCACTTACAAATAGAGAATTTTATAAGGAGTAATTTAGGTTACTTTTATTTTTCGAAATTGTATTTATTTTAATTCATTAAATATTACTCAATCGTCCACATTGAGTAATATTTAAGTTGAGAGTAACAGCTACTGTGTAATATTATCATATAGATATGCTGTCACCTACTGTGTGAAGCATTTTTTGGGTTTATAAGGTGGCGATATCTATATGTTGTAATTTTTGTGTATTTCTATCGAGCACTTGCCTGCACTAACGGTATACACTGGCGAGGAACCAGTTTAAGATAATGGTGTAAAATCAGATTTTGTTGCCACTTTACTAACAATTAACTATTATGGTTTCCTGGAGGAACCACGTGGAAGATCTACCTGATAGACATGACACACTATGTGGTTCCCATTACTAACAATTTCCTCCCAAATCTCTGTATTAATCAGCTATAGGAACTAAATGTATTTCATATTTTCACGCGACTTACCTATTAGAGCTATACGAATGGGTTACTTCGCGGCAACTATAGAATTTTGCGCATAAAAATAATAGGTATTTCAGTCTTGATCTATTTAAATCATTGGAGAGCGCAAATACCGTCACCGCCACCGTGGGCGAAACGAAGATATATCGTACGAAGTCATGATTCTGATACAAATACGAAGTAGAGGTGTTGAGAATAGGTATTATAATATAAATAAAATTTATGTACATTTATGTGCAGACTTCAGCAAAATACTTTCTTGGCTTTAATTAGAATACAAATGATAAATTACTACATTAGTATTTTGTGTGAATTTTAAAATAGCGAATACAAACTAACGTATTTTTATTTTAAATACAAATTATCCATCAACATACATCCTATATCATACGCATGTACCGTCCATAGTACTGGCTATCAGTCATGCTACGCTTTATTAAAATCTCTAAACGCTTGTTGTCATTACTAATCGACTATAGTTGCACGCATATTCGTCTAAAATTGCATGGAACGCATATTAAGATTTATTTGAAGTGTATAGGGGGCACAGTGTCCTATCAGGTTTAGATCTGTCTTTTTCTAATTGATGTATCACGTCTCTACGTGTTTGTTCAACGCCTGTATCGGACGTAAAATATTTATTAAATCATTGCTTCTTGTAAAAAAAATGTGGAAAATTTGATTGGATACGCTATGTTCTTGTTGAGGAACTAATTTCTGGAGATTAGACAGATAGGCAGAGATGTGCAAACTACAAAATGCAGGTATTTGCATGCAAATAGTTTTTAATATTTCTGCATTTTTCAAAGCAATTACAAAATATTTTTAAAAATAGATTAGTTTACTATCACGGACCCAAAGATCGTGTGTTTGAAATGGGCCAGACAAAAAAATCTTTTATCATCAATATGCCTGTAGATATATTAGATCGATTCTCCATTGATGTAAACATCAATAACCGCTGGCAGTGTTGCGATTACGACACCGTAGACTGTTGACTTGACAATGACTACCCTACCTGTGTATGTTATTCTATTTATACTTGTATACTAATATTATTAATTTAAAGGTCTGTTACATTATCATTGCTAACCAGCAAAACGGGATTACACATGATAATTATACCATGAGAACGCACTGAGGCATTTCTTTATCACAACAGACAAAGTCGCCAATAATATCTAGTTACCTACCTATATTTTTTTATAAACCACTTTATTGTATGATAACAAAGGAATCCATGAGCCATATGCAACGAAAGCAATTTCAGGTTACAGCTATGATATGAATATAGTGTTGAATTATTAATTAAAACTAGATTTACCCAATTACGCTAAAAATTGTACACGACTATTTGACAGATAAAATGTAACTGAAATCTTCTTTTATTTATTGGCTTCACGACATTCACCCGTGCCTTAGAAATCTGTTTGATAATCTTGGAACCGATTAGGTGGGCGACGTAGCCTGGTAGAACGTCTCTGCCTCAGCAAAGGATGGAAGTGCAGGAAATTGATCTCTAAGAGATTGATTAGCAGGAGATTCTTCTGCGGGAGATTGGTCTGTTAGAAATTGGTCAGCAGGAGATTGATCCGCATTAAATGATTCAGTTTCTGCGTTCGAGTTCTGTTCTCCTACAGGTTCATTTAACAAATGAGGATTAGCTGGAGCCAAGTAGGTACCTATTTGAAATTGTAGTTTCTTCTGCAAACGCACTTAAGAATAATGCAGGTTTACATAAAGTACCTCTACTTCTTCTACAAACGGATCGTACTTACTTATCCTCACAAGATTTTTCATGATTACTATACTTCCTTCCGTTAGCCATGTTGGCATTGATTGGCCATTGGATGACCTTCGTGGATGAGAAAAAATATCAATCTAAAAATGCACTGAAATAAAAATATATATAGATGAGAATAGTAAATTTTCTTTTAACGGTTTCAGCTGTTAAATCTGGACATGGAAAAGCAAAAGGAAAACTAGAATATTCATCTACCTACTACAGTTAGAATATACCTACTTATTTTGAGTTCTACTTGGGAGAGGCCCCTTAAAGTTCATTTAAATTCACTCAAATGGTGTAGTAGCTTTTATTAAAGTCCCAGAAGATTTTATGAACCTAGGTTTAATTTCAGCACATACGGGACATAATGTATTTATGTGTTTGATTTCTTCAACAGAAAAGAGCAAATTTTTAGTTCTTACCCAATGTACCATCCGTGTAATACCCGTGTGGCAAAGAGTCTTATGTAAATCCATTAATGAATTTCTCGAAGTCGAAGCTATGACAGTATTTGCTTGTGACAATGCGTCGGCCACGACATTTTCTTTTCCCGGTCGATATATGATGGCAAAGTTGTAACTTAATTCAAGATGCCAGCACTGTATCTTCTTATTTTTGGTCTTTGATGTATGTTGCTGGTTAAACTTGAATAGTAATATAGAATGTTGAGCTGTAATCAGTTTGAATTTTCGTCCTATTAGTAATTGTCTCCATTTTCTTAAACTTTCTATAAATGCCGAAGCCTCCTTTTCAATAGCAGGGTGACTTTCAGTAGCAGAAAGTGTTCTTGAAAAGAAAGCTACTGGCCGACCATCTTGACGTAGATATGTCTTTCTGGCGTCTTCGTGACTCCAACGTAGCTGCAATAGCGTAGTCTGAAGCGTCAGTTTCTGCAGTCATTTGTATGCCGCTTTCAATAGCAGCTACTGTAGATTTAGCTATCTCTATTTTAATATCTTCAAATGCTTTTATGGTGTCCTCCGTAAGTGGAAATGTATTATGATTGACAAATGGTTGTATTTTGTATGAGAATTTAGGAATCCGCTTAGCATAGTGCGCAAACATACCTACCTAGTGCTCGTCGTTGCAAAGAAACAAAATCAGTAGGAATTGGTAGTCTTAGGAGAGGGCGTAAACGTTCCGGATCAGGTTTAATGACTCCGTTACATATGTTGTATCCCAAAACATTTATAGTAGTCTTTGAAAATTCACTTGTTGTTACGTTTAATGTAAGATTATATTTTGTGGAAATCTCTTCAATTTTTTTAAGTTCACGGCCTTCATACTGGAATTAAATTTAAGTTATGTGTTGATATAACCAAAACAAAAGGGGCCGAGTGTTGACAGAAATATAAAAAGGGTAGATACAACGAGTTCAGTTCCATTGCCATTTTGTACAAAAAAACTCCGAAAACAAGCCCTTTTTAATCCACCCAACGGGATTATTTAAGAAAAGCATTTTAAAATCCCAGATGATATAATTATTTCATCATCTAGACCATATATATATATATACTAATATAAAAACTAAACGTGTAATTTTCAGTGTACGTGTAGTATCAAATATACCTAAAAGCCTTGCAATAAAAACAAATAAATAATATACTAACCTAACTACTAGTACAATATTTATGTATCTAATTTAAATAATACACGAATTAACGAAAACTGGCTATGTAGTTAATTTAATGCGGTCAAAGTGGGAGCGAGAACTATACCAGCGAAATCATTCTATAATGTTCTAAAAGATAGTGCTCTGCAGTAAGTTGTATACTAAAACTTGTATCTAAAGCAGCACTAGCAAGATTCTACAAGATTTGGGTGGGAGGGAGAGAAACACGAGCGGTGAATGTGAGTTTTGACGTACTTCGGAAAAGGAGGCCAGAAAACCTTAAACCTACACCGGGGTTACAAATCCAGGAAACTATTTGGAGCTTGCCTCTCTGTCACACGAAGGACCCGGCACCAGTACGGCGCAGCGCTGGCGGCGCGGCGGTTTCATGGAATTTTAAGAAGTAGGTACATCTCTCTCTGTACTAATCATGCGTTGCATTCCATTTATTATATAAAATATTAGTTTTTAATATTTGAATATTTTTTTAGAACTGTACAGTAGAAATGATTAAAAACGCATCATTGAAAATGAAAACATTAATAATAATAATAATAATATGTATGTAATAATAATTATGTAAGTTGAAAAAAATAAGTATTGTACTAGTAATTGGGTTTCCAAAGCAGTAAAAATATTTAAAAAACAAATAGATCTGTCAATCGGGCAATCAGTCTTTCTCAGTCTCATGGATTAAATAATTTTACTTCTGCGCGCAAGGAGTAAATGTATGTAATGTTGCTCTATTCACCCTCCCAATTCCTCATATCTTTTATTTCATTCTTCCTTATGAATTCTTTTGTATCATACTAACTAGTACTGATAATAGTTTAGTTCTGCTAGGCGCGGTTGTAAAATAAAAACGTTATATTACCTACATTTCGCTTTGTTTTAACACGCGCAAACATTATGTTCTCCGATGTTTTATTGATTTTACGTTAAGACTTTCCGTTGTTTGATCATACAAAGAACTTTCCATTATTGTGTATCAATTACAGTAGATCGAACACAAAGTGTCATTGGACAAATCAGTCATCCGTTTCGTGCATGTGTCCTCAACACCGATAATTGTGATAGTGTCGTCCTGTGGTCGTAATGAAAACAGAGTCTAGTGTATTTTCCAGAATTGTGTTGAGTGTTTATTTCAGTGCATTTTTTAGATTGATAAGTTAAGTGCAAAAATAATAGTTTCTATCCAGGTTGGCATCCAAATTTTAAAAACCGGAAGCGCCAATGTTTTTATAAAGTTCATTCTTAATGCTGGATCTGTGCGAAACAAATTTCATCGAGATAACTATCTCTTTACGAAATAGGTGTGTATAATAATAATTATTAGAAGAATTCGTTTGCATTACCAGATTTAGTTTTAAATGAAGTCAAATAATAGGTAGTTTGCGTAGGTGTTTGCATAAAATAATTAAGTAGGATGGTAATATAAGATGATAAATGTCATTGAGTATCCACCAATCTAGTGCTAATAATGGCTCAGATAAACTGTATTTGTTATCAAATGAAGGGTAAAATATAGAGGGGGTACTCCCCCTTCCCATTGTATTACCCCTTGTAGGGGGTATTTTTATTGACCTTGAAAGTCAACGAATTAAGCCTTCAAAGATTACTAAACAATAAGTGATGGAATATGGAAATGACAGTGGTAGGATATAGTAAATAGGGGGATTATCAAAATCTGAATTATGAAGTTTTCCTATGTATAGTATATTTGAATCATAGATATAAAAAAAATATGCCTAAATCAAAATGTTACAGCAAAAACACTTTTACATTATGTTTCAAATGAGAAACAAACAGTGGCTATAGCATATACATGAAGTAAAATACATATACCTATAAAGTAAATAGGTTTCATTTATGTTGTGGGCTTCAGAAGGAATAGTTGCTAATGGTAATAATGTACCCTATCAGGTCAACTTGCTTGTTGGTACTCCTGGAATCCGTAGTGGTTTATTCCTTCCTCTCACCATTTGGTGATCTACCAGTGTATGTGTTTACAACAATTAGTGTAAGTAGGTCATTTAGTCAGAAAAAAACTAAAGAAACAACATTGATCTTGCTACCAATCTACCATGTCAGGGCAACCTACATTTGGTTTGTCATCCATCACTGGTGCCCCACCACCATATACTGTTAGTATAGGTATGTGTGCCATATCATTATTGTCCATAAAAAATCTATTGATTAAATTTTATCGATTTTATTCTGCCTGAACAAGAACTAACTGCAAAAAAATTTTACTAATAATTTATACAACAATAAACAATAGACAAGTATAAATTATTAGTAAAATTACTTTCAATGCTTAATATTGAATATTCAGTGCTTATTGTTTAAAAATATATACCAGATCACTTTTAGGCTGTACAGAGAAACCCTCTAGAAGTAGTCAAATTAGAATTAAGTAAGACCAGAAGTTAATAAGGGTTTTGATTTTTATAATTGCAAATAACCCTCCTTCATAGATTATGTTGTAGCTCTAAACTCTGCAAAACTTATTTCTAGTACCAAAATAAAGTTATAAATAAGGTATAATAAAATTTTGTCTCTATGGTATCTTATTATTCATGTACTCTAGAACAATGGAATATTCATAAAAATCAATATTTAACAATACATTATTAAAACTTATTTTGAAGAAACATTAATATCCATAATTAGGATTATGAGTATTTGTAAAGTCAATCACAATAGCCCAAGAGCCCACGACGGCCAGACTTACGTCATATTAGTAAATGTGAAAGTTCTTGTATGTGTGTCCCCAACACAGGTAAGAACGATCTCCAAACATAAAACCTGGATCTTGGTTCCTTTGGTAGGTAACAGGTAACAAAGGTGTAAAAATTTTTATATCAAATTCATTATTTTAAGAAACCTCATTTTTTCATATATTGGGTTGGAACCACACTAAGTGTCTCGCAATGAGCAGCGCAAGTTATAATAATGCTGCAAATAATATATGAAAATTGAACTAAAAATGACACTTTCGAAAAAAATCTCAAATAAAAAATTGGTTTCAAGAAGTTGGCACTTACCTTAACAGTAATAATCATACCGTATTTCTTAATGCGCCTCAGCGAGTTTATAACAAGGACGAGACTGCTTTCTTCTTGAACCCCAAAGGAATAAGGTCCTAGTATTAATAGTTTAAGTTTTGAATAGTTTAAAGTACTTAATATCATCATCATCATCATCCCAGCTTGGAAGACGTCCACTGCTGGGCAAAGGCCTCCCCCAAAACCCCAAAAAGTAATTATCTTTGACAAGCAATATGGCTAAATATTGATTTTCTGACAATTATATTTTTATATTAGTATAGTATATGTACTGCCGAAGCAAGTACATTTCATTTGATTATATTTTGTTGCTAATTTAATAATTTTAAAGCACAAATTGTGCTCAGTATTCATTTTAAAGTATTTTTTATTGATTTATTTTGATAAAACACATAATATTAGAGTGATCTTATACATGTCTACTATTAGTGCGAATTGATGTCTAGTTTTGGTGGATTTGATTTTTGATGATGTCTTCTTTTAGTGTTTACGACAAACCTAAGAAGAATATTATTCTTAGTTAAAAATACGTCAGTTTTAAAACATCTTACATGAAAAATTTAATTTGTAAGAGTTACTCTAACAGTAAAAAAAATTGTAACTAATTTTTTGATACTTTGCATCCGGATGCAAAGTACAAAAATGAAATTGATTACATCTGTTGCAACCATCCCAAAGCTTTTAGTGATACAACAATAATAAGAAACCTAAACTTCAACACTAATCACCGCATGGTAAGAAGTTGCCTCAGGATACCCAGGCCTAAATTTAATAGAAATAAAATAAATAGATACTGCAACCAACGACCTACTTCTGGAGTACCACACAAGTCCACTGTTATGTCTCTAACGCAAATAGGATATGAAGACTTAAACCTATTAGATAGATATAATAAAATGGAACTAAAACTTAAACAATCAATTGGAAGAAGGAGAGCCACTCCTAACAGAAACAAATTCAGTGAAGAAACTTACAAGCTAATAGCAGAACGTAAAAGTCTAAGTAAAGATACATATACAATGGAAAGAGAAAGAATAAGAAAGATAGTAGAGATAAGTAAGAAAATTAGAGAAAATATGAGACGGGACAGAAGAAAACGCAGACAGGAAACGTTGGAAAAACATATTAAAAAAACAGGCGGAGTAAAAAAAGCTCTCAAAGAACTTAAAGAATATGGTAAAGAATGGATACCAAACCTCAAAAAGAAGGGAAAAAGCGAAAGAGACAGAAAACTAATTAAAGAAATAGCTACAGAATTCTATACAACATTATATTCCGATAAGGATAAAATAAATACAGTGCTAGAAAAGGAATCTGAAATATTAAGAGAGGCAGAAAGTGAAGTACCCACAATCCTACCATCGGAAATAGCTAAGGCAATAAGAAGCCTACCTCCAGAAAAAGCACCTGGACCCGATGACATTCCAAATGAGGTAATAAAGGCAGCCATGAAGGAAATAATACCTTTACTTATGTTGATCTTTAATGACATACTAAAAACAAAAATGATACCATCTCAGTGGAGCGAATCTCACATAATCCTTATACACAAGAAAGGGACAAAGGATGACATAGAAAACTATAGGCCTATAAGTTTGATGTCGAATCTGTACAAAGTATTTGCAAAGATAATCTTAGACAGAATATCAAAACAGCTTGATGAAAACCAGCCTATAGAACAGGCAGGTTTTCGTAAGAATTTCTCTACTATCGACCACATCTACACTATAAAACAGCTAATAGAAAAATACACAAACCTCTGTATATCGCTTTTATTGATTATAGAAAGGCATTTGATAGTCTGAAACACAGCTATATATGGAAAGCTCTACAACAACAAGGCATACACTACTCTTATATACAAATAATACTAAATATATATTCAGAAAGCAAAGCCAAAATAAAATTAGAAACCTTGGGTGGTTCATTCCCAATAAATAAAGGAGTACGACAGGGAGACCCATTATCTCCCAAACTATTTTCAGCTGTGTTGGAAAGCATTTGCCGTAAACTGAACTGGGAAGGCTTTGGACTCAATATAAATGGATCCTATTTGACTCACCTACGTTTTGCAGATGACATTGTACTCTTCGAAGAAAGTCCTATACACCTTGACACAATGATTCAAAGTCTGTCAAACGAGAGCAAAACAGTGGGTCTGTCAATGAATACTGTAAAAACCAAGATCCTAACCAACTCAATGGAGATTGACGTTGGTTTGGACGGTGGGTGCTTGGAGTATGTGGAAGAGTATGTTTACCTGGGACAAGTGGTGTCATTTAGAGATCAGACAGATAAAGAAATAAACAAAAGAATAGCCAGTGGATGGAAGAGATACTGGTCTCTGAGAGAGACAATGAAAAACAAGAACATACAACTGTCAACAAAAAGAAAGACATTTAATACTTGCATTCTGCCGTGTCTGACATACGGATGCGAAACATGGGCCTTAAACAAAGAACAGCGGGAGAAATTGCAAAGATGTTAAAGAGCCATGGAGAGAAGTATGTTAGGGATAAACAGAAAAGACAGACACAGATGTGAGGATATAAGAACAAAAACTAACTTGACAGACATTCTTGTACAGATAGACCAACAAAAATGGAGATGGACTGGGCACATGATTCGAAGCAAACCTGAAAAATGGAGTACTTGTGTAACTGAATGGTATCCAAGGGAAACAAAAAGAAAAAGAGGTAGACCACAGAGACGCTGGGAGGGTGAAATCAAGCTGACAGCAGGCCCCTACTGGAGAAGAGCAGCCCAAAATAGAGTACACTGGAAGGAATTAGAGGAGGCCTTTGCCATAAGGCACTCTGTACTGCGGGATATAATATAGAAAATGAAATTAATAATTAAACATAAAAAAAAAAATTAAACTACTTAACAAACAATAATATAAAAAAATATATATAATAATAATAAATTTATAGTATAATATAATAATATGAATGTAGAAAAAAAAAATTATAATAGTACAGAAATAAAGGCTTCTTTATCTTTTAATTTTTTGATAAATACATTTGCATTTTTGAGAATGAAGTTTGGTTTGTCCTTAATGTGTCTAGCATTAGTGCTTTTACCTTACCTGTTACCTGCCAAAGGAACCACGATCCAGGTTTCATGTTTGGGGATCGTTCTTACCTATGTTGGGGACACACATACAAGAACTTTCACGTTTACTAATAAGACATATGTCTGGCCGTTTATATTAATTAGAGAAGTTTCATGTGTTTCTTTTATACTATGATGGTGGCAAACAAGTATATGGCCCATCTGTTGGTAAATGGTTACCAATTTACTAAAGCCTATAGCCTGAGACACCAGGGGAGTTATGTGCGCTTTGATGCTATAAGTAAAAAATCTATATAAAGTTCTAATGAGATTGTTTATGAATGGGATTGCTAGAACAATTATTTTATTTATTAGAATTCTGTACCTACATGCTACTTTATATTATTATTATTATTATTTATTTTAGCAATTCATGACCAGCTATAAAATAAAAGAAGCTGTTTGCGAATTACAAAATTAAAGGAAAGTCCATTATAAATTAAGTACATTTTGGGTTACAGAATTTAGAATAATATCAAAAGAGTTACCTACATTATTATTTGATGTATCTACTACTTAGGTAGTTAAGTACATTAAAATTAATTATGCCGTTTAAAAAGCACAATGAAGATGACAAATAATTGTCAAAGTCACAATAAAAAAAACTCAAATGGAAATGGTGCTTCATTCTTCAATTTTTTATTTGTTTTGACAGCAATAATCATTTCAAAATAACAACAGAAAAAGAAGAGCACATTTATTTTTTAGTAAGTAATGAGCAGGTAGATTATTTTTGAAGCTTTTACTTTAACTCAGGTTAAGTTGGTACGGCCGATGGCTAGTAAACGGTAATGGCTCCCATTTACAGAACCTTTATGGAACTTTACAAACAGTACAAATCTTGTACAGAAATATCTATTCATCCACACACTTTACACAAATGCTTATTGTCATTCATAATATTTTCATTTGTTATCTTATTTAGAATTCTGTGAAAATTTAAAGAACTCCAATGATCTTATTCTGATGTGATAAATTCACAGTTAATAATCTCTACAGTATTTAACTGAGACCCAGTTGAGTAAGTTAACTTGGGCGAAAGAATGCTATTTATTTAAATTGACATTTATTTACAAATATTTGTCAATTTTCTACATATTCTTAGGTCCTGCATAATGCCTATTTCTTCCTAAATACCAAAATTAGCTGCTGCGATAATAGTACCTACTTGTTTATTTTGATAAAAGTTAGGTTTTTATGTATTATTAGATGTAAAAAGTATCCAACAAAAAATAAACTCACACAGTTGCGGTTAAGGTAGTGTCCGTAGTCTGACTGTGACCATGGGCGACAATGGGCTTTGGACATGAACGGTCATATTTGTCCAGTGGACAAAAAGTCCATTGTTTGTTTACAGTATAAATTGCAAGAACACCTTGATTTATCCCACTTTTTCGAATAAATATTAGTTACATTTATTTGGTTGGAATAGGATATTTATGGAGAGTAGTTTTTTTGCTCGCAAATACGGAATGATCTAGATACTTTGGTCTTTGACCTACATGATCAGTCTTGTGTTCTGAATTTTATAATTACCTATGTGTGATGTCTGTGTTTTAGTTAGTCTACTTCCTAATGTTATTAATGAAGAATTTAGAAAACTGGTTTTCTTTTTTAAACTGGTTATTTTCTCGCCGTGTCATACGTAACCATATCGGATTATATCAGATGTAATCTTAATTACTTACATATCTATTTTAATGATATATTATATATTCTTTTAAAATATATATTACCATAACACGATGTAACCACTACTCCCGTCCAAACTAATAAATATTGTGTTTGTAAGTTTCATTGTGATATAGGAATTTTAAAATAACGTATGCATAATTTGTGCAAAGGATACCCACATTTACGATTTTACAATAACATACTTACACTATATATATATACACTAGTCACTAGAGTGGTAGTATACTGGGTCCATTAAAAGGTTTTAATTCAACGTTTTGTATGATTGCCTGTTTTTGAAGTAATTGTTATTAATTTATGTACAGATCTCACGTCCCTTGAGGGAAACCAGCAATGGTGGACTACTACAGGGTATTAGGAGTCAATCGGGCTTCCACGGAAGCAGAAATAAAAAAAGCGTAAGGATTTTCATTCTTTTTAATTAATTTCTCTTTAAATAATCAATTTAAGGATAACATTTCAAAAATAAATTATTAATTTTATTAAATTATCTCTGTATATTTCTGATTTGTCGATCGAAATCTGATTTGTTGTCGAAAAAAAATTAAATATATGTTATTTTTTTACAATATGAACAATAGGCACAAATTGCCATTGCAAAGTACTTACCTAACTACAGCTTTTACAACGCGAGCTCTTTTTAAGACCTTTAGATTTAATTTTATTATGTTAATCATTGATGTATTATCATGTATCCCATTCATAAACCAATATTTTATTAATAAGGCATACTAGAAGAAAACAATAGTATTCAAATCTTTTTGTAGCCTATATACATATATATATATGTCTATTATAATATTGCAATCATAATATATGTTATATTAGGATTGCAATATTAAATATCTACTATTAATAATATATTATTATTTTAAGACCAGAAGGTTTTGGCTCTCTGTAGATAAGTACATAGGCCAAGACCTCAAACAGTGACTGGTACAACGCTCATTTATACTTTTATAGTAAAGTTAATTATTACATATTACAGTTATTTTGCATAGCGATAACAGTTCTTTCACTTTTATGGTAGGCAATATTAAAAAGTAACTGTTACATGTTTCAGGTATAGGAAACTAGCTCTGAAATGGCATCCCGATAAGAACCCAGATAACGCAGAAGAAGCTAATAGAAGGTTTAAAGAGATTTCCGAAGCTTATGAAGTACTCTCAGATGGTAAGTATAAATATGATTTATACTTTAAGATTGAAATTATAATTAGCAATAAAAAATTAAACTTTTTATAACATTATTGATCATTACTGACCAAATATACTTGTGTCTGTAATATATCATTTAAAATTATGTTTTCATAATCATCATAATCTTTTATGTTCGGGAGGCAATGTTATAATAAAAATTGACAAAGATTTATTGTGATAGTTATTTTACGCTTAACTATGTTATTAAAATTTTATACCTAGATGGACTATACGCAAAAGTCCGCTATTGTTTTGCTAATACGAGTATATTATTATGCATATAACAATATATTTAAGGATTTAGTATTAGTTGTCTAGTATTTACAGTACAAATTCTGTTTAATAGGACCCTCGATGGTGTTGAGCGACATTTATTTTCCACCCCCATAATATTTTATCATATTCATAAAATATTATGGGGGTGGAACCTAAATATTATTTCATTATAATTATGAATGGTCATGCATTTGAATTTACAGAAAGTACATCGCAGTCCATAAATTCCACAATAGTATTATCAATACATACTTAATTTATGTTATAAAAAGGTAAAATTTGAATTTGTTAAGAAAAACTATCTATGAAAACGTTTCTTATGAATTCTATCTTAACAATGCGAGATATATTATAGAAGAAAATTGTAGAGCTCGATAACGCCTACTAAAAAATCAGCAACAGAATATTTCTAACTTTTATATTTAAGTCACAAGAAGTAGTTTTTTTTTGTATTAAAAATATAATTGAAATCGATATGTCATGTTTATTAGTCATATTATCAACAATTATGAATTCTTATCAAAATAAGTAAATTTATCGAAAAGAAAGGACTTTTCCCTTGTCGTAATCTATTCAGTGATATTTCTATTACACGATTTATTTCATATACAACACGTCAATCTATTTATATTCCGTGGATACTCATGATTCCGTCAAAATGTCTTTTATGCCTACTGTTAATGAGTTCTAGGGTCAAACATTTTCTTTGGTGTGCATTGACCTAAGAAGACAGTGTTTTTTTCCATATATGTTATCTTCGCTTGTAACTTCTGAATACCAATTAATAATACCTAGTATGGTACATATAGAATATTTAAACAATTAAAGTAAACATAATTTATTCAATCACATATTGTGATTAATATATATAAATTGGCATACAGATACAAACATATGTATTAAACATTAAGCCTCGTTTTGACAGTCAGAAAATCAATTATAACACTCGGTACTAACCGAACCACACTCAATTTCATTACAAATAAAAACACACACACACACACACACACACACACACATACGATACCATCCTCGCCGGCGAAGACGACGACCTCTAACACACCATACCGCGCAATCAATCGTTTTCCACACCGGTGCTCCCGGTCGCCCCTCCGATCGATCCCCCGTCCATTCAAACGGGGATCGTAATTACGACGGCTTGAGCCGAGGTTCGAACCCCGTAGCGGTGCCCTCAGACTAAAGTCGTATCCGTCAGGTGGGAGTTGGCCATCAGCCACTCTATAAGTCCTTCCGCGGGTTTGGAGTGCCATCTGCACTCGCCCCCTATCGTCCGGTGAAGCTTTAAAAGCCAGCTGCGGCCAACAGCATTAGAGTAGTGCGAAAAAAACACAAGTAAAAATGTTTAATGCCAACGAATTAGGCACGGGCCACCTTATTATTACATAGTATAAAACAAAGTCGCTGTCGCTGTCTGTCCGTCCCTATGTATGATTAAATTTTCGAAACTACGCAACTGATTTTGTAACGGTTTTTTAATGGATAGAGTAATTCAAGAGGACGTTTTATATGTATAATAAATGTACACCCGGGCGAGTTTGATATAAAATATTAATATTAACTTGATTCACTTTGAGGCATTCAAATAGTAATTGCTATATTTTTTATTGTATTAACAGTAAAGAACTCTGTTATTCAAAAATCTTTTTAGAAAATCACAAATTGTTTTAACAGGTGGTCACGAGTGGGCTACAGATTACACCTTACAGTGGTAGAATCATTATGATTCGATAACAACTCTCATGCAAGTGATTATGTCGAGGGAAAAGCTTTTATCTCATCGTTTTATCGCATATTTCCCGCAGTGATATCTCAATCAAAATGAAAAAAAAATGAATTCTATGCATTGACACTTAGGCTGTTCTAGTCTATAGGTAACTCAGTTTTTATTTCGGACAACTACTTCGTAAATACGGTGCCTTTAAATGTACGGGAGCCGTTAATATTCTAACATTATTATTAAACAATGACTGATATTTTGTATTTAAGTAGCTACTTATATTAGATCTAGCTAGCTTTAGTAACCGGATAGGTAAAATGTGTCAGATACCTTCAAAGTCGGGTAAATTGTAAACCAGAAAGTAATGTAGTAGCCCAAGAGCCCACGACTGCCAGACATACGTCATTTTAGTAAACGTGAAAGTTCTTGTATGTGTGTCCCCAACACAGGTAAGAACGGTCCCCAAACATGAAACCTGGATCGTGGTTCCTTTGGCAGGTACCAGGTAACAAAGGTGTAAAAAAAATCATATCAAATTCGTTATTTTAAGAAACTCCATATTTTCATATATTGATCGTAGCATTATTATAACTTGCGCTGCTCATTGCCAGACACTTAGTGTGGTTCCAACCCCCCGCCGGACCCCCCTAAACTATACTATTTTATAAATAAACTTACGTCATTTTAATAAAGCTGAACTTTGTATATATTATTGAGAGAACTATTAAACTGAGTTTCCTAAATTGCCAGACAGATTTCTTGGTTCCTTATCCTACCAGACTCATTGAAACCGTATATTGGGTAACAATGGTGTATACAATTTCATATCAAATTCGTTATTTTAAGATGCTCCATTTTTTCACATATTGTTCGTAACAGTATTATAACTTGCTCTGCTCGTTGCCAGACCCTTATTGTGGTTCCAACCCCCTGCCGGACCCCCCTAAACTATACTATTTTATAAATAAACTTACGTCATTTTAATAAAGCTGAACTTTATATATATTATTGAAAGAACTATTAAACTGAGTTTCCTAGAGTTATAATAATGCTACGAACAATATATGAAAATATGGAGTTTCTTAAAATAACGAATTTGATATGAAATTTTTTACACCTTTGTTACCTGGTACCTGCCAAAGGAACCACGATCCAGGTTTCATGTTTGGGGATCGTTCTTACCTGTGTTGGGGACACACATACAAGAACTTTCACGTTTACTAAAATGACGTATGTCTGGCCGTCGTGGGCTCTTGCTCTATAGATATTGATGTAGCTTGGTATGGAGGCTCTGAAGTACTTTATATATTAATACACTGTTAGCCGATAGTCTGACCTGAGCATAGTTATTTAGCAAACCATTACACTACATTACATTATAATATAGAAATGTGGGGGGAATATCCCAAAAAGTTTGAATTACTAAATACTTTTTATACTAATGACGATGGAATAGTGCTCACGCCTGAGTGAAAAGTATATGCTGACGGGACATCAATTGAAAATGCTAGGATGAGAATGTAGTCGGTCATATGAGTTAATAATGTCCATTATGACTAAATAACTGTGATGCCTCCAAGAATCTACTGCGAGAGGATCGATTGGACATGTTGCATTAGTAATGACATTATCAGTCTCCGTTACGTCTCCTTCAATAATAACTTACATATACTTTCAATTAATATGCAGTCACTCTCACTGTTAACGGAGGTATGGTGATTGATCAATTGCGTACAATGTTTCTAGTATTATAATTTTATTTTGACAATGGTCATTAGCAGTTTACCTACTATTAATAGTACAAATATATTGGCCAAATTTTCCATGGCCATTTCAATTGTCTTGTTAATTTTGGTGACGTTGATTTAACCGTTACTCAAGCTATTTACTTATGTTGTTTATAAACGTGACTCCTTTACATGACACATTCCATGAATTTTTATTCGAAGAATTTAGCTTAGTTTGGTCAACATGTAATTGAACATATTGTATAAATTGAAAAGGATTACTTTATTACTTCTATTACTATTTGTAGATTTTCAAATGTGTTTCAAAGCATAGTGTTCATATTTTTGATGAAGCATATTCCAATTTCTATAATCATTATTCATAATTACCTAAATGTATAATGTTATTTTATTGTTGGGTAGAAACCAAGCGGAAAGTGTATGACGCAAGGGGGTCCGGCCATCATGGTCACAGATATCAAAGCAAGAATGGAGTCAATGGCCATCGACACTTTAGCTTCAAAGGGTTTTTCGGAGAAACGCCATTCCATCGTTTTTTTGGTAGTTGTCCGCAAATAATTAAGCTATGAATATTATCATTCAGATGTCATTCGACTTAAAAGTACTACAGATATTGTATGTCATACATTACATACATACCCTCGACTTTAGGATAATCGTAATATTAATATCTAGTTAAACCTTTCATTGAAAGCAGAGAAAATGACATCTAGTTTATATCGATGAAACAAGCTTATTTTAAATTTAACTAGTACTAATTTTATTCGTTTAATTTTGACTAAATATGATAATATTCATATTGGAATGTTGCGAAATTTAACTTTATGACTAACAAATATACACGAGTTTGATGTGGATATCTACTGCTAACGTTTTATATGGCATATTATATAATAAAAGTTTTGCAGTATTGATATTATTGGCTTGAACTAACAGAGTGACGCAATAAACTTGGGAACGCTAATAATTAAATTACGTTGTAGCTGATACATAGACATTTAAAGCAACATACAATATGTTGGAAATTAGACCATCTGTGCGATTGGTTGAGTCAATTGTTTTGATCAAAAGACGCTGTGAGTCGTTGTAATTATTTAATTGATAACATAAGTATATAGTATTTAGAGCACTGAAGTGCAATGTACTATTCTATCTTCGTTTTGATATTGCGTATATGGAAAGTATAATATAAGTTAACGGGCATGTAGAAACCTATAATAAATATATTAATGCATTCGAATATTTTCGTTTTTTTTACCTATAGTGAAGCTTTGCTAATCTAGCCTATGGTAACGACAATTTTATTCTATATTTTCGATATATTTACGTTATACGGGAATAGAAGTTATAAAGGTTTTTTATTTTTACCAATTTTTTTTTATTTCAATAAATAAATTTCATAAATTTATTTATTGAAATAAAAAAAATTGGTCTATGTCTTTCATGCCCTAGTCTAGATGGTTATGTGTATAAGACATAATTACGTTACTTAATGTATTTATATTATTTTGTTTATTATGTGCATTAGCATATTGGGAGACCACAAATAGTCAGTGTCGAAACCTGTCCACCGATACTGAGTTCGTTACGACCTTCTTCATTGGTGATCAAATTCAAGAGTGATGAGGGTATTCCTTATCCCGTATCTACTACTATTATGTATTGTCTAGACAATGAAAATATAATATGGTAACAAGAAAAAATTGACAAAATAGTTTGGATCTTGTATTGTAATGAATTCGTCATTGAAAGATGGAAATAGAAAATTAATGATATATGAATTAATATATTAAACCCGAATGAGTTCTGAATGCCCATGGTAACAGTCAATAAAATGGAGTAAATATATAAATGATTTAGACTTCCCCAATACTCTTTTGCATTAAAAGAACTGGGGAAGTTTCAATCATTGCTCTACAATAACCTGATAATATTAGCGAACTCGTACTATAGGTTGTCTGTCAAAGTATATACTCCTGAAACTAGTCCCCATTTGATATTACACCATCTTCGAGGATACACTCAATATGAAACTGGACTGGCTGTATCAATCTATTGTAATATACGAATTCTGTATACCATACTATTGTGCGGTAAACTGTATTGTTTGTGATTGTGTTGTTGTGGTTGTTTTAAGAGTTGTGTTTGGCGCCTATGTTGTGGTAATGTTATTGTAAGCAATACCGTTCTCACTATTCTTTACGTGTTATTTGATGTTATAATTTTAACACCAATTTAATTTGACTCCATTGTATAATAATATTAATATTTTATGGCTTGAAATTAATACCTAGTGTTACAAAATGTTTGATTAGACTAAGCGTTATTTGATATTAACAAGATTTCCGAAATGGGACAATGGTTAGATTATTATGCAGATCTTTCAATTAATTAATTCTAATTTGTTTATTTTATAATGTCTAAAGATAAACAATAACATGAAAATGTTTAATTTAAAAAAATATATTTTTACAGAAAGGAAACGACGAGTATATGATCAATACGGCAAAGAAGGACTGAATAGTAGCCGAGGACGGCGTTCCGGCGTCGACGATGACTACGACTTCGGTTATGGCAGCTTCCCGTTTACATTCCGAGATCCCGAGGAAGTGTTTAGAGAGTTCTTCAGTGGATCCTTTGGCGATTTATTTGCTGGTATATATTTCTTATTTTGTATCTTCTTTATTTTGAAACGATCGATGAACAACTTAATACACATGTAATGTACCAACAGACAGAAATATATATAAACATATACAATACATATACAATAAATATATAAACTACTAGCAATTTGAGAAAATACATTTTAGCTGATTTCTTACAGTTGAGATATAAAGATAGATATGCACTCTTCGCGGTGCGTTCATATTGAACGTGTGAACAAGTCGCCGATAAGTGTTTCGGTTCAGTATGTACTACTATTTTCTTATAATTAATTTTATACAAATATATTAATGGGAGAAAGTTGGAACTATTAATTCAATTATAGAAATGTTGGTGGCCCGCGATTCGCGTCTTGCTGGTCTAGATTATTACAAATAATAATGGGACAATTTTTTATATTTCAGAGATCAATGGTCATGGGCATCACCACAGGCACGGGCGTCGTAGTCATCCCAGCACGTCGCTCACTTCATCCCTCTTCAGTCCATTTGGTTTCGGCATGCAAGGACTCGACGACATATTTGCCCATGCTGCACCAAATGGCAACACTTTCACTTCTTTCTCGACGTTCAATAGTTCATTGGCAGGACCTGGCAGCGCTAATATGAGGAGCACCACGACAACTACGCGTATGGTCAATGGAAAAAAGATTACTACTAAGAAGTAAGAATTCAATACAATTTTTTAGTTTTTTTTTCAGGGATGATAATGAGATGGTACATCCGCCCGCGCTATTGGTGATATACACCGGCGAGGCACCCGTAAAAGATGATGAGTCAGGTCAGTTTCCCCACTGCGGTGAATTTACCACGCTCGTTTTTAGGTGGGTCCGCGTGAAGGTTCGCGTCGGCCATCTGCAGTGCTAGCAATGGGTGTGTTCTCATTATTAACAATCCTCTTCTCATGTCTTTTTAGATTAAATAAAGTGTCATATAAAACACATTATCTGTAAAAATGGTTATTTTAAAATTGAAGAGTTTGCAAATGATTATAATGTTTTTGTAGAAAAAACTTAAAATTCGTAGCGCTGACAATATTATCAGATTGCACTAACAATAAGTGCGTAGCGGTTTCTATGCTAATTATCACATGCTGCATTACTTGTTATAGTCTAATTATGTAGTTAATATAAACATTCAAATGAGCAGTAGTAGAATAAAAAAAAATGTAACTTCAAAACTGCTTATATGGTGTTTATTTGAATAAAAATGATATTATTATTATTTCTATTTCTATTTAATAGCTAAGATAAGAGACAACCCTCGTCACCTTTTTGTCCTTGAAAATAAAGTATTTGCAATTTCATTGTGTAATTAATGTACACAAGTAAATGTTTATGCACAATTCTGCAACTATGAACAGTAACATTGTACGGATGGACCTTAATTTTAATATATCTTTATATAGTATATTATGGAATGGTATGGAATATCTTTATATAGTATATTATCGGCTTGGTAATTTTATTTATATGCTTAATTACAAATTTCTTTTTCAGAGTATCGGAGAATGGTCGCGAGACTGTGATGTCTTATGAAAATGGGGTCCTCAAATCAAAGACTGTCAATGGTGTACCTCAATCATTAACCTACAGTTAAACATGTGTAATGTTCTACAATGTAACCAAACATAATCCAAATGTCAACTCAGTATAATTAAATGATATGAGTTAAAGGTTCCAACTATAAAATACTTAACGTAATTTAATTTTGCTTAATTTAAATATTCAGTGTGATGAAACCAATTGTAAATTGATAGAGTGAAATATCTTAATCTTAATTAAATTTAATAATAGTAGGGTTATTGCTTCTTATTAAAATAGTATATAAGTGAGATCGTACAGTAGACTACTCTGCTCAATTGTACAAATCTCGCTCTGAAGACTTGTGTTCTGTTTGTCGTAGCACGCGCGTTTATGATCTCGAAATGTGCAAACGAGGGTGTGTCAGAAAAATAAACATTAACCTTTCCTAATACGTGCTACGATTATTATATTATTTTGCTGCCAACTTTACCTATTTTTAGTATAATAATATTTATAGTCATAATTATACTTAAACAAGTTTTAATTTAATCCTAGTTGGTTGACACAACTAGTATATAATTAAAATACTTTTAGGAAAATTTATCGTAAATTTTCGTTGTTAAGCGTATATATATTTCATGATGACATTACATTTTCAAATTTATGTTACTCATTGTATTCGCCACGAGGTTTGTTTAGGAGTTTTAAGTTGGCAAATTAACTGCTGTATTAGAAGATAAATGCTATTTTTGTATATCATGGATGGCATTTTTAACTTATCTGCCTTAGATTTAATGCGATAACAGTCAATAGTCGGTAGTCCCCGCCCGCTTTTAGTTTATTTATAATATAATAAAGGTGTTGTAGCCGACAATACAGAAAAGAAAACACATAGGTATTTTTAAGCAACTAAAAGATTATTTTAACGATGTGCATCGTCATTTGTAGTCATGAATTGACATGGATTAATCATCCAATCACATCAAAACATATTTGACTGTATGGGCAAAATAAAAGATAGCGTGTGGTATTCTCGTTCTGTAGGATTATAACCATTTTTAATTTTCTTTTATAGCTTATTTTAAACAACTGGTTTTTGAAATGAATGTTTTCAATTTCGGTGTTGCTTATGTTGTATACAGAGTTACCATGTAGCACAAAATATTTTGAACATAATCCATGACAATGCCAATCTCTGTGTAAAGTAGAAACTAAAAAATCAGTCTAGCTATTAGAATGCATATATCATTTAGTGATTACTAGATTATATATGCATTAAAAGATTGTAAAAGTTAAATACAAAATTGTTTCTATACCTTCTAAAAAACAATTTCTTATGAAAAAAAGTCAGTATTTTATTAATAAAATAAAAAATGTATTGTATTACAACGTAAAAAAAGAGAATACTTATGAAAAGAAAGTTTAGGGAGACTGGTTTGTTAAAAAAATATTGTTTTGTGATCTGATTGATATAAACTTGTCACACAAAAAGTTTTTGCCCATATTTTTTTATCATTTTTCATGTTACATACATCTTAAAAACATTCAATTTACCGTATGTACTTAAAAGTTTTTTCTTTATATTATGACCAACATTTTTTTTATGTTTTGGCAAACTTTAATGAAAGTATTTAATTAGTTATACATATCTCATTCATAGTGCCATTGCGTTTAATAACTGGTTTCTAACGAGAGCATAGCACGTATTTTGTAAATATCTGTTTTCTTACGAGATCTCGTTTTCTTATTAAATTCTGTCAACTACAGAGCACTGCAAAAATGAATAAATAAAATTGCATTGTAATTATGAATCTTTTATTTTTATCTTACTAATACATTCCCTACAGATCTGCCGTGAAAAATTGATACAGACACAGATTGCGCAAAATTCTACTTCATGTACATTTGAAATATATTTTTGCGACAATAAAATCGATGAGAATATTGTAATTTGTATGAAATTACTGTATTGATTAGTAATTATAAATGTTCGATAACTTATACGAAAGTAGCATTTTTATTTTTAAAATATTAGTAGAAATTTAGTAACTTTCAGTGACGCTTCATTACTACAATTAGGTACATTTAAATGATAATTATGATTCAACATGTAGGTAAATAATTACCTATTTAAACTGTGCTATATATAAGAGAAAAAAATATTATTACCATATAATTAATACAGTTAATTCTATATATTACTGCCATATTACATCCACCTATTTCACTATACATAGGCATTATTCTTAATGAATATATATATATATATATATCTATATATGTCGAATAATAATATTTACATATTATTCGACATAGAGCGACTTCGGTACACAGATGCGATAGGTTCATCATCAGGATATTCATATCTTTTTTCATCATTCGGAACATACGCGAAACCATCGAAATGTGTGAATTCTCGGGCTATGATGTCCTCTAAATGATATAGACGCGTTGGATGCTGTATGTACTTAAGATTTTCTGAAAAATAGATGGAATTTGTTAGAAATTAGAAATTCTTAAGCTTCATGATACTAAGAATAGAATTTTAAGCAACACAGTTGATTATTAATGAAAAATTATATACTGGCATATATTTTGTCTCAGTCAAGTTCAGTCCAATAATTACGTACAAGCACGCAGATGGTACTATTTAATGTTGAATGGTGAACAGAGAAGAAATCGAAGCCCATTTCTTCTGCACTGAATCTAATCGAAGGTAATTTAAACTGTAATTTGTTGAATTTTTGCAGGATGGCAGTGGATTCCTCAGTAATATATATTTTTTCTTTTATTTGTTTTGTATATAAGTATATAATCTTCCTAAGGTCAAAACTAAGCAAGCTATAAAGATTGCTTAGTATTGACATAAATAAATTTTTGTAGATATATAATTATATATTATAAGTAATGTGGTTGTTTACCTTGGGCTACATATCTTATGGATTGATTCACGGCTACAACATAGTAGAACGGTTGATCCATACCAAAATTCAAGTTTGTCTCCATTCCCATTTGGTTTAGCCATTCGGATCTGCAGTTTGTATCCCATCCACGAACTATACATACATAGTTCAGTTTTAAATGGTAACAAATCATACCGACGGCATATTGAACGCGACTATCATGTCGTTTTATGGTAATCTGAAATTGTTTGAAATTATATTAAACAATCAAAAATATGCAAATATTTTGTTCAGTTTTTACCGACTTGTTACCGCTACCATGAACTTTTATTGCACATAACTATAGTATAGGTGTATTACTCACTTCTTTAAGATTTGGTTCCGTAGAAATGCTTCTAGAAGCTAATAACATCAGCAACTGTAGATGAACATCGCTCATCTGTGCAAAGTAATATTATACAAATTATGTATATATTTATTGTTTATTAGGTACATATTTGAATTTGGTTACTACATACATATTTAATGTTGAGAGGTGTATTTATATCAAAGTCCCTCATATTATCAAATAGGTATATGAAAAAACTTCTGTATGTATTTTCATCCATTTGATTAATACCTACAAGATGAAGGAGTAGGAATGCATTCTGAGTGTTCCTGAAAGAAAACCATAATTTATTGTAATACAGTAACTACCCAATCATATAAATAAATTATTATATCGTATGTATAACTATATCTCCTAACAGTAAGAACATTTGTACAAATGGTTTGACATATAAATATTTCGTGTAAGTAGTTCACAATTATCACAAAATCAAACAGTATAGTGCAGTGTAGATAAACACACTACAATAATGCTATTCATTATTGTAGTTCATACCTCATCTTCTGATGTCGTATGTATTATTGAGGTGTAGCTAAAGTCTGTTGATAAACGAGCATCATCAACATCATTGGTTGTGGCCTGTTTTTTTCGGCCGTGACAGTGGCACTTCGTGAGGAAGTAGCCATTATTATTGCTAAAAGTTGCATATAGATGGCGTGATTGGTATCGATGGAATTCTTCATAGTTTTGCAAACGTTTTAAAAAATAAAACTGTGTTTTCAAAAATGTTTAATCAATTTTTAAAAAGTTATATATACATGTTAAAATGAAATAATGCGTTTAGAAAAGTAATTTTCATATATTTACTCATTTTGTTATTTTCCAGTACTTAATTACACTTTAATCAGTGCTAATACGGGGCTCAATGTTTTCAAAATGCTTTCATAGATGGCATTGTTGTCATTTGTATCGGCCTAATTAAATGTCTTTTTTATATTTTCCAATAATAAGCACTTAATATATTATTATTGTAAATTAAACATATAAAAAAAGTTTAAGTAAATTAAAAATAGCCGAACAAGCAAGTAATACTATTTCCAATAATACTTATGTATGAAGTGTTGTCATATTAAAAATAAATACATGTATTATCGATTTTTTTGAATAATCGATAACAGGATTTTTTTACAGCGCATTATTCGATGATGCTTTTAATGAGTCGTTGTGAACAGTAAATTTTCATTATTTTGTATTATAGCAGTGTTCCGTTTCAAAGAACGGAATATAGTAGTACATTATTAGTGTCGTTGGTTATTTACATTTGTACTGAAAAATCGATTACATATTAATTTAAAATATCGAGTACGAATCGTAGCTGTCTTCGAATACTGGCAACTGGTAAGATTAAAATAGTATTTAAAAAAAAGAGAGAAATCGACCCTAACTCGAATATCATAAAGTTGATTTTCCTTTCTCATTAATATCATAGCAGTTTGTTTTTAACTTGCGTTTATTATCGGGTCGTCCGCTGATCCTTTTATGGACCGCTGGGTACGGGCCCCGAGCTTACGCTCTTTACCCGGGCATACTGCTGGGGTATACCACCCCAGCGTCGTTCGCTGCTTCCCAGCAGCCGGCTGAGGGAGTCGTGTGGGTGGGACTCTATAAGTTGCTCGCCGAGCCGGCTTAACGCCGCCACGTCACGTAAATGACGTGATCACTCGGTGGAGAGTAAGTCGCGCGGGAGCGCGCGAGTGGCGTCCGGTGGGCGCGCGTGGAGAGGGGCGAGGTCGCGCAGGTGCGCTTCGCGCCCGCTGTCCGCGCGCGAGAACATCGCGCGCGTCAACCGGACGACGAACTGCTCCACCGATGGGACCTTGAGGTCGCGGGCGATCACGTCATTACGGACGTACCGTCCGGCATTTGTGCACAGACGGAGGGCGGCGTTCTGTTGGACCTGCAGTCTCCGCCGCTGTGATGCGTACCATGCGGGGGCGGCATATGTGAGCCGCGAACGAATGTAGGTCTTATAAATGCCTACTTTCGTCCGCAGCTGCAGCCTGGATTGCAAGACCGGTCGCAGCATAGCGCGCGCAGCCTTGGCTTGGGTAACAGCCCGGTCCACCTGCGGCGTCATACGCAGCGACCGGTCGATTTCCACCCCTAGGTAACGCACTGTGCGCTCCCACTGGATGGGCTGGCCTCTCAGTAAGAGGGGCGGCGGGCATTTGTACGTAGCGCCACCGTTTTACCCACGTTAACGGTGGTACGCCACTTATCCAGCCACTCGGGGAGCAGGTCCAACAGCCGCTGCATTTTGCGAGCGGCTGCGTAGGCTCGGCGAGACGACGTAAGAAAGGCACTGTCGTCGGCGAAAAGAGCGAGGACGACATCCCTCTCTCCCTCTCGGAGCTCATCCCTCAAGGTGGGGATGTCGTCTGTGTACGTCGCGTAGAGCGCTGGCGAAATGCAGCTGCCCTACGGGACTCCGGCGGCAATTGGGCGTGTGGTAGAGTCACAGTTCTCGACCGAAACATAGAAGCTCCGGCCCGAGAGGAACGAGTCCACTACTCGCACGTATGCTGACGGCGTGTTGGTGTCGAGCAACTTCGACACCAAACCGTCGTGCCACACACGGTCGAACGCCTTCTCTATATCGAGAAATACGCCGACCGTGTAGTGGCCGCGGTTGTGCTCGACAGCCATATGGTGGAGCACGCGCGTCAGCTGCAAAGTCGTCGAGTGTCCGCCTCTGAAACCGAACTGCTCGTCGCGAGGCGACAGAGTCGGTCTCAGGCGGCGGAGCAGAAGGCGCTCGAACGACTTTGCTACGTGCGAGAGCAGAGTGATGGGCCGGTAGCTTGCCGGCAGGCGCTTGTCCTTGCCGGGTTTCGGGAGGACTATGACTCTACCCAACTTCCAGTTGGTAGGGAAGTGGCCGGTCCGGAGTCGTTGTAGAGCCTCGCTAGACACGCTAGGGCTCTACGGGGCAGCTGTGCGAGCGCTGCGGTGCTGATCCCGTCCGCTCCGGGCGCTTTGCGCTTCGGTAGACGAGCTACCTCGCCGGGCGAGACGAAGCTCACCTCGGTAACGTCCGGCGACGGAGCGGTACGGAATTCACCTACGCGACGTACGATTCGCTCGTGGTGCTCGACGACAGTGCTGGGTGCGTCGGCGGCGATTGGATTGGCCGTGAATTGCCCCTCCAAGTGCTGTGCCAGGATTTCTGCCCGGTCTTGGGCTGCGTAACGACGTCTGCCCGTCTCGTCAAGCAACGGGCAGACGGGGGGTCGTGCATTGGTGAGCTGTCGATTGAGTTGGTGCAGGTTGGTTTCGTGTTCGCCGGCCCGGGATATGACACCATCCCAGGCGGCCCCACGCCAATCCCGCACTCCCTCCGACAGCTCTGCAGCCAGGCAGTTGAGCTCACGCTTGACCCGCGGGCAGCGAGTTCGGGCCCATAGGCGACGGAGGTTCTTTTTCCGGGCGAGTTTTTCGCGCAGATGGTGTGGCAATTCCTCTCGACGGCGAGAAGCCACGTTTATTGTGGTAGTTGCCGCCTCCACTGCGGTGCGAATTCGCTCCGTTATGAGTGTGGAGGCGGCTTCGACACCCGCTGGCGATGATAGTTCGCCGTCGAGGTGTAGATGCTCCAATTCTGCGCGAAAAACACGCCAGTCCATCCGCCGCCTCGACGGTCTCGTCGGTGTGGTGGTGGTGGAGAGAAGCGTGGCTAGAACTGGGAGGTGCTGCGTGTCAAGGTCGTACAGCACCTCCAGTAAGACCGGGCAAGGAACAGCCTGCAGTACGGCAATGTCCAGAACGTCTGGGCTATGTGTGGGATTTGAGGGTACGTGGGTTGGGTGCGCTGGGCCCAACACCTCGTACCCGTGGATCTGCGAATCCTGGAGGAGTCTTCGACCTATCGGCGAGCACAGACGGGAACCCCAAGCCGTGTGCTTCGCGTTTAGGTCGCCCATAAGTAGGGTGGGACTCCTCCCATCCAGAACGTTAACTTGCGTATGACTCTGTGGTATGATGTTTAACATGTATTGTTATTGTACGGTGCATACATTTCAAAAATTATATTTTAATGTAGGTACATACATTTCATACATTTCAAAAATTATCTTTTAATGTAGGTACATACATTTCTTTCATACATTTCATACATGTCAAAAATTATCTTTTAATGTAGGTACATACATTTCTTTCATACATTTCAAAAATGAACTTTTTATGTAAGTACATACATTTCTTTCATACATCAAAGATATTATTATTGTAGATATCGAAAGTTATGTATACAAGAAATTCTGAATGTTATCAAGTTCAAAATAAGCACACATTACTGGCTTAGATAATAGAGTAATATTACTTGTAATAAAAACATTTGTGACACCCATATGTATACAAATTACATAGTATAATGGACGGTATAGTAGTAAAGCAATGAGTGTTCCAGTGACATCATTATAATATTAAAAAGTAGCCTTTCTCACAGTCTGCATTAACTGTACCAAATTTCAATTAAATAAGTTCAGTAGTTTTGGCGTGAAAGCGAGACAAACAGACAGAGTTACTTTAGCATTTATAATATTTGTAAGAATATCGCTATTAAAAATAGGGGTTGGTAAAAGACGGGCCAAAATTTAGGCGTGTATGTAACATTATAAATAAATAAAAAATTGTCCATAATACAAAAAAAAAAATTCAGGGTAGGCCACCCCTATGACTTAGGGGTATAAAAAATAGATAACAATCCTACCTCAGACCTAGCAAGTATACATATCCAATTTCATCAAAATGTGGGAGAAATATGGCAACTAACACTGTGATACGAAATTTATATATAAGATATAGCGGAATTCTCATTAGGGAAAAGAGGGGTACATCGTAGAATACATGAGGTATATGCCAGTAAATTAATTGTAGCAAAAACCAGTCCCTTACACATAACGATTGAAATAAAAAATCATATAGCCCGATTTTGATACGTACGAGTATAAACGTATCAAAATCGGGCTATACGTATAGCGCAGACTCGTTACAACATATCTTCGTCGAGAGAAAAAAATAGGCATGGAATGTAGAATAAACTATAACATAATATATACATTGGCACATAAGCCATATCTGCAGGGTGTCAGCTAACGATATTATACCTACACATTTACATTGAATCTTGAATCGTCCCTAATGAGGTACACGATACAGTTACCTACATATCTATTATATACCTATCTTTGCAAAACAGATGTCATGTAGACTGAATTGACTGCCATCTATTTTCGTGCTTTGTTACTAAGCACCCACTAGTAATCCGAACTGCTTCAGATCTAGAGACATCTAGCGGCTACGGCGGCGAAATAAAATAGCCCGAAGAATAGCCCGAGTTAGGAAGGAACCATTTTCTTGTATGGGATGGGGTATCTGTATGTAATATTATGTTATCTGTGGCCGTGATAAGAACTATAGGTAGCAGTGAGAGAGCATGGACAGTTGATCTTACAATCTGAGCCAGTAAATTAAAAAAGTCTACACTAACACGCGCCGGTGCAAGAGAGGTGTACACAGGAGATGTATATATGTACATTACATTAAATAAATCCAATCCTGTCTCCTTCTAAATCTTTAATATGAATAAATACTTTCTATGAGTCAACATAGGCACGTAGAAGTTCGCGATTGTGTAGATCAAGGTGGTTCCACAATCTTAATCCATTTGTTACAAAAACAGAGCACAAAGAGCTTTTTAGTGATGGGTGAAGTTTGTAGCGGGGTGCTTAGATAGGTAACTAGAAGAGTCTAGAAAGCATTACATTTCTAAATCTAATTTCTCTATTAAATGCATGGAAACTAACATAGCATAACAGCAATCTATATTTATAGTAAAAGTGAATAATAAATGGTACATATAAATTCAAAGATTGTATGTATATCTGAAAAGAGTACTAGCCGAGTTTGCTGTGCACATTTCTCGGCTGAACCTGCATGCTGATTGTGATGAATGTCTTACACAAAAATAACTTTCTAAAACTGCCTATATTGAGTCCAGTCGAGTGTACATTGGAAATGTTATATTCTATTATGGATATTTCGGTACATACTTCAATATAAATTACATACCAATCTTCAATAGAGCCCATACTCATACGATAACAAGAATAAATATATTGAAGCAGCGCATCTGGATGATATTCGTAGCGATTATTACGGTTGTTAGTATGTGAAAATGGACAGCGCCCTTTTGGTTTCAATTCGCCGTTATTAAGATCGATAGTGTAAGCCGGAGCATTTCTGTCATCCCAATTGGACCGCCACTCGAGAAACATATGATTCGGGAACGCTACCAGTTCACATTTCACACCGCATTTTTTAGCGACTGCATGGTATATAGCACCGATTACAATAGTATTTCCGATTCTATTGTCTAAAACCTGAAATAAAATTAAAAATAAATACTTAAAATCTCAAAATTTAAAGTAGCTGTTTCACACAGTAAATATTTCATATTAACGACATCTGCTACAAACCTCGTTAATTTTCTGTAATGACCATAATGGTAATTATAAAAGATAACAAGCTAATCAAATGTAGTTGTTAAACATTTACATGTATATATAGACATATTTTTATACTAGCTGTGTCCTGCGGTTTCACCAGCGTTAAATTTCAATATACATATAGTCTATATGTTATTCTGATGCATAAGTTATATTACTGTAAAGTTTAATTAAAATCCGTTCAGTAGTTTTTGCGGTAAGGAGGAACTGAGATTCATTATTACAAACTTTCGCGTTTATAATATTATTAGCTGTACCCGCGACTTCGTCCGCGTAAAATAGTGACCTTGATAAATAATGAAAAAAATATTTAATGACCTAACCTAATAAAAGTCAAATGAAAAAGTTTCATCGTTATAGCTTCAAAAATGACGACACTTCAATACTCAATTGAACTTCATAACTATTTCAACCCCTTATAACTGTCTTTATACGACACATCAATAGCTGCCTTTATACGACACGTCAATAACTGTCTTTATACGACTCGTCAATAGCTGCCTTTATACGGCACGTCAATAGCTGCCTTTATACGACACATCAATAGCTACTTATATACGACACGTGAATATCTGCCTTTATACGACACGTCAACAGTTACCTATATACACGTCAATAGCTGTCTTTATACGACACTTCAATAGTTGTCTTTATACAACCTTGCATCTACCATTTCAACCCCCTTACAACCCTTTTTTCGCATTCAAAAGTATCCTATGTGCTTTCTCAGGATCTATACTAATTGTGTACCAAATTTCACTTAAATCTGTTCAGAAGTTTTGGCGTGTAAGTGAGACATATAGACAGACAGAGTTAGTTTCACAGTTAGAATAGTAGTAAGGTATTTAATAAAAAGTTTCATCGTTGTTCAATAATGACGAATTTACATAAAAACTTTCATCCCCTATTTTATTTTACTCCCTTAAGGGTAATTTTTTACAAACTTTGACTGTAATATTCATTCGTATTTAATTAACAGCCTCAGAAATAAGTGTCATGCTTTTTCGATCTTCAAAGTTTCATCGTTCTTCAAAAATAACGAATTTCTATAAAAACTTTCATCCCCTATTTTATTTTACACATTTAAGGGTAAATTTTTTAAAAACTTTGTATGTCATCTACATTTAATAAGCAGCCTCACAAATAAGTTTCAAGCTTCCATAGATATCATAGATGTAAGGTAAGTACTTTTAAAATGTAATAATTGTTGATTAGGTCATTGTAGTGCATACAACATATAACACTATCTAAACGGGTATATAGTCGCATTTTTAATTAGACGAAGCTAACTGACAGTAGCTAATGTCACTTTGTAAAATAATGTTGCCATATTTAAAGTAATAGTGATGCGTTCAGTTCTGGGTCAGATGAATGAACAATGAGTGTGAATAGTTAATCATTTCAAACTACAAAAGAATATTATTTCTATTTTACAATAAAATTGTATAAGAGTGCTCTGATATAAGTTACTAGTGGTATGTAACTACAATCAGTTTTTTGACGGCTTATTACAAAGCGCGCGGCTACTAGTGCCAACACCGATCAACGTCGCGAGCGTCGGTCGCCATTTTGTTCGGAATTCGGCTTTTAACCTCTGGTCTGAGAGCACGAATGTTTTTTTGCGCTCACGCTGTTTTGTTATTGTTTTTGTTAAGTTTTTACTTATGTTGTGTTTGTGGTAATTGTTGGGTATATTGTATATTTGCTATATTGTTTCGTACAAACAATATGGATCCTCAACCAAGCACGTCAAGCCAAAACTTGTCTCCAAGAAAAAAGAGACCACGGATTCCAGTAAGCGTTACCGAAAAACTTATGATACAAAACGTCTACAAACACGTATTTGAGAATTGGTGTGACCTCAATCTACATTGTATTAAAAGAATACAAAGAAAATGAACAATTTAAGTCTCCAGGGAAACGTGGACCGAAATACTGTTTCAAATATAAATTATTGACAATTTTTCAGACAGATTTATAATTAATGTCACTGAAAGCGACAATGATTTTTTTAACTGATGTTGAATAAAAACAAATTTTGTATTAAGCGAAGTTTTTTATTTTTATTACCTAACTACCTATGTTATATATTGTTATATTTTATACATCTATACTATCAACTACATGACGTATTGTAAATAGGACAGTCTTAAAAGTTTTCTCGCAATTTTTTTTTATGTATAAAATACTCAGTATTCAGTATAGGTATATACTATAGGAACATAGTCGTCGAAAACTCGTTGGTATGTATAAAGCACGGCTAAAATTCGAGCCCCGTACCCGATATCGGCAGTTCGGCACACTATACTAGACAATCGAGGCAATTCCATTAATTCAGGAGTTTTTTCAATTATTCACTTGGTCACAACACTACTTTTACTTCATCAAATACTGACAACACAATAAACGTCAGTTGACTTCGTCTAATTAAAAAGACGACTATAGAGCTTTGTTTAAGCAGTTCATCCTTACTAATATTATAAATGCGAAAGTGTCCGTCTGTTTCACTTTCACCCAAACTACTGAACCGATTTAAATGAAATTTGGTACACAGATAGTTTAGAAAGGACATAGGCTACTTTTTAATGCAAAATAGGGTTGAACCCCCCCTGGGTTTCTATGACTATTGTCATTCTTAAAGCTAGAAGTTTAATTCTTATTTTGTAGGCTATTGATTGAATATAAATAAAGAAAACGGGTTGTATGGGGCTGAAAGAGGAGGGATGAAAGTTTTTATAGAAAATCGTCGTTTCTGAAGTTACAATGATGAACCTTTTTTCTTTGGCTTGTTTTGAGTTAGATTATTGAATATTTTTTCTTTATTTGTTCAAAGTTACTATAACACGCGGACGAAGTCGCGGGCACAGTTAGTATGTTATATATTATGCAAATAACAAATAATATAGGTACTAGGAGATAGAATAAGGCTTAAATAATAAATAAGTGAACACTACAGTCACTATTATATGTATCTACAGTCACTGTATAAAAGTGTTTAAATATAATAAATGAATGTGACTGTACAGTACAGTGTTTTTTAACCTTGTTTTTCAATACATAAAAACGTCGTAAAACCTTACAAAACCTTAATAAATATAATACCTTAATTATATCAAGTGTCCGCAGATTTGCAGTTGTTGTCACAGCCATATGCCTTTGTCGATAAATTACGTGAGTGATAGCGTCCAGCACTTTTTCTTGTGTCAACAGCCCTTTTGCCAGTCTTTCTTTAATTGTCCATAAGGGGCCATTCGATGAATCTTTATTTTCTAACATATTTTCTACCTTGGTTACAAGTTCTTGTAGCTAAAAAAGATGTGGTTACAATATTAATATAGTATGCATATACTTATATAAAATGCCATTGATATGTTGGTATATATATATACAATAAAATATTGGAATCAATGCAGACTTATCTTTCAGCTTAAATTTTTTGATCAGCTTGAATTCTTTGATCATAATACTATATAGGATTACTTGAATATTTAAGATTTGTCTTCAGACAAAAGTGGACCTGCCAATTTATTGCTTTCATTCATATCAAAAGTTAATATTTGAATGTTATCAGATGTCTGAAAACATTCAAATATTAACTTTTGGTTTTTTGGTATGTACCAAAAAACTAAAAACTACCAATAATCTAAAAAAAACACAGAAATATTATGTGAGATTAGGAAGGAAGGAGAAAGTGAGTCAGGCAGTGCAAAGGCCAGAAGGGGGACGAATTATTATATAAATCGCCTCATATAATTATTGGTTGTCTGTTTACATGTAAAAATAAATGAACATAATTTTATAATGTTTCTACTAGGATATATAAAGAATTTGTACATACTTTATTACTGACATGTTCATCTAAATGCAAACTCTCGTGGTCAATCCATTGCAAAAAAAAATTCACAACAACTTCTGGTGGCAGTTCTCTGCGTAGGTGAGATTTCGCCAGCTTTATTGCTAGATAACCATGAATTAAATGACGAAGAATAACTTTTGCGTAATGCATTTCTGTTAATGTAAATGGTCTGCAAAAACAAGTTAATCACATAAAAATATATTACTTTTTTTTTCCATTTTTACTCGTACCATAAAAACATAAGTTATATTAAAAAAAAAGTTATATTATTATTATATTTATATATATTATTATAAAACTTACTTTTGGCTTGTATATTTCTGCACTCTAACATTTCCTTTCCTTATTAAATCTTGTAAAATGTATATAACATAATATAGACTTAAGTTACTTTTTGTTGCAATAGTAAAAAAATGCTTGATATTTTGTAAAGTTACATCATTAGCTTGCCTGTAAGAGATTATTATTAAAAAATTATAGTTAAATAAGCTATTATATCTCCTTTAACCACATGGAGTATTATACACCCATTATCTGAGTTTCAATTTTAAAGATTAAATTGAAAATGAAAAAGGAAAGGCAATAACACTGCTTATATAAAAAATGATAAAGTACAAAGATTCCATAATCCAAGAAGATAAAATAGGGGATAGCAGTTTATACGGTGTCAGTTATTTATGAAGTTAGAAATTTGAGTATTAGTTCTTTATAAATTCTTTCCTGAATGTAGTATTTTTAAAATATGTATGATGTTAGGTACTTTTACATACACTCTTTCACTCAGGAATCGAGTTTCACACAGGAGTTATGTGTATTTAAATGTAGACTAAGACTGATATTAAATCATGAATGTTTTTTTGTGAGCACCTTTTTATAACAATTAATTAATATTGCAAAATGGAGGACATCTGACTATAGAGCAAAAACATAATTTATGAATCTTAAAATGTCTATGGAAAATAAAATCAGTATGTAAAAAATAAAACTTAAAGAAAGTAAAATGACTTGAAACATATGCACTATCTTGTGTGAAAGAGTAATTAATTATAAATAATATTAAAATGCAATCCCACATGATTATGTTAGCTTTAATTTAAATATTATAAAAATATAATTTTATAATTTTTCCAAATTGCAGTGTTAAACATTTAACAAAAAATTATATTATGAATAAACAAATATGAAGACTGTTTAATGTAAGTACAATTATATATAACCATGGGAATTGGAAGTATGTAGTGCTCCAGCTGTATTATTTCAAATGCGTTTCAATCTTATTTAATTTTAAATAAGGACTAAATTGGTTAAATATTTGTCACAGATTTGCATGCACAGATCTGTGACAACACAGTAACACTGTTTAAGAGGGGTGCACAGAACTGTGTCAAAATGTTCGAAGGGTTAAAAGAGACTCTCTTTACTAGTCCTATGAAAAATAGAGATCAACATACAACATTCCTAGTTTTGCTATACTTAGTAGGCAGAAAAAAATTGATAAAACATCTTAAGACATACCAATAAAATTGATGTGACATACTGATCAGCTCAGAATACACTTGCTTTTTTATTACACATATTCTTTTTAGTTCCTCTAACCAATCACCATTGCAGTGTTTATTCACATTTTCAAACATCTCTGAAGGAAAACTGCAATAATATATTTCAATTACATATTTAATAGAAAAAAATTACTCATTATTAATTACTATTTAAATATTTTGTATATTATATTTTGTGTAAGCATACTTGGCTTAACTTTTTTTTTTAAAATAACTATTTGAAATAAGAGGTTTATGCAAGTAGCACAAATAAGCAATTAACACAAAATTTTATTGTGCTCAAAGCTAGACTCAACTAACCAAGATAATTGAATAAATATTACAAGTTTGTATATAAATATAATTTTATGTAACTAATGATAAGGAATAATACATCAGAATAAACGTGAAATAGTTTGAAGTGAGAATTTATTAATACTTACTTTTTCTTGAAATCTCTTTTCCAAATAGATTGATTGCCTTTTATTATTTCATAATAACGTTTACAAGTAAAGCTAAAATTAATTATTTCTTTGCGATCATTGTGCTGCAATATCAATAGTATGACTTCATCGGGGATGGCTTCTATTGTAGGAATATTTTCAATTTCATATTCCATTATTTCATATAGGTGTTTTTCAGATATACAATTAGATTATATATTATCAAATGTTATTAAGTATTTTTCATAATATTAATAATATTTCTTATCTCAAAGACAAATTTGACATTAGTTATGTTGCCAGCTTTTTACGATTCTTAAATAGTGCTAATTAATATTAATTTTACGACACAATCGCAAAATTAATATTAATTAGCAATTTATATGGGTTACATTCAAATAATATGTTCGTATTCATTTAACACAACATTAATAAAGTACCGATATTATTCATAAATATAGAGTGGTTGTATCAAAACAGTTTTTTTTATTGACACATTTCACTAAAGTAAACACTAACTACCGTTTTTATGAAATAATGATTTGCATATGATGTTATATTTCTTAATAAATATACCAATTTAATATATTTAGGTGTTTGAAAGAAAAAAATAGTTGGTTGTAGTTTAATATAGCAAAAATTGCTATATGTACGGAATGTATAAAAAGGTATTTTTGTGTTTTTGAGAGTAGTGAAGATATTAGAACACATATATAAATTATGAAAAGAAGTTGTGAAAACTACATAGAAAGCTTTATAACTAATCGTCTCTAAAATAAAGAAATACGGTTCAACATATCAGTATCGTAGGTGCAGCACTACTCCACTACAGCTGGTAACATTATTAGTTTTTTTTTTCTTTGGCAAGAGGCTAGTGTTACCTATTATGCCACTGAAAACAGGAAACGAGACGGGATAATGGAAAGGAACAGGTTAAATTTTGAATATACTCGGAATTAGTGATCATGGGTTTTAAAGTTTAATGTTATTATGGGAAATAAAAGACGCAAGAGATTTAAAAATTATAGGACTAGGATGAGCTAATAGGCATACAATGGATGAAGGAAAAGGAATTTCTAATGAGATGAGTGCCTCTATAAATGAAAAACAATCGTAAAAGGAGCAGGAAAACACAATATGATTTAGATCACCCACATCTTCTCGACATTCACAGATATTATTGTTTTTTATACGTAGTTTTGTTAAATGTTCAGGGCTGCAAACATGACCAATTCGCATACGAATCAAAACACTAGTTGATCTTTTATCAAGATGTAATTTGAAAAACCACGGTTTAAGAGGTATAATCGGTTGGACTAAACAGTACTGTTTCCCTTTAATTTTGCTACTTATTGTCCAATCTTGACTCCATGAGTCATGAAGACAAGACTTAGACAAGGCAGTCAGATCATGGCAAAAGTTTTTATAAGGAAATAGATCTCCAGATAATATAGCTTCATTCGCAAGCAAATCTGCTTTTTCGTTGCCCCGAATGCCGAAATCCAAACAAAAGATACAATATGTCCTTTCAGACGAATGCTATTCAACATATCTCGGATATCAAAAATTAGAGGATACTGTTTAGATGATTTGAATGGACATTTAATTAGAGCTTGAAGAGCACTTTTAGAGTCCGTAAATATAACAGTTGGCTTAAGATTAAAAATTTTAATATATTCTACTGCTTTAAAAATTCCATAGCATTCACCAGTGAAAACAGAGATCTCTGGTGGAAATTTAATTTTCTGAATTATATGAAATTGTGAGTGGTAAATTCCTACACCAACATTTCCTCTATGTGAGTGTTTCGATGCGTCACAATAAATTTGATGATTGCTTTCCCATTTATAGTTTACTACTTGATTAAACATTGCATTTGCATTTACATTAGGATGCTCTTTTTCTATCTTAATATCAAAATGAACGTCAGGGGTAAAAGTTAAAGATTCATATGCTGAACTAAATAATGGAAGACAGGGAGATCGATGAGTGGGAGCTCGGATGGCAGTAAAAGTTCTGTAACTTTTTACTAAGCAAGGTAGAGATTTATGAGACCAATAGGATGACGAAGAAACAAGATCAGAGAGCGATTGCAATTTAGGGATCAGAGGATGATTAGAAAACTGTAAAATACGAAATAAAAATTTATCAGATAAATACTGACGCCTTAAATACAATGGAGGATCACAACATTCTACTTGCATCGCATTAATGGGACTAGATTTCATGGCGCCCAGTATAATCCTTAGGAGTTTAGCTTGAATATAATCCAATTTTTTTAGGGCTGTAGCATTAGCAGGTTCCAAAATAAATGTACCATAATCCAAAACACTCCTTATGAGAGCATTATGGATGAATGCAGCATTATGCTTTAATTGAAATGGATGGGATCCCCACCACACACCCGCAAGGCATCTTAGAATATTTAGAAGTCGTTCTGAATAGCTGAAACGTATTCACAATGTGGTTAACCAGATAATTTAGAATCGAGAATTATGCCTAAAAATTTGATTTTTGTCTTTATTGGGATACACTGATTATTGTAACAGATATTTAAAGGGGGTGGACCTCGAATTCTAGAAAATAGAACAACTGCACTCTTAGCCGCAGACAGTTCAAGACCGTTACAATCCATCCAAAATTTTAATTTTTCTAAAGAAGTGGTAATTAAAAAACACGCTTTTTGAACTGAATGATCAATAAAATACATTAATAAATATAACGCTAATGGATCTTTCCGTCAAAATATTAATAATAAAGTTGGAAAGTATGGGAGGAACATTCAAATCGCGAAGCTTTTTCCATAATATGTTAATATTGACATTGTCATACACAGAATTAATATCTAAGAAAACTGAAACTACCGACTGATTACTAGAGAATGCCAAACGTATATCTGAAACGAACAGATTGATTCCATCTAATGTACTTTTCCCCCTTCTAAACCTATACTGACTTTCAGCTAATAGATTTTTCAGCTAAATTTTCAGCTGACGTTATGAACTACTGTCATCGGAAGGTTTATTTGGGTTTTTTATCTGCCAATACCGTGTGATGTTTCCATGACGACGGAATATTCCCAGTTAACATTACTGAATTTATGAGATTAAGGTAATAGGTACAACATACATTCATCACTAATATTCGCTAAAAATGAATATGGAATTTCCTGGAGATGAATCTTTCGTATGAGACAGAACGGTTTTAAGTTCCGTAAATGTAAAAGGACTATCAAGAGCTGTAGAGTTTATATTTTTATTGGTGGAAAGTGGCCGCGGTATGGGATCCATATGAGATACGTAGGGTGGTGCTAAACGATCTAGAAACTCGCTAGCTGTAGTCTCTGACAAAAAATCTGATGTAAAAAAAGGAGAATCTGTATCTGCTTCTGCTTTATCAGATCTGTATCTGCTTTCCAAGATTCTCCTTTTTTTACCTTATCAGAGACTACAGCTAGCGAGTTTCGTATATCTTATATATTATCGTATTTTTATATTACGCCATACAAGGGAAGGATGAGTATGAGGCGAAATAGAAGAACAGAAACGTTTCCATCCTTCTGACTTCTTTTTCTTTAAAAGTTTCCGAGTGGAGGCTAGTAGGGCAGATAGATTGGTGAAGTTTGCTGAAGTCATATTACAATATAATCTTTCTGCCTGTTTCCTGGATTTAATAGCTGTAGTACATTCATGGTCCCATCAAGGTGGAGAAGGAATTTTACTATTATTATTATTGTTTTTAATTACCAGAAGTAATAGGAGGGAGAGATGATAATTTATTTTGTACACCAATTTGGAATTTATCCCAATTATTATTATTATTTGACTTATGTTTGTAAAAAGAATTTCTTTTTCGAGGATGTTTTTATGAATTGGTAATGAATGTTGGTAATGATAATAGGAAAATGGTCACTCCCATATGCAGATGAAAGGATAGACCATGATAGAGAGGAAGATAAATTGGAAGAACAAATAGAGAGATCTACAGCACTATTTCTTTCAGTGGGAGCAATAATATGAGTAGGTACTGGGTCATTTAAAACACACAGATTATGGGAATCAAGAAGGCCTAACAATTGCTCACCATGGTAATTAGAATAGGAGCTGCCCCAAGCTTGATGATGGCAACTGAAATCACCCATAATTAAAAAAGGTTTAGGAAGAATTGAAAATAACTCATTTAAATATGCAATAATTGAAGAGGAAGGACGAGGTATATAAAGGGAGACTAAACAAATGTCGCAGCATATAAATATTGTTTTTGTCAAAAAGAAGTAAAGAAATAGAAGAAAAATGAGTAGCTTTATTGATGAGTAAGGCAGCCCTACCATACCCATCTGGCCTATCATCTCGAATACAAGAGTATTCTGAATGAATTTGAAATTAAAATCCGGTTTAAGCCAAGTTTCAGTTAGTGCAATAACAAGGGGTTGTTGATATTTATGGATTAAATGAATTAAATCACTTTTTTTGCTAAGTACACTTCTGTAATTCCATTGGACTACTTGGTCCATTATGGAGTAGTACCTGACCATAAATGTGACTACTACTGTCTGAGAAGGTTTCCAGGTGGGAGAGCCATCAACTACAACTTTGTAGTTTAGCCGTCTTACTTTAAGTATATTGCCATAACCGATAGGAACAGAAATATTTTGTAATATTTCATCTGGACTCCAATCACTCGGAACACCTCGTACCAGACCCATACGTGTAATATTAAATGTTGGTATAAAAGCCTGTAATTTGTAATCATTTAAACTGTTATGATTAATGAATATATTAGCATCATGGTAAACTGAGAAAGATAATGCAATTTTATTTCGTCCATTGCGTTTTACACTTCCATTAATAATGTTTTTAAAATACTGTTTTTTGAGGAATTTACCAAATGTCACAGGGTGAAGTGTAGTACAGTCATTTGGAGACTTTTCTTGTCTTACTACATGAACTAAGTATGGGGCATGGTCTGTGGGTTCATACATTTTCCTTCCTACTGGTTTAGAAATATTATTAATTTCATTTGTTTCTGTAGATGTGGATGGATGAGGGGGATCTAAATTTACAGATTGTGGAGTGGAAATGACTTCCGTGAGAGGTTTTTGTATTTCAATGCCATCATTTATGTCATCTGTACAGTGGCAAACTGTAATTTTATCTGAAGAATTTTTTCTTCTCCGTTTATTACAATTTTTACAAAATCTTTGTAACCGACTGCGTTTTATTGATCGGTTTGAACAAGACGTATCGGTTTGCATACCCGATTCGCATGAAATTGTAACATAGTTAGAAGCCGGAGGGACGATCCCCTCGGGCCGGGGGGATCGTCCATAGAAATGAAAAAACGAAAATCTTACCAATAAAACAGCTAACTATATATACAAACTATAATAAACAAACTAAATAATAGATATTAAAGAACTAAATACAGTATCACAATCACTAAATAATGGAAAATAAGTATAAAATTTAAATCAAAAGAAAAAATGTGCCAGCCAAGTTTAATGTTTCTCGCCTTTTCAATTTAAAAGTTTAATCTGTAAAATAGTTTATAATAAAAAAACTCTTTTTTATCTGTCACTAAAGTCTATTATAAAATTATTCATTTTAAATACATAAAAAATAGAAACAGATAGAAGAAGCATAATACTGTTACAAAAGATAAACAAAATATTACATTTAAATTTGGAATCTGGCATTATTTTATGAATGTTCATTGTGTATATCATTTTCGCGCTAATCGGTACCAATATATTAAAACGGAGTGGGGTAATAAAAGAATCGCTGCATTACACAAATACAATTTTTGAAATTTCGTCCGCTTGATATATTTACAATACAAAGCGGGCGAAGAGTTTCAAATCGGTACAATTCTAAAAATTAATTCAATTCTTAAATCTTCTCTATTTGTGGCAGAAAAAGATCAAACCGTTCACGCAGTGTTCGCACATGCCAATGTGGTAAAGGAAAGAATTCGAAGAAGTCCTGTGAGATAACAAAAGATTCTATCTCGCGAGATTATCCCATGGAAAAAGTGCATGCTTCTATTGATGTCTGGCCTTAACGTTTAAAGGACTGTATTTTATTTAATGGAAGATAATGGAATGGTGCGTATGCCCCTGCAAATGGCTGGGCATACGCACAATACGCTGGCGGCTAACACAGTAAAATGCTGTTGAGTTACTATTCCCCATTACTAACAATTTCTTTCTCTTAAATAACTGTATTGCAAATGTAGGGCGAATAAACTTTATATAATTTTAATGTTTAAACTAACTCACATTATAGTAAGAAATGTAATAGATAAATAAAGATTATTCCCTGTAACAATATTTATGACAAGACTAGGTATGAGCAATTGTTGTTACCTATAGGCTAACAGCCTGACATGGAGCTTCTCATTAGTAACTAATCACATTAGGTTTTTTTAATGGATGACATAGAATAGTGCAATTGCCTGCTGTAACGGCATACGCTGGCGGGGCTGCAGTAAAGGATTTGCATAAAGTTAGGTCAGAACAGTCTACTCTGAGCGCTAACACCACACCGACAAACGGGAGGGGTGATAGTCTTATAACAAACGACTCCATTGCTAGCAGTATACCATGAAAAGTCGACCTCCACACGGACCCTTGAAAATAATAATAGTTCATTTATGAGGAAATCGTCACGATGGGCAATTGACCTGATTTTTTGTTCCTCCTATCATGACTCAGGCTCCAGGCAGTATATACCATTGTCGCAGACAAGTGCACCATTTAACCATCACGTATTTACAAAAAAACCCTAAAAATGTAACTTACATCCTCATTTTTACACTGTCACTGTCCCAAAAACTTTGATTCCCATTTATAATAGACAAACATACGTGCACATAATAGACAAATTATTAGAGTAATTACGTACCTAGTATAATGGGTATTAGATATATGTATGTACCTATGTCACGCAATAAATACGGTTAGCGAATAGGTACTCGTAAATAAACCTTAATATATGTTCCGTATATTATACCTACACAAGATGGATGGAAAGTTGTTAACTACCAGAGGAAATTTTTACAAAGTCCTTTGCATAGTCTTGATTGTCTCCATATTTTTTTCATTTGGTCCCGCCTGATTAGCTCTATGCGGACCCCACTAATGTAGTAGATCTACATTGGTGGGGTTATATTAGTTTATGATCCGGTTAACTACCGCAAAATATTTTAGTTAAAAATAACACAATAATGAAAGAATCGTGATCTAGGAATTCTTTGAATTTTTAGCTGAAATCAAATCTATTTTCGGGATTAAAAATTATTTTTAAAAAATCACGAAGTTATTAAATTGGTAAAATTTCCATTCCTTATGGGATTTTACATTTCCTGATGAACCACTCACTGATATAGGTATTTTATCAGTATGTTGTTCCTTGGAAAAACTACATATACCTAAGTAAGTATAACTACTGCCTAGTGAATCCTAAAAGTGAAATATGATATGACATCAACCGCTATCAATGACAATTATTTTTGTTTAGCTACTGGTAATGGACTTCTAATTGTTTTATTTTATAAATTGTTATCGCATATAAATATTGGAAAGTGGGTTTTATTATGGGCACGAACGGTAGAGAGCAATAAAGGACGCCGTATGTAGCTACAAATACACAAATAAAGGTTTATTATAGTGATAATGTTCTACTTAAATCTAAGTATTTATTTAGCATGAAAAATGGCATTTGTTTATAGTTGCTGCTTTTGGTTCTCTTTAAGGCTCGGTGGATTATTAATAGGAATATATTCAGTAGTAAGTTTCAACTTTATCTTAATAATCTATATTATAAAAAAAATAAATTGAAGTGTGTATTTGTAATTTCAAATGAACAGCTTTACACTAAATACATAATACGGTATTTACATTAAAAATATGTTTAAGTTATTTCTGTCTGTTTGCTCTTGCTAATCTCTAAAACGGCTGGACTGATTATCACTTCACTTACAAATAATTTATGTTATAAGGAGTGAACCTAAGTTACTCTTTATAACATTAGGAGAAGTAACTTAGGCTTACTCCTTATAACATTAGCTGTAGTTATTGTTTTAGATTATTTTTATTTTAAAATTAAAGTTAAATTCCACGCGGACAAATACATGGGTAACAGCTATTTTTATTATTAATCGACCGTAATATATTTTTCTAATTATGTTTATTTTAATAATGCATTTCTTAACACAAAGTTACAGGCTGTTATTGCATTGATTGCATTTTGTATGGGTTTGATACATTACGAACGAGTTGTAGATGAAATAAAGGAATTAGTAAATAATAATAACGTGAAACTTATATACACTAAGGACTACTTAGAAACATTAAAGTCCGGTAAGTTATTTTAGAAATTACTCGATATTTTTCTTTAGGCAATATAATATAAAATATTTATACCTACACAGAAAAAAGAAATACCTAAGTATGCTTCTTGTATTCTCTGTTCTGTGCTCTTACCTAATTTTTTTACAGACCCAGAAAAATACTTTACTCTTGGTATTGTTGTAACGTGTATCTACATTTTATCTTGTTTACTGTTCATGTATGGAGCATATACAGTAAGTATTATCTATTAACTACTATTAAGTAAAAAGTATTTAATGAAAACTAACTAGATATATATTGAAAGCGGGTATTTACAAGAAAATTGATTGTTCTGATGATACAAATTTTGCTTAGTTTGTAACTACGTAGGCCGGAATTTAGATACAATAGCAGTAGATCGTTGCGGAGTAAGACTGAAGAAGTCTGATTATCCGTTATAAAAATGTGCAGTCAATATATATAAAATATAAGATATAAATAAAAGATCTTATAATGAATTGTATAGGAAGAGTGACATAAACCTCATACTTTTTGTTAAATACAGTGCAATAACATATTGATGATTGGCTATATACTGCTGGAATTGACGCGATTGGTTATCTTGTCGGTTATTGTAGCCACTTGTCTCTTGGTACTAAAACAAAACACCATGGACATAGGACTTCTTATTGGAGCCAGTGTAGCTGGTGGATTTTTTCTTCGTAAGTACTACACTACATTATTCAATTTAACATAACATAATAAATACATATTTTATCAAATAAACCCTACTAATTAATAAGTCGGTATATTATTGGTATTGGTACAAACATTTAATATCTATTAAAGTTATTGTTACAATTTTTAAATGACCCAATAACTCCTTTGCGTTACCTAATGTTGTTTTCTACGTAAGAGTAGAGAAAGTTGTGTTTTATTTAGGAGATAAACATAAAATAAAACAATCAGTATTCTTATTCTTGAGACATGGGGCCCTTATGTAAAGCTGCTATTAACAATTCTCAATAGTAACGGAATTTTATGAAAACACAAACCTTGAGAATTTAAGATGCAGGCTGAGTTACACGGTTCGCGATTGCCACTGTAATTGCACCTTGCACCTAGCTGGAAATTGAATCCATTTTTAATAACTATCGTTGGGTACATACAGGGAGGGAATGTAGATAGTTGGGACTAATGGCTTCATTCCTAAGAATATAGCCGTCAGATCAACCTGCACGCGGTCCTGGATATCATCGTTGTTTAATTCTAATTAATTTGACTCAATAGGTTAAGTGACCCAATTTAAACCTCATCTTGTTATCTTCCTCAAGTAGGGCACTTGCCAGGACCCGTAAACTGAAATAAAAAATAAAATAAAAAATCTTACCGCCCCATGCAGTAACTCAGACCATTTCGGCCGCTGCGGTATAGTTCCATGGCAAAATCTAGATCTTAGTTTATTATATTATACCACAAATAACATAATACTACATAATTATACTGTAAATATTTTTAGTGGGCGAATTCTACCTGTGGGTGTGTGCGGTCAATTTGCCAATACTTATCAATGAGATGGAGCGAGACGAACAAGCGGAAACAATAGATAGACTACAACAACTTTTGGAAATTAACAAGCAACGCGCTATTGCGTATGGTTCATACAACTATCATTTTACAGTCGACTATGGAAATAACAGCGAGTTTACAGTACCAAGAAATAAAATTACTAACAAAAATAATATAAAACATTATGCTAGAGGTCCTGTGCCACTAGCAATTTCATATAGTACACATAAATAGATAATTAAATTGTAATAAACCAAAGGTACCAAATTATGTGTCTTTAATATTTTTTTTTGTTGACATAAAAGATAAAAGATTAACATGGTACATATTTAAAACTATTAATTATAGGTACATTAAGTAATATAGGTAGGTACAGCATAAGATTATGAAATAAATATTATATTAAACATGTATTAAAAATACAACCTGATAGAACCTTAGAGTTAAGTCTTCCTTTGCTAACAGTATTTCTAATATATACCTATTTCAATTTTTATGTTTACAAGTGGAATAAAGAATATATGTAAGTATTACCTGGCGGGTGACTCAAAACTCATCCTAGACCAATTTCCACCTTGAGGCTGGATTGTTGAAATATTGACATCCCTGTGTATATTAATAGAAATCCTACTCTTTATATTTTCATGTATAGATATAGCACTATTCATCATGTAAACATATCATATCTATTTTAAAAAACGAGGAAAAGATGAATGAAACGATGTTTGAGAAGATCAGGTGGTCCATAATTTTTTTTTTTCTCTTTATTTTGGCAACCAACAGTCGTTATAAAAACATATAAATATACAAATAAAAGTAATTTTTACGATAGATATTGAGTGCCGAAAATTTTTTACTTAAGTTTATTTTTAGTGAGCCTAGTGGACTAAAATAAAAACAAAACAATACAAATACAAAGAAAATGAATAAGAAAAAAGAAATAAGATTATAACATTATAATAATTATAATAACAAAAATAAAAATAAAAAGGGGTTACTTTAGTATTTCGAAAAGCTTCTTTCTGTATGTAACTAAGGTGCAACAAAACGGATCCAATTCAACAAAATTTGTGTTATACATATTGACGGAACGGGGTATATAGCAATTACTGGTGTAGTTCTTTTTAAACCATGGTGGTACCAACATGTTACTGGAGCGTCGAGAGAGGCGTGCAGGTCTAAATTTATGGATGACAGGAGAAGGGGAGAATCAATTTGACCATTCAACAATTTATATAAGAAAACCATATCAAACTGTTTACGACGATTTTCTAGACTCATAATCTTATAATCTAATAAAGACGACTCATAGTTTTTACCAACGTGACTCAAGCGATAATTTAGTTGTTTAATGAAATTCTTCTGCACACTTTCTATTCGATTGATGTGCACCTTGTAAAGCGGATTCCAGATGACGGAACTAAAATCCAAAATAGAACGAACTAATGAAAAATATATTTTATAGGGTAATACGTCTAGAAATGGCTTGGTGACCCTATTAATGAACCCGAGACTTCTGAATGCTCTTTGGACAATTGAGTCTATATGTAAATTAAATGTTAGTTTTTCGTCCATGATAATACCGAGATCTCGAATACTTTTCGTACGTCTTAGTCGCGTGTTTCCTATGGTATAGTGGAACAGAAGAGGTTTAGTTTTACGACTGTATGTTATAATGCAGCATTTGTCCACATTGAGAAATAGTTGATTGGTAGAACAATAAGATAATAATGAATTTATGTCAGCTTGAAGTTTAGAACAATCGGTCTCGGTCTTTATCATTTTGTATATTTTGGTGTCATCTGCGTATAACAAGTAGTTTGAGTTGTTGATTACGTCTCCAATATTATTGATGTACAATATGAACAAGATAGGCCCGATATGGGATCCTTGAGGGATGCCAGAAGGAATATTTTTGAATCTAGATTGAGATTTGAGAAACTGCCTGACTTCGGTTACTTATGTAAGAATCCACCCATCTAAGGAGACTGCCGTGTATACCAAGTCCCAAAAGCTTTTCTAATAAAAGAAAATGATTAATTTTATCGAAAGCCTTCGAAAAATCTGTATACACGACATCTACTTGGCAATTACTTTCCATAGCAGAAGCTAAAAAGTGTGTAAATGAAACCATATTAGTTTCGACGCTACGGGGTTTTATAAAACCGTGTTGATGTTCGGAAATATGATTATGTACCTTATTGACGAGTTGTGTAGTGACGATCTTTTCAAGTAATTTACCTAATACGCATAATTTTGAAATTGGTCTGTACTGCGAAATATGATCTTTCATATTATTTTTTGGTATGGGGGTGATTAAATTCTTTTTCCATACGTTGGGAAAAACACCGGTCGATATTGAGGTTTTAAAAATATATAAAATTGGTTTTAAAAGTTCCTTGGCACATTTATATATAAAAACAGGATGAATACCGTCTGAACCTGCTCCTTTATTAATGTTTACATTAAATAATTCTTTATAAACTAAACGTTCATCTAAATATACTGAGGACATACAAATTGGAGGGTCCGAGTTTTGTAATTGGGAGACATTTAAGATATCATTGTTTGTGTTATGAGGGATAAAAATGGAATGAAAATAATCATTGAAAGCCTCACAAACTTCTGTACCGTCTGATATTATATTACCATTATATATCATTTTATTGGGAACGTCACCGGACATTTGTTTCGATGCCAAAAGTGCTTAGGGTTGTCTTTAATGTTTTTTTCAGAAAACTTTATAAAATTAATACGACATACCTCTTCCATTTTTCGAAAACGTTTTCTCAACAACGAAAACGTGCTGTTTTATGTTCTAATCTGTATTTTATTACAATTAATTATAATCTCGTGGTTTCCAGACCAAGTGATAGTCAATCAAATATACAAAATCCGTTGCTACAATAGTTTCTAATAGGGAAAAACCATGTTACTATCATAGTTATCTTCTTCTCTCAGTGGAAATCAAAAATTTAAGCAATATTGTCATTTTATAAATAAAAGAAGAATTAACTTATTGTTTAGAGGTTGATTGATTAAGTTCGAAGAATCCAAATCTCGTTTATTGTACTTTTCAAAGAAATTCGATTATTATTTGCTTAAAATAATATCTAGCAACGTCAATTAAGTCACATTGTATGTAGGTATGTATACAAAGATAACCTTCACGATAACACTAAAGCATTGGCATAATAACTATCTAGCGTGTAGGTATAGATATTGCGACCAAAGTATGTACGAATGTACTTATTGTTTTCGTTATAATTTATTTAAATCGTGTCGGATGTGTTTATAAGGAGTTAGTAGCAAAAGGTATACCAAGCTGAAAGGCAGTGATATATTTCATCATAAAAACTTCAAACTATAAATTTTAAAAACGAAATGTTTTTAATAAACATCGTACTTACAACATATCGCGAAGTGAGATCAAATAATTGTAGTTTGAAATATTAAAAAATATTTTCGCATTACCGCTTTGTTTTAGTGAAAGTTGTTCAGATTTCCGAGTATTCTACCTAGCTTTTGGCATAATATACCCTTTAAGACTGTCGTGTATATATGTACCTTAGTACCTAGGTGTCTAAATTGACGTTGCAGCATTGCAGTTTCTCAGTCTCACCAAAACTTAATGAATAAAAATTTATGAACCTGCTGATATCCCTGAAGTAGATATTTATCCTTTAAAAGAAATATACACCTATATAACTTATTTGCTTAAACATAAATTTCGATTTGATAGTGTAGTCCTCTGCTGCGCGCACTTTTAAGATGAATGTTTGCGTAGGTAAATCCAACACCCCCGGCCGTTAGGATAGCGCTGGCCTCTGTGCGATAGATATCTCTTGCAATTATACCCTGTAACGAGTCCACTGCCTATATTAATAGGTTATATAGCAAACAAAGGAAATTTTTTGTTTGTATAATATATAAGAAAACTAGGAAGTGCTGGCGGGTATAACAAAATGATTCGAGATTCTGTCTGATGGGTGAGATACATGTTAGTAGCATACACAAAACAGCTATTATAACATCTTGTTATGAGGAATCGTAATATATTTGAGAAGAGGTGATGCCACAGAAGTCATAGTACCCCCGATAGTTCTCCAGTATTTCTTAAGTGGAGGGGCTGTAAGCTCTTTAAATTTTAAGACACACCTATAATTACAAGTGTTTGCACCGTGTGTAGAATCGAATCAGATAGTACAGCGGTGTGCTAAACATTGTTAATGTGTAAACCACAAAGAACCTGTATGCCTAATATTGTCTGAAATTTAAGGCACTATTTTACATTAGTATGTCTTATGTAAAAAGAGCTATACTTGATACTAGATAACTACTACTGTACTAGATAACATTCATTTTACTCGCCTTGATAATTTGTTGGTTGGGGTCGGCATAGAAAACTTCTTTCACACGCTTCATGAAAAGAATAGCCATGTAGTCAGCTCTCGTTTGCCAATTTAAGCGTGTATTGTAAATCGTACCTGCTACTAAATCGTTAGCTCTACTACTCGATATGCACAATATTGCAAGAATACTCAATAAAAAATATACACTCCTCATTGTTATGTATGTAAAGATGAAATGTCAAATATATCAACTTAATGAGAATTACGAGCTCTGGCGAGCAGAGCCGTTATCGGTCTGATTCTATTTGTACATGCATAAAATAAACATGGGTCATTTGTGTGTGACATATATCGTTTTCAATATACATATACAAACTCTAATGTAAACAAATAAACTTCTATTTATAAGTTAAGTTGTATTCTTATGGTTTATCGAGTAACATTTTAAAATCAAAACAAAATATGTAAATATTTTTTAATCCTACAGTGAAATTTAAATATAATACTTATTAATTGTAATCTGTGTTTTAAAATCCCGCATCTAATCTGGCTATTTTTTTGTAAGCTTAATCAGAAGGCATGGATGAATCTAATGTAAAAGAAAGTACATTTTAACAGAAATAAATTTAATTATATATTTTCGATATGAACTAGTTAAAAACATATTTAATTGACTATAATTATAACAATCGGTTGGTATTAAAACAAGTTTTTTTTTTTATATTTCACATAAATATTTGTTTAGACTATAAATGAGATCTCAATTAGACTTGTAGTTTTATACATCTGTATGAAAAATAAAATAAAATATGGTAACAGTGTACAAACACAATACCTGCAATTTGTTTGAATCTTTAGAGGTACCAAACATTCTGTAATTTATTATAGTTTAAGAAATATTTCAAATAGTACTATAATTATATTGCAATTAATTACTTGTGCTTCTGTTTTATGTATATGACCTAGTTCCCTGAATGTAAATGTAATTATATCATAAATAGTTCATACCGACTATATTAAAAGTATGTTTTCCCAATTAGTAAACATTCTAACCATCACAATATTTAAATATACCTATTAAAAGTCATGTCAACCATCTTATTATAACTTCAATTAAACATTATATATACCAACCATAAAACCATCTCTCTAGACACGTGGCAAACAAATATATTTGTAGATAGGTTTACGATAGCGCACACATAGCTACAAGATTCGTATGGCACTTGTATAGTAGGACTTGTCACAACACCTTTTAATTTTAAATATTTTATACATTTGATATTAAACAAATATTAGTTAAGTACCTCTAGATTATAATTTTGTTCAACATACCTGTTTCCATTATAAAAATTTTGAAATAAAAAAAGAAAATAACAATGTAAATAGTATTAAAAAATAAATACTGCTAAAATTCATATATATATATATATATATATATATATTTAATTATTTAATAGACATATTAAATATATTTATATTGCGTACCATTGTCTTTTTTTACTTACAGTATTTAACTGTGCTATACAGTTTGCTTAAGAAAGTCATGTAACAGTAAAGCTCCCATATAATATAGATATTTTTTATAACTAGACTTTTTTTAAACAAGTTATAATTATGGATAATACTGAACTTCATCAAGTAGTTTACTTATTTTTTGTTACTGGTCAAATATGCATACACACAGTACGCCTATTTGAGACATCTTTAATATCTGATGACTACTTGAGAGACCAATTATTATTATTTATACAGAGCTGACTTGCATGGCAGTAAATCGTGAGGTAGTCTCTAATTCCAATGAATCTGTAGTAATTTGTGATCGAGAGTCAGAAGTCTCTGTACTATTAGGTATAGAGCTAATAGACATTTTATCTTCTTTTAGACTGCCATTAATATCAGCAGTACCTTCTACACTACCAGTTTTTTGTTGGCCATCTATCGTATCACCACCACCGCCCCCGCTAAGTGAATTCCATATTCCCTTAGTCGAATCCTTTACAGTAACTTTCTTCTCGCTTACATTACTCTTCTCTTTATTTGCATCTTTGGTTTTTTTTCCAAGTACAGGAAAGGAACTCAGTTTTGGTTTGGATGTACGGACTCCAGTACCACGTTGAATCTGCGTAGAGTCCGTCTCACCTTCTTCAGTGATGGATGAAAGCATGTCCGCTGACTCAGTGGGCACCACCTGCCCAGCTTGTATTGGAATATCATCTAGAAACAAATGATTATAAATTGAAGTAAACAGGTTTTTATTGCACTTACTAGGGACATCGAACATAAAAGTAGTATTGGCAGTTGCGTAAACATTTTAATATGACTTGTAAGTGTGGAATAAAAATATTAAGTGATACATTAACGATAATAAGTATATAATGTACTTATTATCGTTAATGTATAAATATAATGTGTAAAGGAATTCAAATTTTGAAACTACACATAAAATACAAGCCGTTTTATTGTGTTATTGCAACAATAACTAAAAATATAATTAAGTGAGTCAAGTAATAATAAATTATACAGTTACGATTTGATTGAACAATAATTATATTCGGATCCTAATATTATGATAATTTCAATCCTAAATGGATCGTACCTGAGATTAAAAATATAAATAAATGTGAGAATATGGGATAAAAGTGAGAAAGTTGGTAATTTCAATTACATGAATTTATTTTTCATTTTTTCCTTTCAAAAATAGGTTATGCTTTCAATCTGTAAGTTAAAACACGTTCATTTAACTACCACTACAGGAAATAAATGGGATAATATATTTTACTCATATTAAAGATTAAATTATAGATATTATACTTATAAAACGCCAAAATAATTATTTATTGTAGTAATATTGTTTACTTTACAATTAGTTGTAAGTAAATCTAAAGCTTAACTTTAAATTATATGCTTTTATTTATAAATGGCATTAATTTAGTTCTATGTGTTTGTAATTAATAAATATTTAAAATATTCATTTAGACATTATTAGCAATTTAGGATGTATGGCATACGGTTTAGTATAAACCATCATAATGCACATAAATTTATTTTTTATTAATGAGTAATACTATTAGTAATATATACTATTGAATTGTGGTAAGTGTAACAGCATATAATAAATACCTACTGTGTTTATTTTGCTATTGTTATTTCTTTTTTTTTATACCGATCATGTGTGCCATTCCAGGCGATTAATATGCCTCCTATCCTGTAATTTCACTGCTTTATCAGATTCTTCAATCTTACCATAGCTTCTAAAGCAATCTGCTTGGCAATTCAAATAGGTAGACAGGGACACCTACACAGACTTTATAAAGTGTCCCCTGTTTATATTTCACTATATAGATGGAGATTGACCTTCTAAAGTTACCAAGAACCAATATTGGATAGACAGGAAAGATACAGTTTCAATAGTAAAGGCATGCATTTTAATATTAATTGCACTAATATCCTATATATTAATAAGGTTTGCCTATTTACAAATATAAACCTATTTCAGCTACTTTAACTAAAGTGCATTTGTGGCTTGGCGTGTACTAGTGACGTTCACGGATTATAGTATATTTTAAATAAATTCCCCACCTCACTATATGAAATAAAGGCGCATCTAAATAGAAGGTTGGTTGTTCTAATGTAGGAATATGATAGAATGTTTATCATTTACAAAATTTTCATTCTCACATTCAGACAGTTCAGATATAGAATCATTTATAATTGAGTTATCACTTTGTATTCTTTTCATTGACAGTCTCCAATACTCCCCATTTAAAATTTTAACTGTTTCATTAGAAAACTGGTATGAATCCGCAGTTAACGAATTATTGTTATTGTATGAAAAAAAGTTCTTAATCCAAAACATTTGTTTATTATTGCGTGTCGAGCAATCATTTGGTAGCATGCAAAAAGTATGATCATCATCTGTTTAAAAATCATAAAAATATTAATATATTTACATCAGTTGAATAACTAACATAATGCATTTAATTCACTACATAAATATAGCTCACCTGGTAATTTTTTAGTACGGAATGATGCATTAGTAATCATAGATTTGGACATTGTGACAGTAGTAGTAGCTGGAGATAATGCTACACTAATACCCATAGGACCATCACTTGGTTGACCTGGAAGGCACAAAAAAAATATTTAGAAACAAACATATTGTTAAAATAATACTATGATATATGAAAAGATGAATAAAAGCGTTGTCATTCGAATTTAAGATAAAATTAAAGTAGTTCATGAGGTTTATCCCCAAGGAGAGATTTTTTTATCATACTGGATATTTTGATTATATTATGTAAAAGGAAACCCGCTAGCAAATTTCATGTTCCAGAATCCATAAGGTTCAGCTGAGTGCTAGAGCAATGCAATTAAGAGAGGTCTCTAATGTACTTGTCTTACATAACCATATAACTTAGAACTTGAAACTTGTATATATCAATTTACTCCAACAAATAATTAAATAGGTAAAACTATTAATCAACATTTTTTAAATAATAAAACAAAAATAAATTTGACATTTATTAAAAAAATATTTATGGTTAAGACTTGGTCAACTTTTAATTATTATGGTTTCATATAAGGTAATGATTATATTATGAGTGTAAATATTTTACCTGATTCATTTTTCAATGAATTTATTACAGCACTAGTGACTAACATTACGTCAGGATATAGTTCATATTGGGCTCTTTGATCTATGTCCTTAACAGCTTGTAGAGCCAGTGTATAGAATTCATTGAACATAGCAAAATATGCACCTTCTATCATTTCTAACATAAAATTTGAAGACATGGGTATTCTTGGTGTTGGTTTTTTAGCATTTGATGAACCACCAATTTTTCTATGGAAACCTTGAGTAACAATTCTGAAAACAAAGTACAGATGAGATTTTATAATTTTATAAAATAAATGACATAATAGTATAAAATGAAACATAATTAACTTTAAATGGGAAAATATTAATAAACATTTTATTAATAATACTATTTATAAAATATTTTTTAATGTCTTCACAAGTACTAATATAATTTTCTATGTTACATAGATTATATTTTTATTAATATATATTTTAAAGTTATAACAATAGTAATACCTTGAAGTTGCTATACAAAAATGTCTGAGGGCAAGTTTAGGTAATAAACTTAATTGACGATTATAAATGAAAAATAGTGCAGTCATAACTTTCAATCGATTCTGGGCATTAATTACTTCCACTTGTGATAATGGGCCCCAGCTAACAAGTTTTGTATTACACTCCTCCCACCTTCTCAAAGCATTTTCTGTCAAGAACTGAGCTCCCAATGATAGTGGCTGTAATTAGTAAACATTATGTATATCAATGTTGATTAATTAATTACTAAGAAGGATTATTCAACTACTACAAAATAGGGTGCATGTCTAGAAAGTGAATAATGTACCAAATACATATTATTATTAATACCCACAACAATATTATTAGCAGTGAAGTAGAAAAATAAGCAAAATGATAAACCATATACCTCATGGTAGATTGAAGGTTGTGCCAATGATGGTAGTCTAAATGAGACAACTCTTGGTTTTCCTGTTTCATCCACCACTTCAAAATTGTACAAACCTAGAAAGAATTCATTTTGTAATTTCTGTTGATATTTCCTTTGCATTATAGGATTTTTCATAAGCAAATTTTAATCCTTATCCTTACTGATATTATAAATGCAAAAGTAACTCTGTCTGTCTCACTTTCACGCCAAAACTAATAAACCGATTTAAATTAAATTTGGTTCACAGATAGTCTAGACCCTGAGAAAGGACATAGGCTACTTTTGAATACGAAAATAGGGTTGTGAGGGGTTGAAATTGGGGATGAAAGATTGTATGGAAGAATCGTCATTTTTGAAGCTAGAAGCTTGAAACTTATTTTTGAGACTGCTAGTAAAATATAAATAAATATGACACACAAAATTTAAAAAAAAATTACCCTTAATAAATTAGGGGTTAAATAAATTGGGGGATAATTATTTTTTTTGTAAATTCGTCATTTTTGAAGCTAGAAGCTTGAAACTTATTTTTAAGGCTATAGATTAAATATAAATAATTATGACATTCTAAGTTTGTAAAAAATTTACCATTAGGGGTGTAAAATAAAATAGGAGGTCAAAGTTTTTATGTAAATTCGTCATTTTTGAAGCTAGAAACTGATGTTTTAGGCTGTTAATTAAATATAAATAAATAGGCCATCAAAGTTTGTAAAAAAGTTACCCTTTAGGGGGTAAAATAAAATAGGGAATGAAAGTTTTCATGTAAATTCGTCATTTTTGAAGCCAGAAGCTTGAAACTTATTTTTGAGGCTGTTGATTAAATATAAATGAATATGACATTAAAAGTTTGTAAAAATTACCCTTAAGGGGTTAAAATAATATAGGGGATGAAAGTTTTTATGTAAATTCGTCATTATTGAAGTTAGAAAGATGAAACCTTTTTATTGGCTTTTTGAGTTAGTTTATTAAATAGCTTACTAATATTATAACTGTGAAAGTAACTCTGTCTGTCTGTCAGTCTCACTTACACACTAAAACTACTTAACAGATTTAAGTGAAATTTGGTACACAATTAGTCTAGATCTTGAGAAAGAGTTATAAAGGGTTGAAAGAGTAATGTATGGAAGTGTCGTCATTTTTGAAGCAAAAAGGCTGAAACTTTTCAATATTTGGTCAAGGTCACTAATTTACACAGATCAAGTCGCGGGTACAGCTAGTACCAATATAAGATATAAATAGAATGTATTAAAATTCAGACATACCAATAAGAAGTGTTTCTATACAACGGTAATTTGTCTTATTTGTCTGTGCAACAGAACTCAAATATTTGTATACTAAAGTTGGAACAAACTGCAATGTAAATCGTTGTAGCTCCACCTCCTTTGATCTATAGAAACTAAATAATTGTGTACAGACATTTTCCAACACCTGCAAAGAAAAATATAACAATTCGTTTATTTCTAGTACCTAGAGAATCGATAAAAATAATATTGTTAAATTGTCTGTCAGTAGATGGTAAGGACCTGATCCATCTTTGCATCATCTGTTTGGTTTGTTGAATCAGTATCACTGTCATCTTCACTGTAGAAAAGATTGAATAAAGCTGTTGCTATTTCGTGGTTGTGTTCATGTTCTGCTGCAAAACTCTTTAATTCGTTTTCTTGAAGTGTTGCATATTCCGATAGCCATTCATTAATTAAATGCTTCCACTCCGACATATTGTAGTTCTGGAATCGTCACTTTGTTCTGTTTATATTAATTTTATTTGCAAATATTACTAAGATATGATATTAGGGTCAAGATTATAGGATTATGACATCAGCACAAAATTAATTGATTAATAAATATTTAACATAAAATCACGTATTCGGTTGATATCAAATTATAAATTTCTATTAGTACTTAAAAAACAAATGTGTGAGTAAATGTCAATATTTATATTTGGTATATTACTATAATATAACAGGTGTATGATAGTTTAGTGGTGATTATTGATTTTTATATAAAAACAAAATTTTTTATATAGGTACTGTAACTATAAGTAATGTTTTTGGTTCGGTAGTGATTTTTTTTATGTTTAGACATATATGGATACACATATTTTAGCCATTTCTTGTAATTTCATTTCGAGTTAATGCGACTACAGACATAGCTAATATTTTGTGTATTATTTACAATAGAAAAAATAGGTATAATGTATATAATGCAATTAAACGGAGACTATTTCATAAACTGTTACATAATTGGCCGCCAGGATTGTATTATTACAGTTATGTAATCTAGTTCTTATAATAAAATATCTGTGAACTGGATATGGATATTGTAACTATAGTCTGTAGATATTGTAACTCACTCTTGTTGCTGTCTGATGTGTCCAAAGAGAAATAGAGTATAGGATGTCATATCATTTGTCAGTGCCACTGCCACGTATCCGCGATCATGAATATCCAACATGATTGTCAAAGTCATTACAATTTAAAAAATTGTGATCTGATATTGTTGTCATTATTTACGAAATAATACAACCGGATTAATATTATATATTACAAATTTATTGTTTTTCTTATTTTCCAATGGGTTCTTCCCATAGTACTGATGTGCCGGGGGGTGGCTCAGAAGGATACCATATTTTACGGGTTTGTCTGTCTGTTACTTATTATTTTTCTTCCATCACTGTTACAATGGCCTTAAAAGACACATCATTAATTTGTTGTAATAGGTACAAGACGGTTCTCCAGGACATCAGGCAAGACTAGAAGCATTTTTCGATTTTATTGTCGCCATAGATAACACGAGATTGGACCAAGACAATGATACTCTGAAAGAGTTGTTAAAAAAGAATGTCGGTAATCCCATAAAAATGCTTATATATAGCAGTAAAACTCAGTCTGTTCGAGAATTGATGATTACTCCAAGTGCAGACTGGGGTGGTCAAGGATTGCTTGGTGTCAGCATACGATTTTGTTCTTTTGAGGGGGCCAATGAGAATGTGTGGCATGTATTGGTAAGTTTTATCTATAATTGCACAGTTAATATAGACATCTCATCTCCAGCCAGTAAAAGTAGGGTGACAGTTGCAATCGTGATTTTTATTCCTGGCATAGTAGAATTCCAAATATAACTTATTGTTCCAAATAGTAATTATATAAAGAGTTAGTTTAGTTTCAATAACTCATATTTATAATAACACCAAGTCCACTTTACTAAGTTATTATACATTTTACTGTAATATGTGTTTAATACTTTTTAGGAAGTGCATCCTTCATCTCCAGCTGAGATGGCAGGTCTCCGTCCATTTTCTGATTATATTATTGGAGCTGATTCCATTATGCATGAGAGTGAAGATTTCTTCACTCTTATAGAAGCACATGAGGGTAGAGCTCTCAAATTGTATGTTTATAATGTCAACGATGATGCATGCAAAGAGGTCCAGATAACACCTAATCATAATTGGGGAGGAGAAGGTAGTTTAGGTTGTGGTATTGGCTATGGTTATCTACATAGAATACCTATCAGACATGTATCTCCGGCAGAAATACAGAATATGACTGTGATGGTTTGTATAATACTTATTAAAATTGTATATATGATTGTTAGTTGTTGTTTACTATCTCTTGATATTTTTGATCATGAAATTTAACACTATTTGGCATGTTTAAAGGTCTTTCTATTAGATTCACTGTGTGGGAGCTGGATCCATTGTGTGGCAGAGAGAGAACTCTGCACTCCAAAAAAAGCAATTCCTGGGACTTGTTATCTAGGTGTAGGTTTAAGGAGTCCCTTGCTGATGTACATTAACACTACCTTCATCACTTGTGTTTCTCCTCCTGTTCAGGCAAATCAAGTAGAAGCCTGTTAGAACATGGCTAGATACACCTACTAGAATAGAACTTATTGCAGTTCAAGATAGGCCAAGATCTTTTAGAAGATTGTAGAGTGTTTTCGTTGGTATATGTCTCTCTCCCACTTAGATAACATATAAATTAACTGAATTAAAATGTTTAATTTGTTAAAAAAACATAATAAAAAAGGAGGTTCTTAAACTCATATGGTATTTAATATTTTTGACAATCATTAATTATCACAATATATGTTGAAGATTCCTTTGGATTAATCTCATTGTCACTAGCAGACCCTACAATTTCATCCCCATCCATCAGCTACCTGCCAAAAAAAGTGCCGTCAAAATCGATCCAGCCATTTTAGAGATTTGGCAGAACAAACAGACAGACAGACAGAAAATTGCAAAATATGTTATTTTGGTGTATGTACCATATTTATATTCATATGCATATAGTAAAAAATGGCTATTTCAATATTACAGACAGACACCCCAATTTTATTTATATGTATAGATTATAGTCACATTTTTACTACCATAAAAATGACTGTTGAATGCATAGAGGGAGCAATGGGTTAGATACAGAATAATGTCATCTATGTAATTTATTTCAATCTTTCAATTTTGATGATAGGTTATCCAATCCTGTCTTTATGCATTAATTAGATTATTATTATTACTTATGTATTCTAAATGTTTCAGACCCCATCATCACCAAACCAAAACATACAGCATAATGTGATATCTGCTGTTCAAAACTTAAATATAAATGAGGAAAAGATTCCTTTGGTGGACACTTCTCAAGTGTCAAATATACAAATTGAACAGAACACTAATGTTCCTCCAACATTTTTGTCTGGTGTTCCAATGGTGACTCCAGCTTCCTATAATACAGGGGTTCCACAACAATTTACACAAGAGCAAGTTATCACTCAACCAGTACCTCTGCAACAACAAATTCCTCAACCACAATCAGTTGCAGCTCATATTTCTACCTATTCTAGTAGTAAGTATTATAATTGACTAATTATAATTTTTTAAATACATATATTATTGAATAAAGTGGAATGCACCCACACAAATCACACACTCCATATAATGAAGTTCTATCATGATGTTATAACACAGTACCTTATGCATGTTTGTTTTTCAGATTTGGCGGATGCTACATTGACTAACTTAGGAAGTATACCATCTGTATCGAATATGCAACCACCAGCTCCACTACCAAGTTTGCCAGGCATTCCAATGAATCAACCTCAGCCTTATATACCAATGATGCCTAATTATAATCAGTCACCCATCGGAATCCCACAGTCAACTGCTTATGCTCAAAATGTACCAAATTTAGTTCCAACATTCAATATGAGTAATTTTCCACCTCCGATACAACCACCACCAATATCTAGCGGGATTCCTGTGGTGACTCCCGTGTCTTTACCAGGCATGCCGCCATTAACAGTTAGCGCTACACTGCCTGTATCTACTATGAAAGAAATACACCAGCAACATTCACTACAACAACATGATTTATTATCGTGAAATAATAAATACTCTATATCATTGGCCTTTTCATAAAACTAAAACAGATACTAATTGCTATTTAATTTTATATCTTTATTTTCTGACAATGTACATCTTATAAAAACTACAATTACTGTATTTTATGTGCAATATGTTATAATTCTATCAACTGACTTGAAATCAGTTAATTTAGTGGAAACACATTAAATAAGTTATTATTATATTCCAATAATATGGGTGTATAATTTTTTATTTCTTTATCATTATTCCATACCAATTATATCATTTAAGTATATGTTTAACTTACAAAGCAAATAAAAGATAAATATTAAATAATTTGTTTTATTTCATATACCTACTATAGTAATGTCATTGTACATACTTAATAATAGTTGTAAACAAAACTCAACCTATGATATTATCGGAAATGTGCTCTAGTTTGAACGTGGACAATTGATTTTCTTCGGTGGATTTTTCGGAGTCTAAAGCTGGGTTGTGATGACCACCTGTTAGAGTTATCGCGTCACTGTAGAATACTCCGCCTGCCATTTCTGAAAGCCTTCGCCGGCGTCTAGTATCTTTGTTATCGGTCAAATTAGGCGGGCGAACACTTGAACTGCGCCTGCTGCCCGAGCGCAGAAGCGATGTCACACGTAACATTTTCTAAAAAATATTTAGTTTAAGTGTATTGCACTTGTCTAAATTGAATTAATAATATGGAGAACTAGTGGCCGATTGTAGGTAGCAATGTACCAGATAATGTGCATGTGATGTTCCTGATAAAACTGGTTTACGTTATAAATGTAAATTATACATTTTTAAAAGAAATTAAAACAATTTTTTCTTTAAGTAGCTACCTAAACAATATCAGGATGATTAAACTAATTTTCATTGTATTACTACCAGGTTGAATTACTACTACCTACTTGAGTAGATATGTATAATACAAAAACTCATGTTGTCACATGCATTATTAACGGTGCAAGTGAGATTACATGGTAATTCGATTTTCAAATATATTTTAATCCTCGACTCGGGTGTGATTGTTTATTTAAGATACTTTTAGCAAATATACATGTACTTAAATTTGCTAAATGTATATTACAGGAACAACTGAACCTGCACTAACGGTTTACGCTGGCGGGGCACCAGTGGGGGTTGATAAAATGAACATGAGGTTAGGTCAATAAGCCCATTGTGACAAATTCACCAATAATTTAATAATAATCCTTCTTCCACTAATTGAACCTCTTTGGAACATGAAGATACCCAATACTTCTCAGTGTTTCTCACCTTCAAACTGACGGGCAATGACGTTAGCAATTTTATTACAGGTGGTGATATCATATCTACAGGAACCAAGGAGGGATTCGTTACGCCTGTCATTATCGATACAATCAATCCCGCCAATAATGTAGTTGCATAACCCAGCCCCGAATACCAGAGGTACGATATACGGAACAACCAAAATACCGCGTCGTCTTCGGGTTTTCTGTAAAAAGTATCAATTTTTAGTAAGTCATTCCTAGTAATTTGAGGAGCATAAAATATTTCTGTTTTATAATAACAAAAATTAATAAGGTGAGGCTGAAGTACCCACGCATTTTTTCTAATTGTCTTCTCCTTTTATACCTATTTTTCTTAGGTTGTTGTTATATAACAAGTAATAGTTATTTACGTCATAAAGTATAAATATGAATAAAAGAATATTAACCCCATAAATTTATAAAAGAAGTAAATCTTAAGTGTTATATAGATATTAATGCTTGCGTAACACTATAATTAAAAATCTTTCTATAATTACGAAATTGTGGCGTTAAGTAACAATAATAGCTAACACTGGACAAATAACACAGCACCCTCTAGTCTAAAGCTAGCTGAGCTTATTTACTAGACACCTGATATAAATACTTAAATACATTTTTTTGTAAATACATACACAAAAATCATCGAAAACACCGAGGCAAATACAATTCGTTATAACATTGGTTACGTGTAAGGAATTGAACCCGCGAACTTCGGAACACAAGCGCTGAACTAAATCACTAGATCGCCTATAAATAGTTAAGTCGTAGATACTTTACGTGGTATAATAATCTGTATGATTGTGTGAACAACATTCGGTTGCAAACGGGAGACGCGAAGGCGGTACTTGTGCCAGTTGAGCTCCACCTCCGGCTATCATCACTAGCAGTAGGCCCAATACACCACCAGTAATAGCACCCTAGGTGAGAGAATTGCAACAATTACAATTAAGTTTTATGTATCAATAAGTTAATTGTATATCAAGATTCATAAATTGGATTGGTAGAGTTAAAGCCTGGTAGTTTACTAGCCAATCTTATACCCAGCAGGGCGTGAGTTCACATTTGACCAGAAAAATATTCGTTGAGAGTCGATTTATATTTCTGACTGACTCTTTGGCGATGGAAATACCGATAACAAAACGAGTGATGGTGTTAGGCCCACCTCCTGCCCTTTAGACATCCATGGTACAATGAAATGTGGCCATGTCAAGTGTTGCGTTTTACCATGACGTCGACAATTGATAATGCTTCTGACTACTCCATCCGGAATAAATGTCGTAACGGCATGTCTATGTCATATCATTAAAAAGAGTACTATTATGTATAGAAATAAATACTATACAATACTAAACATATTATATTATCAACCAATGTTTTCTTAAGTCTGCAATCCGCACACACACGAGTAGGTACGTTGTATAAAAAATATCGTGCGTGAAACGAACCTTCGACCATCGGAAGTTATATAAGGTGCGATAAACCACTGAACCACAGAGTCTATATTGTATTTATGTTAGGATTGTCTCTATATAACCGCTTGTTTCTAATAAATAAAATAAAAATTGAACAAAGAGAGAATCGACATGAAGTCTGTTAAATGCTAGTTTTATCCTTTTAAAATAAGAACTAATCTATTTAAAAATAAGAACTAAACAATATTTTACTTAGTTCTATATTTATATAGAAGATTACTATATAGATATCGGACTAAATTCTATTTTCAATGTTATTTTACCTTCGAATTAGCCCAAGGAAACAACATTCCAAGAGTGAAAAGACCGAGCGAGACACCTCCCGTCATGCCGTTGAATGAAACTGCCAACTGCAGTAAGGGTCCGAGTCGCTCCACAGCAAATACGAGCGCGAAGGATATTAATCCACTCGCCACACAAATCCAACGGGCTACCTATAAATAAAGAAATAGATATCTGATCAAAATGCAAGTATTTCAAGACCAGACCACGGGTAAGTACCTACTAATGCAAGTGCCTATAATTTATGACTTCATCCTGATCAAATTTACTAACAGCGTCTGTCTCGGTACCTACACCTTGTCTATTACTGCCGCTAAGCACAATGTTATACAATCTGTACCTATTTTGGTTGCAATTATGAAAAATGTCACGTCGGTTCCACTAACTCAAGTAATCGCTTCATGTGCCTACAGATCACCCCAATTGAATTGCTAAATAAATAAATGATATAAAATAATAATCGTAGATAAACGGCTTAGAAAAGTTATTAATAGCATTAATGTGAAGGGTTGAAAACGACATCTAACTTAAATGACAATTTTATTTGGTATAGGTATGTCTACAAAGAAGTATAACAAGAACACAGGAAACAATGTAAAATCATTGACACAATTTTCCGAGTTTATCGTGCCAGTACTAACAATAAATTCATAAATTTTCTTAGTGATTTTATGTTGTAAATCGAAAAGATTAGAATGTTATACCCAGGTTTATTTAATTTGGTATCAATAGTCTAATTTGCTTAGAAATATATTGCATATTTTTAGGTATATTAGATTATTGGTACCAACATATGAATATGAAAATAGTTCGAATACGATTATGCAACTTACCAATGCTCCTTTATTTTCCTGTAGTGTAATACCAAAAAGTCCTATAATAAAATCTTGACACGCTACAGCCGCCAGAGAATTTAAAGCTGATGCTACAGTTCTGCAGAAAAAAAGTTTCTAGTCAATTTTTAATATTTCTAAACTTGTAGGAGAACAACCGCTAAAAACTAGCATGCAGGCAACTTTGCAACAACTAACAACCATACTTAAAAAAACAATTAGAATTATCTCTATATCCAAACATATGTGTGGATATAGAGATATATAATACATAAGAACTAGGGTTGGGACTTATTACTTAACCATAATTTAAACTTATAATAATAATAATTTTATATATAAAACTTAAATAAGCTGTTTTTACTACTATACTTACCAATATCAATTAACAAATGTAAATATTAATAATATATGTTTAAGGATGTACCTATGATCTTTAGATGTTTGTCATTTAATAATAAAAGCAGATATTATGGTAAATTATGGCTTATATACGTTATAACATACAGGATACTTCTATTTCAATTCACGCGGTTAATATTGATTTAAGTATTGCAGGTTTCGTCCGCATAAATTGGAAGTTATTCCTGTTCTGTTTCCAACAGGAGTATCACTATTACATATTTCTATCGGGAAAAGCCCTGTTGTTTGCTGGGTTTGCAGACCGTTGGGACGTCTCAGATCACTGCTGTTGGCAGTTTCAGTCACTAACTAATGCGGCGTCAGAACCGACGCCGGGTTAGCTAGTGAATATTTGATTTTGTATTTTACAACTAACTGCCTAATAATAGGAATAACTAAACAGTACTTATTCCTAATACGTTTTAGGTTGAACTAATCTGAATCTGAATTTAGAAATTAATTAAAATATTAATATACATACCCAAGGCTGGCAGCGAAAATACCCGCGACAAAAAATCCTGGTAAACCTCTGGCTTTACCAAGTTCTCGTATAACGAACAGTGGGAGTAGTTGATCAGATGCATTTATTAATCCCATCTGCAAAAAATAAATATTGCTGTCACTCGAGAACAATGGTAGCGAAATCTAATTCTAAGTTGAGCAAAGCTTGTTATGGTTACTAGAAAAATTATAGGAAACATCCAGACCATCAATTAAATATGAATAAAGTTAAGTATTAGGTATATATCTCAACCCAATACTTATGAAAAAAGGAAATATTTAACAATAGCTATACCCGCGACTTCGTCCGCGTAAAATAGTGACCTTGACAAAATAATGAAAACAATATTTAATGACCTAACCCAATAACAGTCAAATAAAAAAGTTTCACCGTTCAATAATGACGAATTTACATAAAACTTTCTTCCCCTATTTCGTTTTACCCCCTTAAGGGTATTTTTTTACAAACTTTGAATGTCATATTTATTTATATTTAATCAACAGCCTCAAAAATAAGTTTCAAGCCTCTGGCTTCTAAAATGACGAATTTACATAAAAATTTTTTTGAGACTGCTAATAATTTATTTATATTTCATTAGCAGTCTCAAAAATAAATTTCAAGCTTCTAGCTTCAAAAATGACGATTATTCCATACAATCTTTCATCCCCAATTTCAACCCCCTACAACCCTATTTTCGCATTAAAAAGTAGCGTATGTCCTTTCTCAGGGTCTAAACTATCTATAAACCAAATTTCATTTAAATCGGTTCAGTAGTTTTGGCGTGAAAGCGAGACAGACAGACAGACAGACAGAGTTACTTTCGCATTTATTATATTAGTAAGGATTTCTGTTTTAAACAAATTTACCATGTATTACGGGTACACGATAGGAGCCTCCCCGCGGCGCACCTGGAAACAGCTAGACACGGTAACGCAGTTCTAGGCTGGCCAATCCTCTCACCACAATGGCAACCCAAACGATAAACCATGTATTACGAATGTGTCTTAAATTGCATTAGAAATTAAATATTAAAAAAAAACACTTACGTGAATTGGATCACAACAAGCATAATGTTGGGCTAGGACAGCACCGGTAGCAAAATTAATGCTGTATAGACCTATGAGAACAACAGCGGAAGCACCTAATGCCATTCGTACTTGACTGATACGTTCCACTGATAGGTATTTCTGAATGGTCGCTTGATTGGCACAGAACATGCTCGTCCAATATATGGTGCCACCAACTACCACAGACCAAAATGAATGCCGCACCGTGGGATCTGGGTTCATGCTAAAAATCAGAGTTTAACGTAATATTCTTCTCCAATAGAACCATCTTATTTCATTCCTTCCGATTAGTTATGCGGTTTAGTAACGCTCACGAGTGTAATTAATATTTTTATTAATGTTACATATTCACTATATAAAAATGCTATAACAGATTGCTTAGATCTGACGTGCATTAAAAGATTTCACTTTATAGAAAGTCTCGTGACCTCACCTGAGTGATCAAGTTGCTGGTGTACTTACTATTAAAATTAAAATTATTTAATATTTGTGTCGTAATCACTGTTCCGATCATTGGATACTTACTTGAAGAAATGCAGTCTGTCGGTGCGTCGTGCATGATTCCAGACAATGTCCATCCCGCCCACGTGTGCCGCACCTAGCATCAGTACCGCCACCAAAGAACCCAGTATAACGATTGATTGAAATGTATCTGTCATTATAACAGCTTTCATGCCGCCCTGTAACGAAAATAATTTTCTATAAGATGTTTTTGCCTTAGCAAGAACATTGCCAACATTGATACAGGTATATACCAGCTGTCCCGGCGTTTTGCTATAAAACTTAATATTGCTATGAAAGAATAGGGGTTGTTGGTAGAAGGGTGAAAATTTAAGGCTGTCTGTATTTTTTAATGCCACATGATAAAAAAATTAAAATGCAAAGAATTGGGTTGACCTTTAACACTTAGGGATATATAAATTTGATACGCCAAATGATTGTATAAACTATTTTGAGGTACCTATCTATTCAGAAATTATGCTAACTGTTTATTATACGTTGTTCATATACTCGTACCTAATGTACTCTATTTGGTGTCCTTGATGATATGCGTCTATGCAGGTGATGGTTACCAACTACTTCCCATCTAATGGGTCATCGGTCATTTGATTGCTGCATTTCAATTGGTTTTCCATAAGATTATGCATAGCACACTAATGCAGATACTAACGTCTGTACAGATAAGATAAATCTGCATATACGTATGTACCAGAAAGTATGTACATGCATAAGTTTTCAGAGTATATTTAATCACTTGTACCTAATCGTCATTATAAACATGATTAGCATCATAGAATTTTCATAGAAATCTTTTACTTTACATAGAAAGTAAACAGAAACTGCAATATACATTATTTTTAAATAATATAAATTATTTTCGAAAATTGGAAGATAAAACATATAATGCAGACTCATAAAACGTGCAAGGAAAATATTAAAACCAACCTGAGATGAATAGAAAATGCATACTACGTACACAAGCGTTACGGCCAGATAGGTGTCCATACCGGTCACTGAAAAAAATAATATATATATGGGAATATGATCGTTATTAATACTAGATATAGCAATTGGAATTTGACGGTCTAGCGGGTTAGCACACTGCTTTACTTCAGATGGCCGCGGGTTCTATTCCTCTACGCAAACATTTGTATTCACGAGTATGATTGTTTGTATTGGCCTGGGAATTTCCTAGTTCTGTTATGTATGTATTTACAAAGTGTGTATCTAAGTATTTATATCAGTTTTCTAGGTACTACGGTAAGGATTCGAACTAAAATATGACCGGGATCCCGGTCATGTTTATTTTTTTTATTATTGAAGACATATTTTTATATGTCTTTATAGTACATCTAAATAAGTCGTAAGAAGTTGATTTTTTTTAGTTCATTGTAAAATAAAATAAACAAATTATGCATTCTGTAAATAATTTATGAAACTATTGCTTAAATTATTTACAGATGTTTAATTATTTGTTTATCAGAAGAATGTATAATTCTGTTTTGCTTCTTTTAAGATTTTACTAAAGATTTAAAAAGTTAATTATGACATTTTTTATCACTACGTTTAAAATAAAAAGTTGATTTTGATTTGTCTTTTTGTCACCAATTGTCTTTCTAATACCAATACAATCAGGGGATAATCCTGGACTCCCGGGATTGACTGTAGTGTGTAGATAATCCCGAAATCCCGGGATTAGAAAAATCGACCGGGATCGAATCCTCTATTAGGTACACATAACACAAGCTCTGCTTACCGTGGGACTAAATAACGCTGTGTTAATTATTCAGAGTCATTTCTTTATCAATTTATGTAATTTATATATAGATCATATACATACATGAACTGCACTACAGAAATCACGTTACCATATGACATACGTGATACCACTCCTTTGTTGCCAATCCAATATGTCAAGCCTTTTAACGTATAATTGTTATTTTTCGACACTTTGTTTTTGTATTCCCTTCAGAAAATATAATTAACAAAGTACCTACTGAAATATTAAGTCAAGTTTAGCATTAAAACTGATAACATCATATATTATTAAGCCAGTGCCTAGGAGAGTACTTAAAATAAATTTTGTAGTACCAACTTATTCAGTTAACGAATATTTATGATACCTACAACACAAAAATGATTGACAATTAAATTTGTTTACATAGCCAATAAAATTGATAATACTTGCGTAATCAATTGCTTAAAGAGATACTTATGCGCCACTCGTGGTTTGAATTTATTTTTTCTGTTACATAGGTTCTACTCGATAATAGAGGTATTACCCAAATCAACGATGACACACTAACTCAAGAGCAAGTAAATAAAACACGGTCAACGCGCATTTATGGAACGCATTACATTCACTGTATGTAACTATACATTCACATACTTGTATGTACATGTAGCAAAGTAAGTATGTATGGTGAACGGACTAACGACGAAGCGATTATATGTACTTGCGTGTTACAGAAGTCAGGTAATTGACGAATGCCGACTTACTGAATAAAATAATTATTGACTATAGAAATCTCACTAAAATGCCAGCAGTCATCTGTGCCATGCTATGTGTAGTGGGCTGAGTATAGTTTTGTTTCAATCAACTTCAAAAAATTACATATTCAATTTGTCGAAATCTGTATCCGTTTTACCTACTTACATATGATAAAAATCTAGATCGCTGTTTATACATGAAATATATATGGAAAAAAAAGTTTTGGTGGGACTTCACTAACTCAGTAGAAGTAGAAGTAAGTAGAACTCAATGATTGATAGTTTGATTATTTTTTTAAGTTTTCGTCTCTCTAATATAGACATGACACAAATAATTTTACGGTCAATAAAGTATTTATCATTATGGACGTTTCGACTGCGTTGTACTAATCGTGGACGAGATGACTGGAGCAACAGCGATGTCATTGTCGGTAGGTGTCAGCAATTTTTCAACTACCGTCATTAGATTGTATCCATACACTTATTGAGTGAGACTATCTAACTTTGTTTGAATTGGAATTGAGAGGTAAAAACCTTTCTTTACCCAAAATTATTTATGTTAAGACCCGAACAATAGAAATAATGTTAGTTTGATTGTCTGTGCACAAAGTAAAATTTCAGAAACGGCTTAACCGATTTGCCTTTTACTAATGTATTTGTGTTTATTTTTTATAGTTTTTCTTTTAATCTAATGTTTGTTGTATTCCAATCGGTTTATAAAAAAAAGTTTTAGCGAATCGGTTTCTCCCCCAATATTGCGCTATTTATGTGTAGGTATATGCAGTAGATATCTTTGAGTGCCATATTAATTTAACCAATATATATATTATTAATATATAATTTAGAGTCAATATTATGTGTCACAAAGTGTTACTGTTAATAGTAATTATATTTTGTTCCGCAAGAAAACTAATATCTATAGGAATAAATAGAGTGTAAATAAGAAATAAATGAGAATAATTAACAATGTGGATCGATTGTAAATCAAATCATCATCAAAATAGATTATTCAGAGCCAGTTGAACTGCGTGTTAGATATTATAGTCACATACAGTTTCCTAATAGCTTAGGACTATGATCACTGGTAGTAACTACCACATTCAGTTAAAATAGAACATAAATTACGGGAACTGACCGTGGGAATAAAGATTTTCTTTCTATGTTATGCACTAATAAGTGGTGAATACTTTCGTAATAATGTTTACAATAAACATTTCTACGGTCTGGGAATATTTTTGCAGACATCACCCAAATATTAAAAGAAGTTACCTAAAACAAACCGATACAAGTGAATACATTTTTAAACCAAAATTATTTATATTTCCATATCGTCCAACACACAAGTGTAGTAAAGATTAATTTAAAATCAATTTTTACAATAAAATCGATCAATTTTTGATTTACAAACTGGCACAAAGAGTTGAAACATTGGACTCTTTTTATCAAAGGTACGACGTAACTACCTACACGTAAATGAACATTGAATAAAGGTTTTTGGAAACTTTTATAAATATGAGGCACTTACATATTTTAGAGTTTATTTCGTAGTTGTGGCAATAACGAAAGAAATATTTTATATACGTAGGATTCTATAGACGTACATCAACGTTAAACTATTGCGGTTAATGTAAATCACGCAAAAAAAAAGAGTACTTTAGAGTGCAATATTTCGTAAATGGCATAATTTTTGTAACACTGTCAAAGGAACCTCAAATCATAAAAAGAAGAGTTATGTCTGAAGTCTTTATCTGTAGTCGAGTATTCTGTAGAATTAGTAGTTCTCATAGTAATGTACTCACTGTAAATTTGAAATCGTTTTGCACATGCGATGAAAACCATTTGGGTGATTTTAATATCTGATGGTAAAAAAGCAATGTTCTATCTTTAAATCGTTAGTCTATATAATTGTTTATGGCAAAGTTACGTTTAAATTGATTAACTGTGGTTTACCTTATTCATTTGGCTAAATTATTTTATACATACATATATCTACCTATTACAAATACGTAATTATAAATAAATAAATGAACAAATAATAATACTTAATAATTCGGTGTAGACCTACAATTAGTTGACTTCGTAGGTCTGAGAAGAATACAGACGTTTATCAATTTTAGCTAAGAACTGTCTCAATTACATCACTTTAAAAAAAACCACTGGAACAACATCCGTTCCTGTGCTATGATAACCAATCTTTGATGCTGTATGATCTTAGCCAGACACACATGACACGTTATAAGTTTAATAAAAATCATATAATGCCTTATAATAAACTTTAAACAATAAAAATAAATAATAAGAGCATCTTATGTATTTATTAAATTACTTTCTTATAATGATTACGTTGATTATTTCTGTTTATTTAATAAATTCAATCGGTGTTATTTTGCAAATTAAAGGAAGTCCATTTATTTTAACATTATTGTGTGTACTTAATAAAAATTTATATTATTTTGTTTAATTCCACTACGATTAGCATGTGTGAGACCACAAATATTTAGTTCGGAAACTTCACTACCGCTACTGGAAGCGACCTTCCCCTAATTATTAATTAATTAGTGTCATTGTCTGCTCGCTGAATAGTCCTAGAATATCAAAGCATGTTGGTACTTTAGCTGTTCGGCATATAGCCTTATCATTCCAAGATAGCGATATTCCATTCCATTTTACAGACATTTAAGTAGGTAATATTAATTTGTACGAGTATATCTGTTTGTAGTGGTCTAGATGTCTTGGACTCTAGGTTCCTATATTATATACGTATTTAAGTGTGTCTAACAGTAATCTAGTATTAGTACTCATGGTGTACGTAGTAGTTTAGTTGTTGTCTTTTTTATGTAATTGTAATGCCAATTATTCTAATATCATTAGAAAACCGAATCAATATCCGTAGCATGCTTTAGAAGTAAGCGGAAAAAAGTCACAAGAAGAGTATATTTTATTGGAATAGTTTATTAATCATATTTCCATTTACTTATTGATACTTTCAGGTCTTAATAATCAAGTATTTATCTCTATTATTGTAACTAACATTGTATACTAAACATCATTCTAACAAGAACACTACCTGAATATATGGTATAACAGTTACGACAAATAACTCTAATTACAAATAGTAATCAATCTATATGTGCTAGTTGAATAAGGTCGTGCGATGCACATTGTATGGCGGTCATACCTAGGCGAATATTTAATATGTATGGATGTAGTGTACCGGCGCGCCCTAAATTATTTTCGTTGGTCATGTTGCAAAATTTCTATTGATATGTAAATGTTGTTCCTATCCTACCTAAATATCAAGCAGGAATAAAATCAATAGTGCAAGAGTGAGTCCGTTTGTTAAATGATTGACCTGTGCATGTTGTGCATTATGAATCTTTAACTTTACCTATGAGTCAAAATATACATTAATGTTATACTGATAGCAATAAAATATTAATATTTATAACCACAAGTGCACAGTGACACGCATAAACCATGCTATGGATAAAAATATATGTTGAATATATTTTTATGCCCAGCACGGTATATTTAAAACTACATCTTATTCCACAAAAAAAAAAACGATTGACCTGTAACAAAGTAACAAAAAAAAAACTGTATGAGATAACACACATAAAGGTACAAAAATCTAATGTACAATTACCAACAGAATCTACCTGTCAGTGAGTTGGAGTAATTTTCCTTACTCTTAGTTACGTAATGTGTCAAATATATTATGGTTATTTCGAAGTATATGTTATTTTCAATTAAGTTTGAGTTATCATATTAAAAATTAATAAGATGAGTTTAATTCACTGTGAGGATTGCTTTCACTGCGTGCATGCAGCTAAGGCACGTATCTATTTTAAACTATACGGGTTGCTTAATTCATGTATTATGTTAACGATGTTAATACAATACGTGAACTAATAGGGAAGAATTATCATTTCAATTGCAAAAATCTATGAATTGCTCTATATCCTTTCAGGTCTACGCAGTCTTCTTAGGAAATCATTATGGTTCTTGACGAATTCCCCACGATAAGCTATTGCATCTTTAGATATATTATTGCGCACTTTTACAATTAATTAGATTAAAACGCCAATAAGAGATACTCCAGAATTTGAACTATGTTATATAAGTCGAGAGTAGAATGTCATAAGAAGCATAACTACATTTTGAATATGTTACGTTTTACATGTTTGCGAGAGTGCTACTCCTCATCCCACCCTCGGAACAGCTGCAGCTTTCACTAAGGTTCATAACACAACTTTCTTAACCATCTTAAAAGTTTTCGACCGGAAGGAAATAATTGAGGAAAAAAGCCTCTCTGTCGAGAACTTTAACCTGACATTACAGGTCACGCAGCTGGTGTCGAGGCACAACGCGAGCTTCAAAACGTTTGTGGCCCGAGTCACTACCAAGATTCGATTCACGTAGAGAAACACACATAAAAGAATACAGTTATAGACAAGCAGGGCAAGATTGAGCATTAGGCAAGGTAGATACAGGAATCGTGAAAAAGTGATTGATTTCTGGCAACATTGTGTGTAAATACAATCTCCCGAGACTAAATACAGTATATTTAGTTTCGACTAAAAGACTAATCTTAGATTTTCATAAGGGCACTCACCATTAGAGAGAGCGAGTGCTGGCGCGTAAACTGCCACTGATGTGTATAGTACTGTTTGCATCATATAAAGTGCACTTGCATACAGACGAACACTTTTAGAGAACCGGACTTCCTGTAAATAAATACTTATTCCATTATTAATAATTATTGAACGGATTAAACGCAAAACAACGCTGATTTTATTTATAAACGAGTGAGGTTTAAAATTTCTAAATAATGTGACGCCCACACTCAGGTTTTGGTGGTTTAAGAAGATGATGGCCCTGGGTCTCCTCTCTTCTGAACTTGTACCGAGGTGGTGTATTGTATTGTATATTAGACACCATTCCGTATTTAGACCATTTTGTATTTGTAACAGCTGGTTTAAAGCTATAAACTGTTATTTTCATCATCACGGAAAGTCACTACATATGTTTAATTTATTATTGAAATTAGTTTAAGTATATAAGAGAGTATAATGTAATGGAGGCTAAATGTGTAGCAGATATTGATTAGTGAAGGGAAGGAATAGTGAAGGAGGTACATATGTATATATTCGTAGGTACATGGTCAATGTAGAATGGGAACTTCGATATTAATCATGACATTGACCCCAATAATTAATAATAAGTAATTATTTCTATGGTAAGTGGGTAAGATTTTATAATAAGCTGCCAGAATTTCCTCTAAATCTGACATAGGCAATTCAAATTTTATATTAAACAAATTTTATGTAAGAAAGCTTATTTTATAGACGAATTCGTAAATAACAACATCTGGTACTTCTCAACTACAACAACTTACAACTTCTCTTATTGCTTTCATGATTTAAATAATTAAGAACTATGATAGTGTAGCGGTTTTTGTATTGATTGCCGAATGCATCCTTATGTAAAGTGCGAACACTATAACTGTCACATGGTAATTTTAAGAAGCTATGACACAAATGTGGTCTAATGTCTTGAGTAGTGATGCTCACTAAAGAAATATGGTGGCGTGATGGGCCGGGTTATTGGGCTCCCTAAAATATGGTAGAGCGCAGTGATGGATGGATTCGTCGTACTTGTGAACTAATGCTACTTGTAGGGACTGGTCTGCTGTAATCACTACGACTAATTTAATCTTATTTAGTTACTCAACCAGTTGATTGTATATTTAATATTTGATGCATTAATATCAGTTGGTAGTTTGTGTTCACACATAAAAATGTAAAGTTATACATAAATTATTTAAAAGAGCAAGACACAAGTTTATTTCTCGTTCTTCTTGCGATGATGATAATTTCATTAAGAATAAGAATAAATTATTCCTATTTCCAGGGAATTCAATAATTATATTTATTTTATTGATAAATGTCATAACTATGTCATAAATATTCATATGTATTTTATATTATTTTTATATTCCGCTTGTATCTATCTATCTATATACATGTCATGGGAAGTTAGCGAGAATTGAGTGACAGGTGATTTATCTTCATCAATATTAACAGTGAATTACAACAAAAATACAGTAAATCATTGTTTAAGAAATATGCATATATAAGAAATATAAGATAATAAATATTTACCAAATATTCGTAGCAAGAAGTAAGACGAAGCCTCATGAACACAGGTACATACAATTGGCTCGCAATAGGTACTACGAATATAAATGTTGTACAAATCATCCAAAACTGCCCCCCAGCCATATACATTTCCGCCGGGTTTCCCAATAACTCAATAGCTGTTATGAAACTGAAAATAAAAAAATATTTATTCAAATAGTACAGTAGCTAGAAGATAATTCTGTGTAATTTGTGGATATTCAATGATATATAATATAAAATAAGTTTTGTACCACAGATATAACTGAATACTGGTACTTTATATATCAATTTTTGCACTGAATTATACACTATGGCACCTAGTTGACTCCCACAAAATTTAATTCAGAGATATTGGATAGGTTTAATATTTATATGAATGTTTTTAAACCTCCACGGCAAGTATATAAATACAACATATCAATGACTACTATGAAATAAATAACTATATTTTATAATATTAATATAGCAGTGGTATAGTGACACCCTGTCACTGTACTGTTAATATTACCTGGTATGTTTGTGTCGTCTGTATATCGAACCTTACCTTGTAGCCAAGCTTAAGGTCATAGGAAAAGTTCCCATACTGGATCCACCAAGAAGAAAATCATCACCACTTGTTTGTTTCTCTCCAAAAAATCCGTAAAAGACGCCAAACGCACATGAAACTATTAACATTGCCGCTAGTACACTATAATCTTCCCAATTAAACAAAACATTTTCTTTATTCTCGTAACTGGATATATTTGTGCTAGTGGAATCATTTGTCAGCAAAGTAGGTGTTGCAGCGACAGTCAGAAAACTTACGACATTCCAAATCCAAACTATACTAAGTAATGAAGTCTGAAATACATTTTCATTTAATTCAAGTTAATTATAATATAATCCTATTGCAATGATTCTGTGCAATTTTGTTTTTTTAGTAGTGTTAGTGTTATTCTATAGTTTATTTTCTAGATAAAATTTAGTAGTAATAATATTAATATAATGATCTATTTATTTGAACATTACATGTTGTGATGACAGTAAATTGTTGTGTTGCAATCTATGAGTGATGAAAATAATAATAAATGCCAATATATAACTTAATAATAATATAAATTACATGGATTATTACAAATAACGAAATTAATTAATACATGAAAATAAGAAGTCAGTTATATTTACGGACGAAAATAAAACAAACCGTATAATGTTAACGTGCTATTTTCAAATATTTCGAAAAGCAACGACAAATTATTATTATTATTAATAATTTGTTGAGAGTATGAAAGTAGGTTTTTATCCCTCTATCAAATTTTAACAGGAATGAATTGGTGGTATTAAATAACATAAATATTACATTGTAATATTTATGTTATTCAATACGTATGTGATAGGCACGACTTAAGTTCGTATTTAGAAAGTACCACCTATACATCAAAATAAATTATCAACGTTGAAGAAACATCAAAGCGACTCTACCAATATTGACATAAACTATTTGGAATTACTTACTAACTGATGAATGCTATTACTTCATTATTGCGTAAGCATTCCTTTATAAATTTGAAGGGAGGTCTATAAATTTGTTAGTTAGACGGTGGTTTCAATTAAACGAACGTACATATCTATACGTGGAATAACTGAGATCACTATAACACCTACGCTCATGAAATATATCTATATATCGATTCAGATATAACTAACACTATTGCTAAAATATAAAAATACGCTAACATATACGCTATAGAAATATAAGCATTTTTGTATAGACATATTTATTTTATTTAACCACTCATTCGGATAGTAGTCTCATGATAAGAAGAACGAGTGAGAATCGTTAAATATATTTTGATGATTTTCACTGCGATAAGTTAAACCGAATAGATTTCACTCGATATTTTATTTCACATATAAGTACCTACTTAGTTGAAATAATTATGAAAAGTGCTGAAATCTTATTAGATGTTGGATTCAAATTCAAATTCAAATTCAAAAATCTTTATTCATGTAGGACATTTTAGCCGCTTATGAACGTCAAATTTTTACATTATAATTTTTTTTCCCTACCGTCCAGTTCGGTATATAGATCCAATTGAGAAGAACTGGCAAGAAACTTAATTGAATTACTTTTTTTTTTTAAATCCAGTTTATTTATGTCTAACAGTGTCCAGGTGTCTATGTCTAGCAGTATCAGAATCTACTGTCTAACCTTACGCACGGCAAAAGCTACTGAACTCAATTTCGCTGCAAGACTTTGAATTTGTGCACCCCATTGTATTTTATTATCTAATGTGATTCCTAGAAAGACTGTAGATTCTATAAATTCGAGAGATTCGTCATTTAATTTTATGTTGCAATTAGTATTAAAACTTTTAGACAGAGAAAAATTAACACATTTTGCTTTTTTAGCGTTTAACATAAGATAACCGCCTTATGTTCATAATTTTCCATTTATTATTATTATTTTTTTCTTATTGTATTTCTTCTATGTGCACAATAAAGAGTTTATTATTATATTTACAACGCCATAATTATTAGTCATTCTATTAACTTTAAAAATCAATGAAGTATCATCTGCAAATAACACTATCCCGCATCTATCCTGCATGGCATATGGGAGATCATTTATTTATTTTTTATTTATTCATTTATTTCAGGCAACTACGCTCATATTATAAATACCTTATAGACTAACATACATATAATATAATATTTAAAAACTAATACAATGATATTGTCAGTGTGATCACGGCACTGAAGACGGCAATCTGCCACGGTAGCGCCGATACACCACACCTTTCATTTATGTATATTAGGAATAAAAATGGACCGAGAATAGATCCTTGAGGTACACCCATTTGCACAAGTGACCCGTCAGACGTAGCGCTGCTAACCTTTACTTTCTGTATTCTATCAGAATAAGATTTTATTAAATTTAAAGCGTTGTCTTTGACGCCATAAAAAGCAAGTTTTTTCAATAATGTGTTGTGATCAACGCAATCAAAAGCCTTAGAAAGGTCACAAAAAACACCTATCGCATCCATTTCATTTTCCCATGCAGCAAATACGTGTCTGAGCATCTCTGCACCTGCGTCTGTAGTTGAACGACCTTTGGAAAAACCGAATTGACTATTGTGAATTAAATTATTTAAATTGAAATAACTAACAAGTTGCATAAGGATTATTTTTTCAAAAATTTTACTGAGCGCTGGGAGTATGGATATAGGTCTATAATTTATTGGGTCAGTCCTGTCCCCAGATTTAAAAAGTGGTATGATTTTACTAATTTTCATTATATTATGAAATTTACCATCATCTATACATTTATTAAAAATAAAAGCAAGAGACGGCGCAATAATTTCCTTTATACTATCCAGTATTTTAACAGATATACCCCATAGATCCTCTGTTTTTTTATTATTTAGCTGTTTAAATATTTTCATTATTTCTACTGATGTTGTGTGTCTAAAGTTAAATACACCTGATGACTTGCTAACATTGTCAATTAGTAAAGTTTCAGCAGCAGACGGGGAAGATTTTAGAGCCTGTGTCGTAATTAATGGAATTTAGTAAAATAAGATTCGAATGTATCCGCAACCTCTGTGTCGGAATTTACCAATTTGTTATTAATATATAAAGCTATTTTGCTATTTTGAACATTAACTTTTCCAGTTTCGCTATTTATTACTTTCCAAGTGGCTTTTATTTTATCTTTAGATTTAGTTATTATTTTACCCAAATAGAGAGACAACTGTCTGATAAATCCTTTTAAATATTTTCGAATAAGATTTTACATATTCGTGAAATAGGGGATCGGATATATAGCTTCGTTTTTCGTAAAGTTCGTAAAGATTAGCCCTAGATTTATAAATACCAAACGTGGCCCAGTCACAAAACTTTGATTTTACATTAGTTGAAAATGTTTTTGTTTTAAATTCATTGCTAGCTTCTTGCTCAATTAAATTAAAAATATGTTCACATACAATGTCCGGGTCATATTGAGGTATTACGAGACTAGATATTTTATGTTCAATTGTATTTTTAAAACGTGCCAAATTATTTTGTGTTATTTGTCGACATGTAATTGTTTGAGTCCCTTTGGACTCCTTATTTTCAATTATAATTTTTTGTCCATAATGATCAGAGCCAAGACAGTCGAAATTCATTTTCACCTTTACTTCACAATTACAGAAAACATTATCTATACAAGTGGCAGAATTTCCTGCAACCCTAGTGGGTTCTAAAAAAAGATTGTGCAAATCAAATGATTTAAATAAGCTAATCAATCTTAGGCTTATTGAGCATCCCGATCATAAATCAACATTAATATCGCCACATACAAATAATGTTTTATGCCTCCGTGCGACTCGTCTCAATGCTTCCTCCATAGCCAGTTCAAAAGAATCAAAACAAGCCGATGGCGGACGATAAACATAAATTATTATACAAGTAACTAATTCTACGCATGATAGTTCAATTGTTTGCTCAATGGAAGTATTTACAATGTCTTGATGGTTTATAAATTCTACATCATTTTTTAAAAAAAATAATTGAACCTGAACATGAATAGCATTGTTCCTAGCAAAAAAACTAGCTATACTGTAATGTTCAAAAGGACAAATTATTTCATATTGTTTAAGCCAATGGTCTGTCAGACATAACACCCGTACATTGTTAGATTCTAAGAAAAGACTTAATTCTAATTCTTTGCTGGAGAATATTTTGATGAATAATGACCATATCCTGTGGCTTAACCAATGTCGAAGATATTAGTTTAAATCAACACATGTCACATTATAATTATTATAGTATAATTACTAATATTAGTATTTAAATCCTTTATACTACTTATAATGGGATCATAAATGTTATACGCTAGTAAACTAGCAATAGTCTTTTTTTGTTTTTGAGGAAGATAAAAATTACTTCCAGTCATATAATAATTTGTAACAAATTTGTTACTTTCAAAATAAAATATATCATTACAATGATATGTCAACGAATAAATTAAATAATATACTATAAATGAACATATTCTGTTCATTAGTCAGGGATTGAGAGTAGGGAAATGCGCATAATAATATTTTACCTATACCAAGCTCCACTATATTATATAATGATTTTATTAAATTAACTATATCAGATTTACTCCCTAACGCTATTACTAGGGTCCTGTGAATATCATATTTTTCAGTTACTATATTTTTTATAATCTTATATATACCTGATCCCGGAAAACAATTATTTATTACTTGTTGCGATAGGCAGTTCGATAATAAACTACCTAAATCCTGGCCAAATTCATCTGAATAAATAATGGTTCTCCTGATGGGTTCATGTACAGTGCTGTATTTATTTACTTTTGTACTGTTTTTTATGGGTAAACATAAAACGTCTGGTTCCGTGACGGATGAGATATCAATGTTCGACTGATTAAAGTAAGAGAAGTCAGTTTGCGATAAACTCAGTAGGTTTGTTTACGCTTTTCGGCGCCTCCGTGAGATATCCTCTACCGAGAGTGCACTATTGGCTTATCATGCACATGTGGCGTCAGTAATACAATACGGCTTAATTATATGGGGTAACTGTACTTTTATTGATAAAGTGTTTAAGTCACAAAAAAAATGTATAAGATCAGTTTTTGATACGGATGTACTAGAATCTTGTCGCCCATTATTTAAAAAAAATAAACTGCTTACATTAGCATGTTTATATATTAAACAATTATGCATATTCGTCAAAGAACAACCAGAATATTTTCCTCTAAAACAGACAACGATGAATAAATCAGTACGCGACAGCCATACAAGTAAAATAAAAGTACCTACAATAAAACTATCCATAACAAAAAAGAGTCC